GTTTGTATCCCTGGTGATAGGTTGGCTTAGAGACCACCATTATGAAATGGTGCTTTTCAAGCACAAATTCAATCTTCCTCAGCCCACTCAACTGTCTCAAGCTCAACATTTACTTATGAGGGGTAAATTCCCCGAAACACTGTGTATTGAGCAGGGAGTGGTGCTTTCTTGTAGGTTTGTCGAGTGGAAGGTGCGACGTGCTCCTCCTGTACTCCGGATGGCAGTCGTGAGTCAGTCAATTGTCAAGTTCGGCAGGAAGCGTGTGCTCCTCATAGGAACAACCAACTTCAACACTAATGCTGCCGAAGTCGCAACTTCTAAGTTCGTATTGTATTGTTTATGATTCTCCACAGGCCGTAGCCTATATCTATGTGTTGGTCCCGTGGAGGAGAAGGGGGTAAGCCATTCAACTACCTGTCACCTAGTTCCAAAACATCAAGACCGGCATGTCCCTTGCAAGTTTCGTCATCATCCAGAAGCTTTCGGCATACTTTGTTGCCGTGGGACGTACATACTCTAAATGTAGCTCGTGCTCATCTTCGTTGCGCTTTCCTTCCCCTCATTGGACCTTTCCTAACCGCAGCCTTCCAAGTAATAGTTGAAAGGTTGTTGGTTTGCGCCTCGTAGATGTGTTGGTTCAACTACAATGTACTTGTACATGTAGGTGTGAGGTCGTTGAAAGCCTCAGTACTCCCTGTCAGTTGTGTGCCTTGTTGTCGAACTCGCTGTTTATGATCTTGAAGTGTAGGCAAACACCACAACAAGTGCACCGGGTTTGGAGGATGGACAAGTAAAGTCAGACTACAGAAAGTTGTGACTAGGTTGTGAGATGATGAAGAAGGAAAGGACAGAGGCTTCAAGTATAAGTTGAAGACAGGCATGCTTGTCTATGTTATTGTTCTAGGTGGAGTACAATAGAGAATGTTGTCGAGGTTTGTAGGAGAGTAGGCATGGAGATGGAGTCGTGGGTGGCTACACTTCCTAAGGCATCGCTAGAACTTCGGGAAGCATTAGTTGTTGTTGTTGTTGCTGTTGTTTCAAATCTTTATTCTCACGATAGCCAGTGGCCAATAAGAGATAATAGTGTAAGAAAGGAGAAAGAGTGAGGAAGAATTTGTTGTTGTTGTTGTTGTTGTTGTTGTTGTTGTTGTTGTTGTTGTTGTTGTTGTTGTTGTTGTTGTTGTTGTTGTTGTTGTTGTTGTTGTTGTTGTTGTTGTTGTTGTTGTTGTTGTTGTTGTTGTTGTTTGAAATCTTTTATTCTCACGATGGCCTGTGGCCAATAAGAGAAACATAATTACAGGCACGGGGATCAGATACAGAGAGATCAAAGTTTAGCTGCTTGCTGAGGCAGTAGCGATGGCAATAGGGAGTTTATCACATAGGCTGGGCGCAATGGAGCTATAGATGTGCTGAGCAATGTGAGCAAGTACATACGGAAGAGATGACAAGTGGTAGGATGTTTGCTTTGAATCTCGTTGTTGTTGTTGTTGTTGTTGTTCAGTTGTTATTATGATTACGATGAAAATTACCTACATGTTTGCGCGAGGTGGTGAAGAAGAAGGTCCGGCGGTGACAGCTATGCGGAGGAATGGAGTCCAAATATAGGAAGCACATTCTCGGATTGCATGGTTTGCAAAAGCAATGTGTGGGAGCTGGAGAGTGTGAGCTGTGTCAAGAATACTGTACATGTGTGGTACATCATGCGAAGGTCATGCGTTTAGGCTCGAGAGATGCAGGTCGGCAACGGCCCAACGGGCATACAATGTAGTCAACGACAGGTAACTGTTGCTGGTACAATGTAGATCTACACTGTAGCTAGTGAGGGCGAAGAGCCGCTACACTCGTCTCCGGTTACTTTGGTGGACAGTTAGTCATAACACTAGTACTACTAGTACGACTCGTACTCTTGACATCTTGTCCTTCCTGTTTTTAAGAACCCCACCCTACTTATAAATAGCCCTCCCACTTCTACTTCGAAGTAGTATGACTTGTACTCTTGCTTGATGTAATAGTGACACCTAACTCGATTACGGAAGGCTAAGCCCCGGAGTAAAGCGTTTTAAGTAAGAGCCTTTTAATTAACAGGCTCCTACCATTAGTGCAATACTATACCACCGAATCTATAGTTCGTAATACGATCAAGTAAGTAAGTTGCAGGCTCCTCACAATCAACATCACGGTTCCCACCAGTACTGTACTAGTAACTGATTTCTCATCACGTGTAATGCAGGTAGGCCCCCGTGTAATATGCCGGCATTTTTTTGAGCATTTTCGGTACAATCCGCGAACCCAGCACTTTGGGCTCGTGATGCAGCATTTTGGGGGAAACGGAGCACTTGGCCGTTGTGTATCAAAATTGAGAGAAGAACCCCCCCCCCCCAAACGAGAACGTCACTTCCGCATTCCGTGGGTTAGCTTCTTGTTGAGTAGTTTATGAATTGAAAATAATGGTTTTCACCAGGGAGTCGTAAAATACCGGTATTTTCTGACTCCCTGGTTTTGAGTCTTTTGACGGCGTGTGCTGAGGATTACAAAAAAGTGAGCATTTTCCGAGCATTTTCGGCAAGGTTTACGAGAATTTCCCAAAAGCATTTTCGGCAAAGTTTCGGGCATATTACACCGGGCCCTAAATGCAGGCGAAAAGAAAGTTCTGGTTCTTTGAACCGTGACACTGACTGTGAGTATGTACAATCCACATGTACAATCCACATGTACAATCCACATGTACAATCCACATGTACAATCCACATGTACAATCCACATGTACAATCCACATGTACAATCCACATGTACAATCCACATGTACAATCCACATGTACAATCCACATGTACAATCCACATGTACTGATGTAGTCCTGAAACATGTTCTTTTCTCGAGTCTCGATTGCATTCACCTCTCTCCAAGGAAGCTGAGAACGTAGTAAGTCCAGATTACAGGTATGCTGTGCCTTGTGCTAGATCGTCATCGTAACATAACAATAATTATTATTAAAGTTACTAGTACATGTACATGACTAGGTCACACTTTCAGTGGTTGCCACACCTACGAGATTTTCATGTTTGTGCTTGGAAGGAGTTGGTGAGTGTGTTTTACCAGCCCTACCCTGAACACTTATCACGACACCCTGGTATGGTGTATGGCTTACTAAGTTCCATACACTGATGCTAAGCGTCACTACAGTGACCGTGATTGACAGTTTAGTACAATCATGTACATGTGTTTTTCTTCAAGTTTTTCACCAGGGGGTCTAGTCAAAATGCCTTCAATTCACTCAATGATGCACTAGTACAGTACTAAGTAAGTTCTATCTGATACGCTCATGTACATGTACATGTATCATAACATAACATTATGATGATAGGCCCGGGAGTCTTGATCCTTATCTACATGCATCATGACTTTACATGTATCTGTCACTGAAGTGTCGTTCCCAGCACACGTACACTGACCGGCTAATACTGATTACGTACATGATTGACTGATTGCACATGCACATAAAAGGCATACAACTTTTAAAAAGGAGGCTTTTAGTTTTACTGTTTTAGAGTCATCAAGCCATGATTAGGACATGTGCAAGCCCGGAGTACAGTCCAGACCGGTTGATGTACATGATTGTATGATCACACTTTCCTCCAGAGTGATCATGCATTACCGTGAAATACAATGTATGGGTATACATCATGCACATCATGGTACCGTACTTTGAAGTAAATACATGTACCGGTACTGGTACACTGCAGTCCGTTCTGTACACACACCGCAAACATGACATGCGCGCCATTCCATACATGAATGTCACTAGTTAGTCCGTTCAGATCATAATGATGTAGCTTGGTGAAGTTTCCGCCAAAAGGCATAATGACTTCCACCTTGTACATGTTCATCTGCATGAACAGAGGTTTAAGTGTGCGATGATGACATTCATTGCCGCATACACTTTGTATTGACTCAGTATCGAGTGGCAAATCAGTATGTGCGATACCACAGCTTCGTCACTCCATACAAAAGCAAAGCAAGTGATGGCGAAATCGCATAACCTCTTTACATTATAATATTTCATACATCAATGGATGAAATCAGACACACACACACACACACACACACACACACACACACACACACACACACACACACACACACACACATACACACGCACCACCTCCAAAAAGTAACTCTATAAGTGTCACATGGCCAGTACACCCACCGATCTTCCCTCATAGCAAGGATAGGGGAAAAGTTCTGGATGATAACAGATGAAGCCTTACGCCACACGGTCACTGACTGCATAATCCAGATAGTGGCATACTAGACGAGTAGTATACTGGCTACACACACATGCAACCCCCCACCCCACCTCCACACACACACACACACACAAGCAGACATGCATGTTCATTTGCAAACACACATACACATACATACCTTTACGCATGACTGAGATATTTAGTGGGTTATTTTGAATGATTGCTTTATACCAAACTCATCCTGCCATAATGGGATATTGCAATGGCATCTTTGCTCAGGGAGCAAGCACGACAAGCGCCCAAACAAGAAAATGATGAAACCAAAAACTAGGACAAACACTCAGACACACTACCATACAAGGAAAGAACAGTCGCATGCATTCTAACTAAACGTGCTACGGCAAAAAAAAACACTGCCTGGAATAGGCCAGCAACGAAGAGGAAAATCCAGTTTTTACGGCTTTGCAAGAATGCCGCACTGTCGCACGCCTCTGCACCGTAAGTGGAGAAATCTTGTTCTGGGAAATTTGGGTGTGGAATAGCCATAATCTGTTGTGTCAACGGTGGCAGCCTTTTGTGAAGAATTTCAACAAGCATGAATGGTACCGGCCAGTAGAAACAAATGATCAACGAGTCAAATGGCCAGCAGTGAGTTAGGTTTGATGAATGTGCATCTTTCTGAATGTGCAAGGATGTCAGTTTGTAAAAGATAATCTTCAGTAGCTGGAACAAAGTCGTGATTCATTGTGGAACCATTCGGCGTGCTGTGCTTTGCAGCTAGAGGCACTATGTCCTCATTGAATCATAAAACTACAGATGTCCATGTGCATCAAGCTCTTCGCTATGGCACAAAGGGAGCGACCGATCCCCGCCTGCCTAGGTTATGAAAGGTAGCTATGTCGAGTACGGGATGTGCAACTAAAATGGCTGTGCAACGCATTGAAAACAAGGCTGCATGCATCCAGGAATAATTTGGCCAATCAGAAGTTTAGACATTTTAGTAGCTTGCGCATGAACATACATGAGGAATCCAAGTTCAGAAGTTCATTCAAGATCAAGTGATTACTTCATTATCGGAATCCTTTCAGTCGCTGTTATATTGGGTAGAGCCATGCAGCGCGAGCTACTGGGATACGACCGTGCGGGACAATACGCATGTAAGCACGGTACTGAGAGCCAAGTGTAGACAGACTGTGACATGTGCAAATGCAAAGGACATTAGCATGGCAACAAGGGCATACGGAGGCAGTAGTGACGGCTGTCCGGCGACCATGCACACGGATCTCACAATGCACTATTGTAAAACTGAGTGTCACCAAACGCCCTGCCGCTGACGGGCTGGTTATATCTCTGACTAACCGGCTCTTCACTGATCATCTTGTCCTTCCGGTCCTTCTTCAAGAAGCCAAACAGGCCCTGTGAACCACATCGTTGTACACACACACACACACACACACACACACACGTGCACACACACACACACACACACACACACACACGTACACACATACACAGGATGTCAAAAATCAAAATCAAATGTTGAACTTCACTTTCCCAAACTCACAACATGGGAAGTTGCACACTCTGGTTTATACCTGGATTATTGCACATACTCGTACTTCATCGGATGTTGCACTCAATTCATTGCGACTATGCACATTGTGATACTAACCCTGCATGAAGGGACACAATGTGTTCAGTCATACCTGCAGAAATATTCTGGCTGAACTTGCCATATAGGGGAGAGGTTTGTCCGTCACCCAGGCCAGAGGTGGCAGCCATTTTAGATGCATGCTTCATTCCATCATGAGCATGGCCCTCACACGTTGGATGCCTGCTGCACTGCAGCCAAGTCGCTTCCCCATTAAGTCATGGCTACACTTCCGTATGACATCTTACAGTAGAACTCTGATAATACATACCCTACCCATGGGCAGCAGGAAACTGTGTACTTACTATCCAAAGTACTTACTATCCAAAGTACTTCTTACCCTAACATACTTCAGTATGGATCAACACACCCCTGCTACGGACAATGCCCGTGCTAAGCAAGAGTAGGTCTTATCAGAATATGTACTACGTGAGTTACACTGCACTGCAGATTGAGTCCCATTAGTACGGGTACGGTGAACACACCACTCAACCACTGTACCTTGCGTTTGGTGCTGGCCTGACGATTGGATGCGGGCAAGGCATCATCGCTAGAGGCAGTGGTCCCTGCAGCTCCTTCCTCATCTGGCAGTGGCTTACCATCCAGTTCTAAGCATACATGCTGTTTGTAGATGTCAGAGCGAGTGAACTTGCTATGAGAGTCAGACCTCATCAGGTCGAATATCTGATCACAAAACAGATGAGCACATGTACAGACAGCAAGAGGAAAGGGTGAGGATTGAGGAAAGGGTGACGATTGAGGAAAGGGTGACGATTGAGGAAAGGATGAGGATTGACGAAAGGGTGAGGATTGAAGAAAGGGTGAGGATTGACGAAAGGGTGAGGATTGAAGAAAGCCGGTGAGGATTGAGCCAAAATGCTATAGTAATAGCTAATCTGATGATGCCTTACTCCCTACCTCCTCCCCCCCCCCCCCCCCCCTGGTGGAAGGAGCATTGCTTACCTCTTTCTGTGCAGCATTGTACGAGGTGATTTTAAACTCGCTGTTGCTGTCCTTTGTCAACTGTTTGTATGTGTTACTTTCCAAATTCACTTGTTGACGACTTCCACTGTCGATGAAAGTCTTGAATATGTCTTGTCCGGTGGATTGCATCTAGAACCAGCAAGAGGAAATCACACAGGACATGATGACATTTTACTGGTAACGCTGAAGCTTTCCGTCATTATACAGTGCCAGAGTTATTGAGAGCCTAGGCATCACATAAATCTATGGTAGTATATCATGTTGAGTCCTGAGAGCCTAGGCATCACATAAATCTATGGTAGTATATCATGTTGAGTCCTGGCTACGCATCAGGGTATTACATTAGCCATACAAATCCCCCCCCCCCCCCCCACACACACACACCAACACCAACACCACCGCCATCGGTCCTTGAAACGACTTCAGTGGACCCTGGTCTCACCTGCTCTGTGCTGCTTGCCTTGAACCGTTCCACCTCCTCCCAGAAGAGTATGTTTTCTTCGCACAGAATGCTAGCCAGGAACCGCTGCAGAACACGCCCATGAGAAGGCATACTTGTTACACAAGAACATGCACATGTGTGACGTACATTCAGAGAGAATCCAACACACACACACACACACACACACACACATACACACACACACACACATAAACACACACACACACACATACACACACACACACACACACACATACACACACACACACACACACACACACACACATACACACACACACATACACACACACACATACACACACACATACACACATACATACACACATACACACACACATACACATACACACACACACACACACACACACACACACACACTACTGTAGTACTATATATGGCTGTAACCAACAGGTCACAGATGTTTCTCACACGAATTGTGTTGGAGCTATGCACATGGCTGGCAGGTACGCGGTTTTATACGTGCTCTGCGAATAACACTGTGCCCCCCCCCCCCCCCTCTCCCCGCGCCTACAGTAAAACCTGGTGTAAGCGACCTCTGGTTTTAGTAACCACCTGCTCCTAACGACCGTTTTTCCATGCAAGGACAGTTCCACACCGACACGGTGGGACCTGGTTCTAAAGACCACCTGGCTTTAACGACCGCTTTTGCTTGCACCGTGGGGTGGTCGCTTAAACCAGGTTTTACTGTATTTCCTTGGCTAAACCAGCCACAATTCTAAACCAGCCACAATGCAAACAGATACGGGTTACATAGGCTAGGATTCACTAACCAAGTCACTATTCTACCAATTTTAAAATTTCTTGCTAGCTAACCTGGAAGAGTTGCCGGCCGTACGTATCAGTCAGTAACGACTTGAAGCTTGTGGCCCACTCTGCTACACGATTCTCTCTCTTCGGTTCTCTCGGCACCAGCTCGGTTGGCTGACTGGTGCCAAGTGACGTGTCGTAAACACTATCCAAACTTCCGCTGCGGTTGCCCATCGTGCTCGTTCTCCGCCTGGCCTGCGGGCTGTACCGACTGGAATCTGAGAGCACACATTGTCAGTACCACCGATACAAAACACAAACAGTGAGCTAGTAGCAAGATATTCACTAAATCATTGTCTACAGGCAGTCTGTCAGTAATCATTGTCACTTTGCCTGGCTGTCTATGCCACAGAGATACCATCACGATCGAGTGTTTTACTTGTGAACTACACGTAACGTTAATAGTAACCATCTACTGCACATTTCTGAATTGAGAATGCACTGGAAAAATGAGTGCAAGCAGCTTGAACAGGGGTAGTATGCATCTGCCTCCATAAAAGTATACATGTAGCCTAGACAGCAAAAGTCCCCCCCCCCCCCCGTACTCCTGGTAGACCGTAGAGTAGAACCAGGCTAAGGGTCACACCGGATTAGGGATAGGAGCCCCGGGGGGGTTATTTGGCATGTACATATTGTGCGGGTGATCCTTATACCGGGATTTAATTTCCAGCCCAATGGGGGGTCCCCTGTCGGTTTCCGAGGAAGCCGTAACTTTTTTCGCTCCAAACTATTTTTCCGAGGTCCATCTACTCACAAGAAGTCGTTTTGCACACCTTTTTGCCCATCCCTGCACAACTGAGTCCAGCTATGTCCGCGCAGAGTTAGGTGGATCCTTAACCCGGGTTCTACTCTACCCATAGTGCAATGAGTAAGACGTGGACAGTTGTGTCAGCAATGCAATGCTGGATACTGGGTATAATTTACATGTATAAATATAACAGATTGTGTACCAGATACTAATCTTACTTGTACATGTACCTTCCACAGGCACAACACAGCAGGGCTGAAACCAGAATGACAGATGGGCCCAATGCCTGCTCCCCCTTGCCCCTAGTTGCATGCAATTCTCCATAATTATATTGCCTAACAGGCGTTATGTTCAGGCACAGCGCCCTACTCACCAGCATCTTGCCGCCGTTCGCTAGGTAGCTGCAAGACACACGCACACAGCAACAACAACACAGCAGCAAACATACCCCTAAGCTGTGAACAGCCCATTCCTCGCCAGCAAACAAGCACTTGCAACACAAGCCCAGCAATACAAAACAAGTATTAAGGTCCATCCAGGTGAACATCTTCATTGACGACTGGAAAAAAACGTTCAGTAGACCAAAATAGGGTATTGCAAAAACATAGATACAGGAACCTGCATGAGAGGTCTATAACTGACCTTTAGCGTGCTCTATGACTAGGAGACCTTGCCAAAAATTGTTAAAAAATAAAGGCACGTCTGTGTTACTAATTCGAAGTAGTACTGTACATGAATTGAACCTTTGGAAGTCAGTCAACTTAGGGGCCGTCTCAAAATTTGTTGGCATGACAAGGATCAACATGCACTTTGCACTGTGACCCCTCCTCCCACTCCAAAATGAACACAGTTTGCTAGACGACGCAAATTGCATGCTTGTACAATAATCATGCACATTGTCGGTCGACTTGTGATCCCCCCCCCCCCCCCACACCACCACCATGAACGATGTTCGTTTCAGGGACGGCAAAATACTTTTGCAAAGACCCTTAGCAGAACATAATTATAATGCTCTATTGTTGCCATAGTGTAACCCTGCCACACTAAGAGACGTGCCCCCAGGCCAATCCCCCCCCCCCCTTCATCTCTCCCTTAGTCACAAGTGGACACACGTGTACACACACACACACACACGCACACACACACGCACACACACACACACACACACACACACACACCATACACACACCATACACACACATGTACACACATGCACACGTACACACACACACAGATTTGCATTGACATGCAGGTGCATACTTCACACCCTGCCGCGGATGACCCGTACCTGCGGAGAGCGGTGAGGTGTACTGCTAAAGTTGGGCATGCCGAGACGCAGATGGTCCTGCAGCACACCGGAATCATCATCATGATCCCTGGCAGCCAGTGCGCCCATTGCTCGAAACTGGGAGCCTGTAGAGGCAAACATAACACCGCCGCTAGCAATGCTGGTGAAGCTCTCCGGACTGCCACTTCGACCATTGCTGCTATGCGCTGAGCTGCCTTTGAGGATTGCAGATGTGCTGCGGGGCAAGCTGCCTGTCCTACCTGTGCCGCCAGCCTCGTGCCGATCTGCAAAACTAGGAGACGGAGGAACGATGGTCGATGTGGATCTCATTGACCGCGAGTGCATGTCTATGCCAGAACCACCTGAGTGCTGGCGCCTATGGTCATGATCACCGCTACCTCGGCCCGCTGATGACATGCTGCTTTCGCTCGGTGCACGGGAGCCCTTGCGATCGGACTTACCGCCATACATGTATTTCAAGAGTCGAATAATCGGCCACGCACTCTGCGTTGTGCTGTCAGGAGACGACGAAGTTCCCGAATCGGGCTGCGCAGCGTCGAATCCTTGGAACGAGTCGAAGCCGTTCGGCAACACCTTGAAAACATGGCCCTTCATCTGCACCACTGTCTTGTCCGACGCACCTCCTCTTCCCCCACTGCTGCTGACACTACCATTGTACACTCTCTCACGCTGGACCAGAGAGAAGACACGATGATCACTTGGGTCTACCCAAGTCAAGGCAACCGCCGACCGGCTGATGAACAGTGTTTCAGATGCGCCGTTGACCAGCCACACCAGGCGAATGCCCTTCTGCGATATGTGCATTGTGACGGTCTGCGGGCGCCGGTGCTGCTTGCGGCACTCGCTGACACAGTCACGAGTCACGCGCAGCCGCTCGGTCTGCTCCGACAGATCCGCTTTCATTGCCACGTTACCAAAGTAGGCCACTTGCACTGGATACACGTGGCGTTCCGTTCCAGTCAGCTGCGACGCGTGGCTGACGTCCGAATCCACCGAATCCTGCGAGCGGCGGTCAAGAGAGGCACCGGAATGGCGGGACAGGCCACCATGCTCGCTCACAGAACTGGACAGTGAGCGACGAGTCACTGTGGCAGGGCTGTTGGTTGGGGCACCAGTCACGACACCAGGCTGACTGCCGTGAGTTAGCTCGCCGCTTGCAGAGCGTGGAAACCACGATTCTCCACCAGCACTGCCAGCTGAAGTACCACCAGATGCAGCGGCAAGTGGATTTCCACCGCTACTGCCTCCAGTGAGTAAACCATTGGTAGTCGCCTCCATGTGAGATTGGCGTCTTCTGGGCATGTGGTGCGGATCGCCGTTTCCAAACGATCTGGAGCGTTCTCTATCACCACCGGGAGCTGCCACAGCTTCAGCTCCGGAATGTCGTAGCCAGGACTCACCACCCGGCACTGAGCTTACAGTGGCAACACCGCCATGTCCATCATATCCACCATACATAGCCTGTGTGGAGGAGGAGTCCGCATGCACAGGAGCACCACTACTCAATGTTCCACTTTCACCAATATACTGCTGTTGCTGCTGTTGCGGGAATTGATGCTGCTGCGGCTGAAGATGCTGGTCATATGCACCAGCTGCGGGACTAGTACCAGGCGCATGTGGAAGGGACGCAGCAGCACCAGGACCAGTGGCAGCAGGGGCACCTGGCACAAATTGGCGATTCCTGTAATACGAGATCTGCTGCGCACGTTCGCGCTCAGCTACCGCTGCGATGCTGTCCCGAGACAATTCTGCGTTACTGACGATAATTAGTTGAATGGCGTTGCGAGTGCGTCCCACCAGCGCCACAATCTTCTCGTGGCTAGCTTCTTCAACGTTCTGGCCATTGATCTCCAGTACCAAATCTCCAGCAGTCAAACCGGCTCGATCCGCAGCGCTACCTGGCTGTATGGCCGTAAGGACGGCGGGCTGCTCGCCAGTGACGGTAAAGCCATAGCCGAGCTCGTCACTTGCTTTCACCACACTCACAATCCTCACTGCCATCAGCTCACGTAAAAACGCACACACTGCCTATTCCAGCCGAACACTGGAGCACCACGTAAAGTCGAGTGCAAGTCGCGTTGCAAGAATCAAGCAACCCACGTGAACGAAAACACGACTACAGATTGTACAGATGCCAGTGACGGGTGACTCCAGATGCAGTAGGAGTGACGATGGCGGTGTGATAGGCCGATATCAACCGCTTGGCCACCTTCACCAGCAGCAGCAGCACCACCACCACTAGCAGCAGCAACGCTGCTGGCACAATACTCAACAAAACCAGAAGCGTCGACCTGTCGCGCAATAAACGGGAAGGCAGGCATTGGCTTATGTGATTCTCACATCCAAAACATCCATCGCAACCTGTCGCGTGGCAGGCGCTTGCGATCACAACCGAGGCATCACAAGACCTCGCTTGCAAGTAACTACTTACTTGCAGCGCGAATGCTGATCGATCTCGAGCACGGTGATAGCTACAGGCTTGGGCTAGCACTAAATAAAACTCTTTAGCAGGGAGTAGATATACTGGATGGATGGTGTTGGGCGGCTCCTAGATTTTTCAAATCCAACACAAAAGTACTATGCCGGTCAGGGAAACACCGCTGCAGCTCAGCTTGCACTTCAGCAAACACTACTGAGTAGAGTGTAGTGTAGAGTGTAGTGTAGACTACAGCCCAGGACATCGTACATGTACAGTTTACTACACAGTCTACAGCCTAGTAGTACTAGTAGATCTACATACAGTTACACAGGCTCTCGATCTCGCAGGTGGTGAACAGAAATCCATTCAGAGCACGCGATTTACGTGCGAAACAATACATTCACTGCATGCATGCCACACATCATGCATGTCACATTGTCAGTAGATCATGCATAAAAAATTTTGTACACCGCATCAGCTACTACCAGTCTACGTAAGATCGTGGTCCCATGCAGTAGTATAATAAGCATGGTACCCCATGGTCCAGGCGTTCTTGATCTACCCTCATAATCACGATCATTGGCATGGCCTCAGCATCACTGCCATCATGATCAGTTCATATCCTGTTGCTCAGAATTTTCTTTAGATTTTTTAAATCACCTATACTCCCTGCAGGAATTTAAGAAGAGTTTACGTCTATATACAAACGAGTATGCCCATAGAACCACTGGCATTCCTACACCTCAGTAGTAATTGCATAATTATCACACTTTCCTTTGACGTTTTATTGTCTCATTCCATGTGTCTGGCTAATTTATTCTATTCCCCCCCCCCCCCCTGTTATGCTACCTATTCAATATCACACAAGTGGAGAACCCCTCGATAGGCTACCCGCCTCTGGGTCATCCCTCAAATGAAGATAATAATAATACTGGCTACAGCTCAGACAACGCAATGGCTACATGTACACAATATACATGTACATGTAGGTCGTCATCAGGAGTGTAGATCTACATGACTATCTGCTCATCGCCTGCAAGAAGCTCTGCCCTGAAATGTTCAAGTACATGTAAATGTCCGGACGTCCGACATGAAGAGTGTGTCTGTGTGGCCGGTTTTGCAATGGATAGACACGTTTCCAGCACGTTCAGGCAGACACGCACCATAAGCACTGAGCAGAGTGTTTTTCACTTGTTCTGTACTGCGGCCTAATGCCGGCACGTTACCTTTCATGATTCACAAGCCATATCCGTCAATGGATGAAGTCCTTTTTAAAGTCCTTTTCAAAGTAAATTGGCAGTGTTTATTTCTACGCAAGGAACATAGTCCTGGTTGCGCACCCTACCGACAATCCGATCATACAAGTAATAATATTGTGGGATGATATGGGGCACTTCATCAGTTCATGCTCGGACGTGAGCGGAGAACCAAGTGTCACAGAGCTGCGGTGTGGTGGGTGGGCGACTTGGAGAGTGTGTGGGCCAACACCGAAGTGTCATGATTCATTTCTCGCCTTTCCTTTACCTGGTACAGAGCTCAGGAGCCTGCACTATGTCACACAAATCACAATGTCAATGGACAGGCAGGGATGTCAGTGGTTGACAGCTCGACGCCACCACTTCGGCATTCACGTCTTTACTTTAGGACCTACACAAGACAAAAAAAAGAGAGGAGAATGAGCACTGCATGCATGGCGGTGTATTATAAGCCGGGCTCTCGCACTACACTGACGGCGTGACGCCCCGCCTACCCCCCCCCCCCCCATTGTCCTTGTGACGTGAGCCAATGCTGTTACTTACTGTCACTAACTTTAATACTATAACAAGTATAAGGCAGTTAGGGGGCGATACCGAGTCTATCGTATTATCACCATGTTTCTACGTTCCTAACTGTTGGTTTGTTTTCATCTCAGACGGTTGGTGGACCAATCAATGGTGGTAATGGCACGTGTATACAGCACCAGCGTCAGCTCAAGGGACAAGCTCAAGGAAAGGGACATTGAATGATAATAATATTATGATCTGACGTTGGTTAAAAAAATACGGTCTGGTACGCGTTGCACGGGAATCGACGGATGACTTCTACATTGTAGTCAATGTAGTTTAGTGCTGTCTGAGCCTCTGAGGCCTGTAGCTGAGTGTAGGCTGTACTACTACTAGTATACTACTGCCTGGGCTCGAGTGGAAGATGCACGTCGGGACCATGATGAATCATTGAATGGATGTAACCGGTTAACCCCAGTCTCAGGGAAATAATCACTGGCACTCTGAAGGGAAATGATCCACAGATTTAAAATAAAAAAATTAATTGCGCTGGTGTAGATCTACATGTACATGACTGTACATGCACGTAGCCGTCGCTGTAGATCGAAGAACTGGGGCTGATGATCTTGCAACCGCCCTCAATGTCACACAGCGGTCGTCTGTCTCACAAGTCACACTCACAGTTAAAAATGTGTCAGACTATTTAAAAACAATAATGTCAGTACAAAGACAAACGGTAAACGGCGAGTTGCATGCATTGTCTATACATGTACCAGTGTCCATGCCACCAATTCCAAGAGTGTACTCTTGATGCCACGTCACGTCGTGTATGTACATGTACATGTACATACTTTGAAGTAAAAGTATCGTTCTAGCAACTAACGACGTATTCGGAACGTCGTTGGGTAGTCCTATTATGTACCAGGTTTTAAAAGAAAGGATCAAAATGTTACTTGTTATCCGTAGTTTGTGACCCAATGGCAATGGTAACAGTTACATGACTGCACATGTACATGTACATGTATAAGCAAGATGTTGTGTAGTCAGAAAGTGCAACAGCTAGTAGCAGGACACAAACTACGTATGTAGTATGTAGTAAAAAGTAACAATGTACATGTACATGTAGTTGGCACTGCACAGTCGGGGGGATATCATGTGTCCCTGGGCCTAAACCATTCGCCTACCGTTTTGATAATACCAGTGCTCCTACCAGCAGATCTACAAGGCTCGAGCACGAGAAGTAGTAGTATTCTTTTATTTTCCATCGGAAGCCTCAGCAGTGATGAACACCGATTACAGAGTAGAGGGGTGTGGGGTGAGTACGAGTCACTCCGACACTCGTAAAGCTACACCAATGGCAGTGGCAGTGAGGTGAATGCTGAGTGATGACTATTGTTATCATGGTTGGTTATGGACTCTCACTGATACCAAGACTCGAAGAGTATAATATACTCTTGGTATTATACTGTAACCCCCCAGGGGGGTTATGTACTCGATCTTGCTGATACATGTACAATGTACCGTGAACTAAGTAACGTGTTACTGCTACTTGTTACATAGCACTGGGCTTTGGGCAAAATACATTCATATGAAGTACCTTTTTTTAAATTTCGGCCAGTCGGCTACTATCATTAATTTTCGTCTTGGGGGTTACGACAAGGGGAAGTAGCCATGTAGGAGTGTGAACCCGCCTTTCGGCACCGGGACTGCACCGGGACTGCGGGACTGGCGAGAGTTACAGCTCGCTCGACTCTACTGAGTGAAGAGAACCCACACACGGGCCACAGGGCCACACCTTGATCTGGTGAGCTGCGTCGTGGGGATTTCGCAGTCAGATGTGCGACTGTCACTAGGCCTCCGCGGAATATGCCGGCATAATTTCGGGAATTATCGGTGTGATTTTTAAAACGGGAATTATTGGCAATTTTTGTGGAATAATCGGTAAAATTTGAGCAATGCCCCCCTTTTTTCAATTTTTTCCATTTTAACACCATGATTTGTACCAAAAAGCTTGTGATCCTGAATGAGTTGATCGCCCGGTACGCGTATTTCAAAAGAGAAAAAAAAAGCTTCCAGCCGAGTTTCACGCGAACCGTGATTTTTTTTGCCCGTACAAGTGGCAAAAAAACCCGTAAGCGGTACGGTATCTGCAAAAAAGGGAAGAAAAAAAGCATTATTGTGAGAATTATTGGTGGAATTACGGGAATTATCGGACGTAATTTTGAGCAATGCTCAAAGGAATTATCGGTAAAAATACGAGCATATTCCGCGGAGGCCTAACTGTCACTGCGGGGCTCGAACCCAGGTCTTTGAAGTGACTTACAGTGTGACTATCCTACTTCAGTATTCCCAGGCCTTGGCTTGGGGTCATGTGGGACCAGTCGACTTCTTCCCACTACACCAGCAAGATGCACTAGAAGTTTTCCACCGGGTGAGTCATGACTGAAGGGTGCATTGTGCCTTCCTCGGCTCCTCCCAGAAGACGACATGTACTGATTGACTTCATACTAGGCCAATAATATTACTAGTACATTTATACGAAATAAACCTAATAAAAGAAGTACTCGGCTTTTACATGCCCAGTACTTCCTATATTGACCTCATACTCAGTTAGTATTGCATGTACATGTATGAAGTCACGAAGACCGATGATGTAGAAACGATAGCGCGAAAAGATAGATGGCATTATGGTCAAACAAGCAAAAGGCAGTCGATCATTAAAAAATTGGCAATTTGTGGTTGCAATCATATGACACTGAGAAGGAACAGATGCTTGAGGACCGTGCGGCACATGCCGACGCTCAATCAACGCCGGACTACGTCGCTCCAGTCCACGCAAAAGGATAGGACTGAGGGCAAGAGTCGTACGACTACAGTAACACATATTCTCTCTAGCTCTTCTCTTGTACCTTCTTGCTATCATTCACTTAAATGTGGGGCTTTGAATAAAACAAGTCGTGACAACAGTAACACATATCCGGCACAATGGCCGAGAAGACAACCTAAAAATGTGACAAATCGTGTCTAGATACTCACACTCACAGTGCTAGTATCAATCGCACCGACCTGCTGTTCTTTTCAGAACACTCACCCATCCATAACTACAGATCATTTCCTGGTGGATAGGCAAACAACAGCTGGCACGAGCCATTAGCCATTCTTCGCACCAAAATTATTGCTAAACGTGTCCTGTTTTGCAGCTGCCTTCATGTACATGATTGTACAAGTACAACTGATGCCAGATGGCCAGATCTCGAACTCCACAGGCAGTCAGGCACAGCTCATGCATGTAAAAGTACTCTTGCTGCCTCGGAGACGAGAATGTGCAATAACCCTGAGAAAAGGACGAAACAGACACACTAAGTCTTGAGGCTCCTCAACATCATCTTAAAAGGTTTTCACTGGTGTACATGAACATGTACTTTCAAGCCTTATCGTTAGCGAATGTCGTGCTTCAGGTAGGCATGGGCGAGTAATGCTAACATTATGGCTGGCATTATAGTCCCTTTGTTCCAGGTGACATATTGCTGGCATTATAACACCATTTCGCACGCAAAATTGGCATCACAAGCATAATTGCTGGTCGACAACGGTGTCATGCATGAAGCTGGCTAGGTCCAGTTCCGAAAATCGTGCATCTGAACCCGTCCGGCTTCGTCCGGAGACTTGACGTTGCAAATCAACCTTCTCAGTAGGGGTGAAACGAGTATCTATTTTGACCAACCGATCACTCATTCATAATGTTCGATCGAGTATTTTATCAAAATTCGAAAGCGCTAGATTTGTGAGTTCTCGACCAATTCGGAAGAAATTATCTGTGAACATAGAACAAAAGTCGCCAGCGTCTTGTACAGAGTGTAGAGTAACGATTTTCACCAGTACTTTCATTATCTCATTATACGACATAACAAACTAACCGTTACTTGCCGTGGTGATCGCATCGTCGAAGTCATAAAATACTGACTCAAAGGCACGCAACACGCATGCATACCATGTACCAGTCGATGAGCGGTACAACAGAAGTTTTTGAAAAATGAAATGCCAATACTAAAAAAAAAAAAAAAAAAAAAAAAAAAAACGATCGAGTGCAAAATTTCGAATACTCGCTCGTTTGAAATTTTCGAACGAATACTCGAATATTCGAACTAATCGTTTCACCCCTACTTCTCAGTGGATTGTTTCAGACAACATGCTCACTGCTGTTTAAGTTTTTTTCTTCTGCGCTTTGGCCTTGATCCAAGACGGCCTTTTAAATCGACTTTTCCAACTTTCAAACTGGCATTATGGAGTGGTGTGAGCATTATATCCTATGAGTATGAGCATAGCCTTTAGCATTATCGCAGCAAATAACTAGCATTACCCGCCCATGCCTAGCTTCAGGTCAGATGATTGTTTTTTTCTCCATTTTGTGGCTATTTTGTCCCGTGCACGCAGTGCGAAGTTTTAAAATTGTTGAATGTTTTAGAAGCTGTGTTACTGTGTACATAATACACACTAAGAAACCTCACTCTACTGATGTACATTGTCTAAGCAAGAGTCCATGTTTATGGACTCTTGGTAGGCACTAACGAATGACGTGTGGTCATGGTTACTAACATTTCTGGTATCAACGATGCAGGCCAAGACTCAAGAGTCCATAACTGGTTATGGACTCTTGATGCAGACGCTAAAGCTTTATAAAAAAGACACACCCGCTCCTGGAATAAGGATTACACAAGTAATAACCAGATACACATCATAGCAGAGTTTCGCCACTTTCATTATTGAAATGCAACACAGGACCACCAGATTGCACCTCGACGACCAAACCGAGGATGGCCGGATAGTGGCGGAAAACTTTTAAAGTAAAAGGATGTGCTTAATACGTAACGTCGTTGACAAGAGAGGACGAGACGCGTCGACGAAGTTAGCTATTTACTGGACGTGCGACAGAAAAGACGAGCTTCGGTGCAAAGGAAGGCCAGTTCCTATCCGAAGGTGATTCAAGGCTGGCGCGTTGCAAGCAAGAAGTGGCTCAGGCTGCAGTGGGCCACTTTTCATCACAAACAGCCTTCGTCGCTGAGCACAGCGAACTAGTGCTAGTGTGTCAAGTAATTCACCATCCATTCAATCCAGCTTCGCTTGCCGATAGTCGGTTATCCCACGGGGATTCTGACGCAGGAAAACATCACAGCTCTAGCATGCAGACGCTCACAAATGGTACAGCGACGGAACGTTCACAGTTGTACCGCCACTTTTCACCCAGGTACAGAGCACATTACTTCTTTCTGCGTGTGTATGCCACTCTACCAGACAAGTGCCAGGATACGTACGAGAGACTCCTCCAAGCCTTGATTGATATCAATCCTGACCATCGGCCGGAATGCATCAGCACACCGTGACGGGCTATGCCGATTATGATATTGCAGCCATCATATCAGAGGGTGGAGATCCAAGGCCGTCGCAAAATATCTTCAAATCCACACTTTTAAGGACAGTTGCAAGCTTGCAACAAAGGTACGCTGAGCAAGCTGACTTTGCAATAGAGCTATGCATGATCGCAGCCCTTGCCGCGATATTCATTCCGCTGTGAGACGTTAGCGGGTGTTTGACTCACTGGAAGCTTATTTTCCTCCCAAAGCGGAGTAAGCATTGAAGTACTTCGAGACCTACCGTGTCGCCGGTCTAAGAGCAAATGGAACCAGGAAACACCTCTATTTCAACACCAGTCTGTCAGTGGTAGAACAATTACATCCACACGAGAACGGTTACTGGAGATCACCGAACTGCCAGTATCCGGGAAGGTTGGTACCATCATTCTGCAGCTCAGGTAGTCTAAAACTGCCATCACCTGACACTATGGGAATGATTGAGAACTATAAAAAGAAAGAGTATCGAAGCACAGAAGAAACCTGGAAGAATGCGTGCTGGGTGAGATGGGCCAACAAGGAAGGAGTGGTACAGAAAGGTTGATCAGTGCCTGCACAACGCAGTGATCGCACAGCATTTTTAAGCACCGACCACGACTGGGGTGTTTGTGTGGTATTGCGCATAAGCTGTCAATTTCTTTTCTTCAACACGATCATATCGGCCTCTTGTACGGGCAACAGAACACAATTTTCTACAGAGTGAGAATCAGTGCGAAATTTTTAATAGGAAAGAGATAAGGGAGAGATGTAGGGGGGGGGGGGGACTCCACAGCACCTAGCATGAAAATTCTAAAGCCAAGAGAGCAACCGATCGAAACAACTCAAGCTTGGAAGTTGGATACGCGCTTCGGCAGCCACCAGGGTGGCAGTTTCACCGTTCTCTCTGTGACTGGGGCTGAATCGGCCACGTGATCCTCGCGTAGGCTCATACACGCTGCTCTCAGCAATGCGAATGATAACCTGCACCACATTGTGGCAAGTATTACACTGAAGGGTTCACCCGTCTTCTCCCCCTTCTTATCCGCAATCCGTCTATAGAGGGGTGAAGCTGCCTTGCCTTGACCTCCAGCGCAGGACAAAACCACAGGAACAATGGATGCCTGCTCGACAGCAGAAACACGCTGCTCATATCTCCGCCTCTTCTCCTTCTCGTGACGAGAGTAAGTAGCAGAAAGAGAAGAGGACGAATTAGAGACAGCAAACGGGTTGAACACTCGCACATCCAGGAAGGCCCGTTCGAACCTACCGCCCCAGAGGCCGCTCACTGCAATGATTATGTCCAAGCGGGCACCGGCCTCCCGAGCAGCAGATCTCAGGCGGAAGGTTTCACCAGCCGGCAGACGTTGGAGAGGTGGTTCAACGGAAACATCATAGGCCACGTCTCGTAGAAATGATGCGGTCTGATCACGGATTTCATTATGCCGTATCGATCCACCCATGGGACACGCTAGGGCATGGCAGACGGTAAATTGTTGACCATATGGACACTGTGATGCCAAGTGTGGCGGCTGCCATCCATACCGAAGGCAGAGACTGTCGCGGAAAGCCATCTTGTGTACCCAAAAAGAGTATGCTGCGAGAGGGCGGCAAGTAGTTACTAGTAGCCAGCTCGAAGCGCCCTTCTCACTGGCTACCTCAAGCAAATGCTTTTAAAAATAGTGCTGTCAGCCTCATCCTGGAGTTCCTCCTCTTCAGTCCGCTGGGCAGTATTGGCTTCCTGAATCACCTTCGCTTTGTTGCGACGAATGACAGACGGGCAGTCCCCTAGCTCTTCATCGCCGTCGAGGATGCGCTGAACCAAGCACTGGGTGATTGACGACACAAACTGCCGGCATAACGACGTTACGTGTGTGGTTTCATAATACCCAGACCTCCAAGGCGACAGGGGAGGTGTTTTTTCTGGCTTTTTGCTGGCTCGGGCCGTGATGATTACTGGCAAATGGCACTACACGTATAAGTGGATCCTGTAAATACTCCCACCAAGTGTTCATGGTTATGTACTCTTGCTCCCACCTATTACTGCATGTATCGACGTATTTATTGTCGTACACGAAACCAGTTTGTCCTCAGGAATACCCAGCACAATCAGTGAATGGGATGCGTTAAAAAAGCCCCACGCCCCAAAAGTTACCAGTGTAGTTTGTGGGAAAGAAGCGCGGAGAGAGAGAGAGAGAGAGAGAGAGAGAGAGAGAGAGAGAGAGAGAGAGAGAGAGTGAGAGAGAGAGAGAGGGAGGGAGAGAGAGAGAGAGAGAGAGAGAGAGAGAGAGAGAGAGAGAGAGAGAGAGAGAGAGAGAGAGAGAGAGAGAGAGAGAGAGAGAGAGAGAGAGAGAGAGAGAGAGAGAGAGAGAGAGAGAGAGAGAGAGAGAGAGAGAGAGAGAGAGAGAGAGAGAGAGAGAGAGAGAGAGAGAGAGAGAGAGAGATGAAGCTATCTTGCAACTCCGAGTTTCATGTAGTCACGATCATCAGGCAACAGGTAATATGGCCGGGGGTTATGTACTCTTGGCCACACATGCAGGCAAAATACTCAAAAAGTTTACCCCATCACGCACCTCACACAACCGTCGTAACTGGCTAATCGTGACAGTTTAGCCTGGCTCAACTTTCGCGATGCGATGTGCGATTTGGACCTTCTTTGCAGCAAAGTTGTGCGTTGCTTGTCGATTTGTGAAAGGTGTACCCAGTAGGGCCAAGTAACCAGCTATGCGAATGCCATGGTTATGTACCCCCCCCCCCCCCCCCTCCACACACACATTGAGTTTTGAGGTACATCAGCAATGCAACATTGCAACACTGACTTCTTTTGTGAATCGCTTTGTGAATGGCATTTTCCGAGTTCGCATCGCACCGAGGAGGCATAGATCACATCACAGCGCAAAAACAATGATACAGTGAATTCAGCTATACACTTTCAGAGTAGGAATTCCCGAATCTTCATAGTAGTCTGTAGTTTTCAGTCTTCACTAAAAATTAGTAAAACTTGTAACTTCTCCTTCTGAAGGAAAGGGGCTAGCAGTGTAAAAGCGGCCACGCAATACAAAACAGCAAGCCACAAAGTCCTACCCATCTGCCAGCAGATAAAGAAGACATTCGCATCAATGTTTCTAAAAGATAAAAAAAGATAAAGGGAGAACATGGATAATCAGTAAGTGGCATTCCGATCAACCAACATAGAAAATACTCTGACTAACTAAGGCTGACGATGGAAGAAAGAACGAAATAGAAAAGAAAGAACACGAATCATCGGAGTCTTGGGTTGCTAAAAAATGATTGAAGCTGACATACACAGTCCAACCCAGGGAGCAGTCAAAATTTCTACGGCTATTGCCGAAGTCACCGCTAATTCCCAGCGTCTAATTACCAACGAAAGCGAAGCACCGCTTCCAACAAACATCGGTTACTCGATGTGCAGAAAAGAAGCCACAACAAAAGAAGCCGCTGTAAGGCTAACCTGGTCTTCTAGAGACAGACTAATGGACAGACAGACATGCAAACACAACAGACACACATTGAGACAACCAAGTACAAACTGGTGGGATCATTCATTTCCGGAAGTAACTGAGAGGGTTGGCTGAGATGCCAGCATTGATATCCTATGACAGCAACACAAAAAGAAGCAAACAATTGAGGTGGAACATGCAGCAGCAACAGTAGTTGGCAAAAAACTCAAGTAAAAGTTAAACACGCCCCAAAGGCCAAAACAAAGAGTTCCTATACGGATCACACAAGTTGAATTTGTTTAGATGTTCTGCCTAGACTGCCTGTGGGTGGTTCCGTGTCCTGCTGGCATCTTGCGCCAATCCTACAATGTAGCTGGACTGCCTGTGAGTGGTTCGCTGTTCTGTTCCTATCCTGGCTCAATCCTAGCAGCATGCAGCATACTCTGCCCTGACATATCAGACACACAGCAACTCTTAGAAAGACGTATATACTTTTTGCAGAATAGGCAGACTTCCCGCCGCATTACCTGTGTGCATGCCACCACACTGTGAAGACATGAGCATTTCCAGAGTGCAGCACCCAGTCTGCAAGTACTTGACAAGAAAACCTACCTTCACGCCAGACTTGAATGCCTTGACACGCGCACGGCCAACAATGTTGCCAATCCTGGAGATCAGATCAAGGAAAGAAAAGTGGAACTGGTCATATCAATAGCTTTACCGAATACAAGTACAGGGACAGTGTTAAGACAGCCTGGACTGCCGGCGGGTGGTTCAGTGCCCTGCTGCTGTCTTGGCTCAATCCTAGCAAGTGTGCTCTTGATTGGAGCTGCAGATCTAGAACACAACTCCAAACAAAAGATGCAGGACAACCACTTACTTGGCTGTTGTGCCAGGCAGATATTGGCCAATGTAGGTGAAGAACAGGATAGGATTGCGCGAAATCCAGATCTCGCTGAGCTGATTGGCCAATGCCACGGCAACCAGGTGGGAGCACCGGGCAGTGGATACTTTCTTACGGTCATCTACGTTGTGAGCACCAATCTCCTTGCAAGATAAAAGAATGGAACAGCACGGCAAAGAGACAAAACAATTGGGGCTTTTTTCCAGGCCATAACCTTGGAATGGATTTAGCTTTCACTGCTGTCAAATCTCAAAGCACAGGAAAAGGGGAATTCTTCATACCATAACTAATTGAACTAGCAATGTAACAAAGAATCGATTATTCAAATTTCCTCCATCTCTTGGACCTCAACGAATAATCGATCGGATAAAATCTAGGTCGAAGGTTCGAAAACTCGAACATCTGTGGGCGGGCGAAGTCCGTGCGCTGCATACCGCACGCGCGACTCTAAATCTCTAGACTTGAATGCATAAACTGTGTACTATGTTGCAGACAATGACTAGACTACATGCGGTAGACCATGGTAGATTCTACTCTGACTCGAGCCTGAGCGCCTGTGTTGTGTGTTTGCTACATGTACACTTTTTGTGGAATAGTAGAATAATCGTTCGTTCACTTGAGTGGTATTCGTGGTGGTATTCGTTCGTAAAATTCATGGTTCGTTACATCACTGAATTTAACAGCATGACAGTGCACATACCTCATTCATGGAGCCAGTCGTAGCATTGGCAGAACCTTGCGATACAACCGGTCCCGGGCAGACAAGGGTTACCGCTACGTTGCGATCGACCACCTCCATGCGCATGCTCTTGAAGAAGCCCTGGAGTGCATGCTTGGACATGGCGTAGGATGCAGCAATGGGTGTACCTGCCAACAGGATGAGAAAAACCACGAAGGTCAAGCGTGATGGACGGTCAAAGATGATTGTAAGGAATGGGGCCCAAAGTCTATAAATACAATGTACAGTGCAAGGGCTTGTCAGAAATACGTCTCCACGGTTCTATGTATACCAATAGTCCAATCATACTCATAGTCCCACGACATACCGATGAGGCCGGCGACACTGCTTATGCAGGCCACATGCCCTTGTTCGCGTGCCAGCATGTGTGGCAGGACAGCCTTGGTTAGGGAAATGGTGCCGAGGACATTCAGGTCGAACAAGTGCTTGTCCACAGCAATCTCAGTGGACTCGGCAAGCGCTCGCTGTGATCGCCCAGCATTGTTCACCAGAATATCAATCTAAGCACATAGAAACGACAAGGCCACCGGCACACAGACAGACGGACAGAGACGGGCAGAGTTGCCACGATAACTAAACCAGTAAACACACAAAACTAGTCATATGATGCAAACTTGACAAGGAATAGGAACTTTGTTGGTCGTAAACCTGTAACATATAGGAGGCCTGCGATATCCAAACGAATCGCATAAAATTAATAAGGATCGAAAATAACGGCGTCAGAAGTCAATAAATGATTCAAAAACAACTTCCAGGTCAAGTTTGATCCACTCTGACAGTAGCGAAGCACTCTAGTATAGGCCTCTCGTATTGCATGTCACTACAACTTTTTCAAGTACCAGTACTGAACATTGAACTCTGTTGAGATATCAAGCGGCCACGGGGTGCTGGCCTTGTAGCCGTGAGCACTGCTGGTCCATGTTTTGCAGTGTGTGCGTGAACGTACAGTGCATGTACACGCTAAGGCAGTAAGGGCGCCGGCCCCGGCCCTTATACCGGATTTCAATGTCCACAGCAGTACTAGCAGTGGGTACCGGGCTGCCATGGACAGGTCCAGTCACTACTGGCGCATGTGCCACTCTACTACAGTCCATTCAGAAAAAGATGAGCGCTGGCTCTGGAGAGCTCTCGTGTTTGGCGATTTTGTGGCACACTGCGCAGTGCCGCGCGATTCGAAACTTGAAAAAGGGTCCAAAAAAGGCACCTCAACTGGGGTTCGAACCGCAAATGTACTGTTATGCAAGTGGAGTGAACGGCTTGGATTTTCATGGTTTTTACCCAATTCAGTGCTTTGGGGGCAAAACCTGGCCGAAATCCTATTCTTGTTATGGCTTGCTTTTTGGAGAAATAGACTTCAAAAACACAATTGGAAGAGCATTCCATGGGGATTGCCAAAAAAATTGTGACGAAAACTCAAAATTTGACCGGTTTATGGCCAAAAGCTAGGATATCTTTTTCTGAATGGACTGTATAATGAAGGATACCACTCTGGACATGCATGTATCCTGATACAGCCAGGATACAAGAGGGTCCAAACGTCTACACACTGCCAGGACTCCAGTTTGGCTGTGGCATTGCACTTGCAAGCCCTATCGTACACACACACACAATGTGTAAAAGAGAGACCATTTACCTTGCCAAAGTGATCGAGAACAGACTGGACTGCACCGGCATGGCTGTCGTAGTTCAGTATGTCCAGAGGCAGCACCAACACATCCTCATCCTTGTTACTGGCATTGGCAGCTGCACAAGTAGGATCACAAACCACGTCGGAACGCAAATTTCAACACAGATTAACACGGACAACCAAATCTCCAAGGTCATCCCCAAACAATGGCACTACAGCGTGAGCAGCATGATCATCAATGAATTTATTCGGCTTGACAATATATCTTAGGTGATCTCAACAAGCAAAGTCTGCTAATCAGCTATAAAGGGCCACTGCAATAATAGATCACCTGTCAGCGTAGACTAATCATACCGTGCGCCCAGCCAGGCATCAACATATATAAACAAGAGTACATAACCCCCCAGAGTGTGCAACTCCCACATACCCTGTTGTCCCGACAGAATTTCAAGTTGACGTCATTATTTATGACACAATGCTCCTTGCAGCAGTGATTTACAACATGTGTACGGGTGTCAACGCATCACACGTTTTTCTTTGCAATAATTTGTACAGGATCGATCGGCTTCGGTCAACCACAGGTTCCGGATTCGTCTGATAATCCGTGTACAGTGCGCATTGCATCATCAAAATGACGTCAACTTGAAATTCTGTCGGGACAGCACCCATAGTGGAGTTGCACACTCTGGGGGGTTATGTACTCTTGATATAAATGATCCTGCGTACAAAGACCAGCTGACTACACGTACTTGTGTGAAAGTGAGATGCATTGGCGACACCATCCACAGGTCACTATCACAACACTTATTATTATCTATCCCGTCCGGAATTTATCCGTTTGCATCGTGTATGTCTACCACTTATGGTAGGATGTGGGACCCAGGAAACAAGGCAGCTGTTGGTTTAGTGACATGGTTCAGCCATACTCCTTTACGCTTGGTTAACATAATAGCAATATAGCCCATCAGGGGTGGGAGTAGCAGCCCTGGTGCTTCCCGAAGCTGTGGCATCTGATAGCGACTGTGTGTGTGTGTGTGTGTGTGTGTGTGTGTGTGTGTGTGTGTGTGTGTGTGTGTGTGTGTGTGCGTGCGTGCGGGGTCGGCAAGCTGGTGGCAAGAATAATAGCGGATCGCCTGCAGCTGGTTGGTGAGGAATACCTGCCTGACTCCCAGTGTGGCTTTCGCCGTGGAAGGGGATGTTCAGACATGGTGTTCTCAGTACGCCAGGTTGCCAAGAAATTGCATGAACATTCGTCAAAGGGCTTTGCGTTGTTCATCGACTTGCGCAAAGCATGGGATTCAGTACCTACAGTCTGTTTCAAAAAGATTAGCAATCAAGTTTGGGTCTTAAAAAGTATGAAGATAAGGGAAATCTGGACAACAAAGTACATAAAACGGCTTGTTAGGGCACGGCAAATTGTTCTGTGAAGGTTTCGGAACAATTGGACCTACCGTTAAGGAGTTAGTATTTCGGCCAGGTTTCTGGCCTTTTCCCATGGTTTATAATTTGCCCTGGAAGCCAGTATCGATTTGTTATCAAAACCCACGATTTATCCCTTCCTTTTTGGCCTAGTGGTTATGAATGCTGTCTGCTTACCATGAAGTTGTGAGTTCAAATCCCAACAAATCTTCAAGTCAAACATGTTTTCTTCATTTTTTCATTGTTTTGGTACAAGACAAAGAAGGTAGCTGCGCCAAGCGACTTGTTGTTGGAGCTCGCGTTTCCTGCCGAACTGACTGACACTTGACTGGCTCACGCCATGTGAAGTTGGAACACACACAACACTGAAACCGTGTGAGTGAACACGGAAGTCATTGCGCTGTAGCTACGTGTTGTTGAATAAACCGGCACATCGCGATCGATCGATTTCTGTTTGAGAATTATTTTAGTATTTGAAGATCGCCAATTTATTTGAATTTAGGAGTCAACGCCGTCTTCTATCAGCTTTCACAGGCGTCTGCTTTCTCAAAATGTCGTCGAAGTCACACGGATAACTTTGCCACTTCAAGGCCTTGGGAATGAGTCTGTGTCGATGCCGTTTTCGTCACATCGTGAGAGTAAATTGCATCCGCGCGCGGTAGCTCAAAGAATCTATTTGGTCAAAAAATGGACGCATCCCGCTCGTCAAAATTTACCACACTTTCGACATGTCCTCTCTGACTCCACATCGATGCGAGGAAGAACTCGTTTGTTGTAAACCAGACGAACATGTACGAGTACCAACGTCAGTGAGTTGTCATTTTTCATGCTTTCGCGCGGAATATTTCTTCGAGTTCACAGTGAGTTTTTCCAGGCAGCGCTCGAGCGCTCATACGGTAAGACGGCAAACTCCCCGGGCGATCACCAGGATTGCTAATCTTTTTGAAACTGACTATAGAGCAACCATGTGGAGGGTTCTATCCAGGATCGGCGTGCCGGATAAGCTGATTTCCATCATTCGGTCGTTCCATGAAGGCATGTCTGCATCCATCCGTCTCGGCGCAGATCTGCTGGAACCTTTCCGGGTGGGAAATGACCCACGTCAGGGATGCACTATGGCCCCGATCCTGTTTAACTTATTGATGGGTGCGGTTGTGGAAAAGTGGCATGCTGCCACCGCCAATGATGAGGATATCGGTATCCAGGTGTCACAGTTCCGCAGGGACTGCTTATTTAATACACGCCTCAGAGAGTGTCACAGAGTCACTATAACGGAGTGTCAGTTTGCAGACGATTCGTCGTTGTTTGCCAACACCTACGGCGGTGCTGAAAGGGCCTTGGCCACGTTTCGGGAGGTTGCAGGATCTTCTGGCCTGTCAGTCAATCTGGGAAAAACTAAGTTCAGGCCTATGGGCGTTGGTGTGGTGGCGTCGGATATGTTGCCTTTGGGTGGAACCGTTGAATGCGTGGACAGCTTTCGCTATCTTGGCTGCCAGATCACTCCTGATGCTAGGAGTAACTTTGATGTCTCTCGCAGGATCGCTGCAGCTTCGGGTGCATTTGGCGCCTTGAAGAAGGCTGTGTTTGCGAACTCAGAGTTTCCCATCGATCTCCAGCGTGTTGTCTACAGAGTCACTGTGCTGGCGGTACTCCTGTATGGTGCTGAGAACTGGACACTGAGGCAACGGGATCTCCAGCAGCGTCTGGAGTCGTTCCACCTGCAATCTATACGCATGGTCCTGGGCATCAATTGGGCGTGCCAGATGGACGAGCATGTGTCAACCCTTCAGGTACGGCAGTGGTGGGGAGACATGGAGCAGGTCTCTGACAAGGTCCAGTGCCGCCGTCTCCAATGGCTGGGCCACCTGGCTCGCCAACTGCTCTTTGGTGCCTTGCCGTCCAAACGACCTCCACATGGCGCCCGGAAAAGGTGGAAAGACCCAGTCAAGCATGACTTGGCGGCGGTGTCCATTGGCATGGATGAGTGGCTTGACACAGCAGATGATAGGTCTGAGTGGAAAACCAGGTGTCAGGATGGAGTTCACAGCATGGTATGTTCTCGTGTGAAACCTGCCGTGAAGCCACTCCTGTGTACGGTCTGCACACATCGTTTCAGCCGTCCTCAAGACATCGCTAGACAGAGCTGCATCTCCCGTCGCTCCGTAAAAGCAAAAAAAACAGTAAAACAGCCGTCCACGTCCCGCCGGACTCGCAGTGCCTCATGCCGCGTCCCGAAGCCAGCACTCCTTCAAGTCGTCCCGTTTGGGGACACATAGCCAATCGTGGCAGTGGGCGAAGCAGCGAAAGAACAGGGGCGGATCCAGGGGGGTGCGAAGGGTGCAAATGAACCCGTCAGGATTTTTCAAAAAAAAAAAAAAAAAGTCAGGCCAGGCCCAGGCTCGCTGCGCGGATCCGCGGATGATTTGTGTGCAATCACGTGATCGTTCTGGACACGTGCTCAACTGCTCGTTGTGCACGTCAACGCGCCAGGGCTGCACATTTGGAATAGAACTTTTTTGGAACTAACTGTTACTTTTTCACCGGCAACAAACTCACTTCGAAGTTCTTTACTTTTGACGTTGCATGTTTCAGTTGTCGTGTTAGCTTCTTTCAAATTCTCACTGCTTGTTCCGACTCCGTTTCCGTGCATGCTGAGTGGAGATGTCGGACACAGCTGGTGGACCAGCTGGTGAGACCATGGAGCTTGCTGCTAAGCGTCGTTGTGAGAGCCATCATCCTTTTGACATTGGGCGATTTGCTGGATTGATGGAGAATGCCAGCAATGATGACATCAAGTCGCTCCTAGATAATGTTTGGAAGCCTTCGAACCGCATGGACTGCCCATCGACATCTGGAAGACGTTTTCAGCTCTCGTGGATTGAAACTTATCCGTGGCTGGCGTACTCCAAGGATGTGGATGGTGCGTTCTGCATCTGGTGCGTTATATTTGGCCATAGGTTCCAGGCATTGAGTAAAAACTCTTCCAAACTGGAACAGCTGTATCGTGAACCCTTTCGGAGTTGGGGCAAGGCATCTTCCAAGTTGCAGATGCACAATACCAAGTCCCATGTCCATAAGTTTTCTGCCCTGGAATATGACAATTTCCTTCAGCTCATCGAGAATGTTCGCAAGCCTGTGGAACAGATGATCAGTGCTAATCATACTACTCATCTTGGTGCTATGTGTAATTATGATATTATACAGTAACACACATAACATACTATGTCTTTGGTTTACTACTGCAAAAGAAAATATGTAAGTTTCATCCTCGCACCCCTCAGCTTTGGGGTCTGGATCCGCCCCTGAAGAAGGTGTGTGCGTGTGTGCACACGTATGTGTGTCTACACGAGTGTATCGGTGTATATGTGTGCGCGCGTCCGTGTGTTTGTGCATTCTCGCATCCAAGCTGAAAACTGTAGCACAGAAACCCAGATGTGGATCACTTGGGAGCGACGTTCACCGCCGGCCCGGAATATCCACTGCGCACACCGCACAAGTCAATACAGTACATCATGTACGGGTTCTAAGCTTTTCCATAGTGTAAATTTAGGGCATGCCGACCACTACTAATAATAGGATCAAACTAATTGCTACTTGGTAGGACTAGTTCCTTTCGTTTTCAATGACGATTGTGTTAAGTTCTGGGCAGCATTATTCTTTGGCTAACAAATAAATAGACTTTGTGGTAATGTTCAAGCCCCAAACTACGTCGCACCGTCCTCAACACAATTGTCAACACGACTCAAATTAAAATTAAAGGGGAAGTTAAGGCAAAAATTAAAATTTCACCAGTTGTAGTCTTCGGGGTGCTGAGTCGAATGGTCTTGGTCCGAGAAAGCTGAGACGCTCCCTTCCTACTTGAATCCCAATCGAACTCGCGCACTTCCACCGAAACTGGGTGACTGCGGCCTACTAGATGGGGATTTGTATGCAAAATGTCACTAAAAGCGCCGTTTCGTTCTTATAAAAGCACGGATGACCGCGATTGGCCCATATGTTGTAGTCTTTTGGACGCTGAGTCGACTGGTTTTGGTCCGAAAAGGCTGCGATGCAGCGTTCCTCCTTTATTCCCAATCGAACATGGTTGAACAAGCGGTCACGTGCTCCTGGGTGCCCATATCACCTGGTCACCACGCCAGCAGGCGAGAACTTTCACACCAAGGTTCAACTCGAGTTCAACTCGAGTGACAGGACTGCACCCAAAAAAGGTCAAACAGGCTAGTAAGTTGTACCCTGCAGGCACGGTGACCAGCTGACTGGTGTACGCAGGAGCACGTGACCGCTTGTTCAACCATGTTCGATTGGGAATAAAGGAGGAACGCTGCATCGCAGCCTTTTCGGACCAAAACCAGTCGACTCAGCGTCCAAAAGACTACAACATATGGGCCAATCGCGGTCATCCGTGCTTTTATAAGAACGAAATGGCGCTTTTAGTGACATTTTGCATACAAATCCCCATCTAGTAGGGCGCAGTCACCCAGTTTCGGTGGAAGTGCGCGAGTTCGATTGGGATTCAAGTAGGAAGGGAGCGTCTCAGCTTTCTCGGACCAAGACCATTCGACTCAGCACCCCGAAGACTACAACTGGTGAAATTTTAATTTTTGCCTTAACTTCCCCTTTAAACAAACCAGCAAACAAAAATACTTTCAAACAACTCTAATTATCACCCACCCAAGCATGCCTGCTTTACGCGATTCAGTTCCTTCTCACGTCTTGCAGACAATATCAGTTTGGCTCCATATGTCGCTAGCTCGACAGCCAGACCTTCACCGATACCACTGGAAGCGCCAGTCACCCAGATCACTTGCCCTTTTAGGCTCTGCTTAGTTTTGCCAATTTTGTCAGCAAATTTCGAGTACACCATCAACGTGATATCACAGTCGAATATCTTTAACCAGATAAGGAAAAGGACCAGTCCAATTAGCAAGGAAAACAACATTGTGAAATCACTTCTAAACAGGAAGAACCGACAAGGAGTCTAATTTACTCTATCAAGCAAGAAAAGTGAAGAAGAAGATGGTCCTGTTATACTTGTACGGTGCTGCAAAAAGTCAATGAAATGAAATACAGTCACGATCGTACAACGCTACAACAACAAATAATTTGTAGATCTCCCGTAGAATCAGATGTGCATGATTGTACATGTACAATATGTACGTACATGACGTGTAGCTCGTGTAGCCAAGGATATGTCCCCATGACAGCGAAATTTTGTTTATCGGAGTGTAGATTTCACACCATCAGGCATCATAATCTTCAAAGTAAGTAAGTATTAGTTACAATCACGAGTCCATCAGGGAGTCTTGTTACAATTTATAGTTGGGGTGCTCGGGTACGACTAGCTGGATATGACTGAGCAAGATAAGACTAGAGTACGGTCGTACAGTCATGTTGTTGTAACGAAGGATATCCAGGCCGAAGTCCTTCAAAATAATTGTAATATTTTATTATATTTTATCGTCTCCACCCAAGTTCATGGCACATAATAATACATAGCCAATACAAGAAAGGGAGGGTGAATCCAACCACGGAAAATAACACTAACAAAAGAAGAAAAGGGAGGGAGGTATAATGTACGATACGGGCACTTTCGGTCACTGACCGTCGTACACTTGTAACAAAGGATACTGAGACCGAAGTAGTACATGATGTATGTCACGATAGATATGATACGCTTTCGGCGCCGCAAACAAAGTCAGTTAGATATACTTCAGTCATGTACAACATTTACTACAAATCATGCGGCAAGGTCACATGACAAAGAGCATGCCAACAACCGACCTTCCCCGCAGACCAGAAGACAACGCCGGAATAGTTTCAGAACGAATAAATATCAGACACTGGGATATGGCGGGATCTCAACGGCTCAGGCTATCAAGTTTAGAAATGAAAGCAATACGACAGTTTGAAACATACAAGTAATTTGGGGAAACTCATAATTATTTAATTTAAAAACAGCATGCCAGGAGATGAGACTAAGTATAAAAACAGCGGATACAACCTAAAACAACCAGCACGTCTATAAATCAAGGTATGCAGTCATCCCGTGTTACATATTGACCGCAGCGGCATGGCCACTCAAGAAAAGGCACCCTCAGTCGAATCGCCACCGGACTCATCCGACTTATAGATTGACTCGTGCTCCGGGCAGTTCACACCAGCGACAGTCTCATAGTTCTCGTATGAACTACTCAGGTCCTCGTAATGACGCACTTGCTCATGCTCCACACGGAAGAAATTCCACATGAAGCGCCGGAGCACCTCTCCGACGGCAAGCAGCAGTAAAAGCCGGTCTGAACCGAACCAAATGGACACGCTCAGCGACATCTTGAGTGTCCATGCAAAGCGCAAAACTGCATCCAGAGCTATGGCAGTGTAGTACAGCCACCTGCGACGGTAAAGCAGGCATGACCTCAGTCCAGGGTTGGTGTTCTGGTGACGGAACAGTCCCCAGTCCATGATCACATCCCACGAGAACACGTAGATGGCGTGAATCAGTGCAAAGCACAACCAGACGTAGAACACCGTCGTCGAGTAATAGTTCTTCTGCAGCTCTTGCTTTTCCGCCACAAACGATGCAGCCACAACCATGGGCAGAATAGAGAAATACTTTCCGGCGTTGATCAGGTTCGACACGTTCCGCGTATCATAGTAGACTCGACAGCATTGGGCAAAACGAAACCACGACGGTAAGATGTTGAGTGCCTGCAGCCGTCAAGGAATAGAGCAGGCATTCCAAGACAGCAGGGTGGGTCAAGGTACAGCAATGAAGAACCCGAGAGTGGCAGGTTTTGGTCGTACAAGCCCACACACCGGGTCAGCACTACAATAGTGAATACTGTAAATATACAAATTTTCGGCAGCTATTAAATTTCGGCTATATTCGGCACCGACCCAAAACGCCTAAATTAAAACGCCGATGAAATTTTTCACAGCATCTGTCGCACTATACCATGCCCTCTACCCCACGCCGAAAATAAATCGCCGCCGAAATGTCAAAAATCGTGAAGTGCCGAAATTTTGCAGCGCCGAAATTTTGTATATTTACAGTACACAGGCTACAGTAAAACTCCCCAGATCCGGGCAGGTTGGGACCGAGCCCTGGCGTAACTCAGAACTTACATACTCAGTTCATGCATGCAAGTAAAGATGTTATGCCAATCAATAGGCCTGTTTTGGGGGCGGTTTTTTGTTGAAAACTGAAAAGCCATGTTTTTATGAAATAGACTCACTCGGCTCAGAATAGTGCAAGTAAGTTTCGAGCCTACAACTGGAACATTGTATTTCATTCTATATCCCGCTGGCACTTGAATCCTGTATTAGAGATGGTGCGTGAGACACAGCCCAGTAGGGACACTGACTGGCTTCTGGACCATCAGGACTGCATGTACGGTACGCAGGGGCGTCGGAAGGTATTTTAGTGTGCTACGGTCAGCGATCTGACTGAAGTGCAATTTACTTGTGGGGGAGAGGTTGCTGAGCCAAAATTTTGGAAATTTAGAGCCCAGATCAGTGTATTTTATTGATTCACGGGGCATCTGGGGCGAAAAGTGGTACGGTCAATACCGTAGTGACCGTACCGTGTCCGACGCCCCTCAGTGGTACGTATACATTCCCACCACCGACTCATACCACACTGTACTGTACTGTACATGTACCAAGCATGTAGGAATTCACCTGCACGTGTACATACACATGACTTAAAAAAAACGCCGTGATATGTACATGTATTTTAAACAGTTACATACCCGAGAAGTTTTCATCCAAAAGCCGACACCTTTTCCAAACACCCGACATTGATCCATTTTTCTCGAGTTGTATAAAGGGAACATTCACAGAGTGCAGAAACCCTCAAGAGTGTGCACTCCACTGAATCTGGTCTGTGTCTGCGATAGCAGAACAGTACATCAAGTGACAGACCCGTACACATTACGGGTCGTATTTGCACCTTGCAGTGCATGATATCGCCTACAGGGTTATACATAGCCCTGCTTTGGCTGCAACTCCCTTGCCTAGTTAGGTGCAGTGGTCATCACTTTGCACAACAGGGACTCAGGGAGTAGTAAAATACCAGTACTTTACTACTCCCTGCTTTCCACTATCTACAAGCGCAATCTATTGAACATGCCATGTGATGTAAAACTCCGCCTGCGCAGCACTGGATATATGTTATACAAGCAGTTGCACACTCTTACCTTGGGATGATCTACTCTTGGTAACATGAATCATGTATTTAATATTCACTAGGGGTGATCCGGGCACCCGTTTGTTTAGCTGCTGATCCGTTAGCAAACGAGTACCTGTTAGTCGTGTACGACGGTACGGCATTATTAGCTGGCGTGTACAGTCGTACAGTTCGATGTACAGTTTGAATGTGTTGTTGCTGGTTTGATCCAGCTACATATGAAAAATTGGACTGTTTTGCATGTAGGATAGTAAGTGCGCATGCTGCGCTCGTCGCGATGTAGTGCACTTGCTGTGAATTGCATGACTTCGCATGTCCTCCGGGCACGGAATGCGGAAAGCTATTGTATAGTAACTGTTACTATTGGCTGCTAAAGGGGTACCCGATAACCCACCCGTTAAGCCAGGTACCCGTTGGTAACCTTAAAGGGTAACCGTTTCACCCCTACTATTCACCCATGCTACCAAGAGTAGATAAGCAAGAGTGTGCAACTCGCGGATGGGTTGGCCCACGGCGGAATTTTTTGTTGACGTAATATTTTCTACGACGCACGCGCTGCGAGTCTTTTGGAAAGTTTTGCCTCGTGCACTTGGCCGGTCTTTACATTACAAGGCCTGTGCCCAGCACGTGCTCTCACACTGCTCTGCGGCAAAATGCGTGTTTTCTGGAAAAAAAAGTGACGCCAACAAAAAATTCCGCCGCGGGCAGGGGTATCTGCAGATTGCGCAGAATAGATCCGGAGTGGCACACTCTTGTTCATCTACTCTTGATACTCCTAATGCCATACAGTTACACACTTTGGGACTTTTATTGAATCCGAAAAGGCTCTCTTTCGGATCGGTTTTTGGACGCAGGGTGAATTTTCGGACAGTGTCCAATAAATCGGACGATTTGGTCGCACTGCCATTGTCCTGTCCATGCCTTCAGAAATCAATGCTCTCACTACCAGGCTCTTGTGACTGCACATGCATTCCATGAATCGTATATTCCGTACCTGTCGTATTCCAATCGTGGGACTCATGCAGATGCCATGGTTATCCAGATAACTTCCCAGCCATTGAACCTTGACAATCACGCAAGTTGTGTACTCAAAGTCAAGCAGTACTAGCGGCAAGCTGGTCAGCTGATCAGCTATCCAGGTGTCCACGAATCGAACGGGATAGAGCGGGGCAGCTATCATGCACCACAGCCGGTAGCACATCCATCGACGGCTTTGATGATAGAGAACAGGAGCTGGTAGCACTAAGCAGAGCACGATCACAAGCCATAGAGAGAACGGCGCGTGTCGGCTGACGGAAACAGGGCCGCGTAGCTCCCACACATAGACAACGATCAGAACAGAGATGATCCACAGGCTGGAGAATACACATGCTAGCTTGCTGAACGACGTGGTGGCGCTTTCGTCGGGCTCTTCATCGTCACGATCAGCGACCGATTCTGCGGGTTGCGACGTACAGCAAACTGACGGTACTTGATCAAGGCTCAGTATGCGTGCATAGTCAATGCGTGTTTTTCGCCACACATACATATTGCCAATGATCAGGAAGAGCATCAGAAGGAGAAGAAACGTTCCGCGCAGCATCCGCAGCTCAATGTACAATGTATTCGTGTTGCTGCCTGCGCCCAATAGGACGAGTGCACCGGAAACGAACGCCGCTGCAGCGGACACGACAGGCCATTCCGGTCGCCGCAGGCCGTACTCGTTTTGCTTGCTGATGGATCTCCGAAGTGCGGAGCGTTGTGCGCCGTGCTCCTCGTGGTACTGCTCGAGAGAAGACGGCATGTGGCGACGCACACTGCTGGTTAAATCATTGTCATTCTCAGACGTGCACATATAGCTATGGTTCAAACCACTGTGACCAGACCTATTCATCATCCTGCCGTGGACTACCGTGGACTAGATATTCTCCAGACAAACACTGAACAGCATGCAGTCGCATCACCTTTCCAATGATCACTTTATTACTTCCCAACTTCGGGCAGCCTGTCGCTTCGAGTAGTCGCCCCTAGATCGAGAGGCAGACAATGATATTCACGACCACATGGTTTGGCTGTCAACAGTGTCACATGTATTTCCAATACCCTATGGAACGTCATTCACGTCATAATGGACCCACACCGGCTGCAGCCTAGTCCACTGGATACGCTTATTTTGCAGACAACAAACAACTGCCGAAATAGCTGAAGGGATCAAACTGACTTCCACCAACGGCAACCGCTAGCGCTGGCTAAAACTAGTAAAAGCGAAGTACAATCAATAATAATTATGCAATAGTCTTTCATTCAGCGAAAATGCCTGGAGTAACAGTTACGAGTCGGATGACTAGCGTCGACTACACACCGACTGTACACAGGCCATAGCCAAGGCAAGGGAGCGCTGGAGCCCTACGCATAGTGACATAACGAGAGAGCTTGGAAGCTCAGGGCCCTACGCTATGCTTTTTTGCCTAGCTCATCGTATATGTTATAAGAACTGATGGAAATGTTTTTTTTCCGTTGATTGGCCACATCATTGTATTGCAAAAAATCAGTTTGAATATTATGAGTTAGGCAAAAGTATTTGCAGAATTAATTGCAGATTGTCATTTCTTTAGTATCATCTGGTTTGCTCCTTCTTCTCTTTTTATCTCCTTATAGTACTGTAAATCAACAAATTTTGGCCGATGAGAAACTTTGGCCGATGAGAAACGAAACTTTTCGCCGTCATTAAACTTTGGCCGATTGGACTTTTCAAAAAGAAATCGATCGTTACTTTTGCTCTCACATGCATCCATTGCTCAATCATGCATCATTTGCCTCTGTGACAAACTTTGGCCTGCGATTTACTTTGGCCGGTTGGTACCAAGCGGCGAAATCAGCGAAATTAAATCGCTAGCGAAAATTAGTTGATTTTAATACAGTAATCGGATTTTCTGGCCTTTTTGTAGTAATACATGTACATTGACCTGTTGAGCCAATGACGACGCCGAATGCATGGTTGCCTGTGGAGAACATTACATAACTTTACAGTCTCCTAAAAAACGTATCCTGTCCGACGGCAAAAGAGGCTGCAGATTTAATTTTTCTGCGCGTCGACGGGATGTCTGTCCTAACGTTTCCTGGGACCGGCGCTGACTCTGCCGATCACGGGCGTTCTGGACTCGACGGGTTGTCTGTCCTGACAATTCCGGGGACCGGCTTAGACTCTGCCGATCATGGGCGTTCTGGACTCGACGGGATGTCTGTCCTGACGTTGCCTGGGACCGGTGCGGACTCTGCCGATCACGGGCGTTCTGGAGTCGACGGGATCTCTCTTCCGACGTTTCCTGTGACCGGCGCTGAATCGCTCGTTCATGCTTATTTTGGAGACGACGGGATCTCCCTTCCAAAGTATGTTTATGCTGACGCATCCTATCACCTATTCGGCGTCTATTCTAATTTAATTTCCTCCACGTCTCCCTATTTCTTTCCAAATCTCCCTCTACATCAGGGAGTCGTATACATAATACGACGAATATTGGTACGGTACGGGACAGATACAGGAGCCCGCAAATATTGTGGACAGCTGTTATGTACAATCCTGTAGAGCCTTTGTAGTCACAGATACGGGACAGATACGGGACAGATACGGGATAGCTCCAGGCGTGACACAAACAAACAAACACACAAACAAACACCAAATTAAAGCTGTGTGGACCCTGGCTAGCGCCAGACGTTACTGAAGTAACGTCTTCTGCATAGCTACGGGAATAATTATAGTACATACGGTACCGCCAGCGTAGACCATGGTAGACCGTACAATAAATACGGTATGTGTATGGTGTAGGGCTTTCTGTCGCTAGCGCTGACATGACACTACGTCGACGCCATGTATCGCGTAGATCAACACACCGCTGGCGCTGGCTGGCAGAATGCATCAAAACATACTTCCCGCACAAAAATCACATTTCCAATCGATCACTAAAAACTTGACTTGTGGGAAGTTGTGCATGCCAGTCTTTCACCATCCAGACTCGAGTAGAGGTACTCAGGCAGATTGTAGCAGAACCCGCATTTTCCCCCTTCTGTGTTTTGTAGCAGAAGGAGACAGAAGGAGGAACGTAACCAACGGTGTCCAGAGATCTGTTCTGTGTTTGGTTGCTCAGTGTGTCAATCAGTGGTAAATGACTTGATGCAAGGGCAAGACGAGATGGATACCAGAAAATAGGTTACAGAAAATAATAATTGTAACGATTTCGGTACGTGTATCTTGTTCAAAATGAGCAACAGCGGCGTTGTTCCGAAGCTATTGCTGGTGGCAGCGCCAGTGACGGCTCTTTTGCTGTATTGGATGTGGAGAAGGCGACAACATGGAAGCTCTTCCAATACGTCCCAGTCGGCTAATGGCACACGTGGTGCCAGAGCTGCAATGTCAAATAGCAGGCAGAGAATCACTGTGGAGGTGGAAGTGCCAGATTTTGCCGTTGGGTTTGTGATTGGACGAGGCGGGCAGAATATCAGAAAGATTGAAACTGAGACTGGAGCCCGTATCAAGATGAGGGATGATCCGGACAAATCAGGCAGCAAGACTGAAATCAACGGCTTTCCGGACCAGGTAGCGAGTGCCGAAGGGCAAGTCCGACAGGCAATCACCGACAAGATACGCAAAGTTGAAGAAAGCCAAAAGAAAAGCTGTACAGTAGAAATAGTGCTGCCACAGCACGCCATTGGCCGGGTGATCGGGAGACGAGGAGAAACTATTCGCAACATTGAGCGTGTGTCGAAGGCCAGAGTGCGTGTGGAACGGAGCACCCAAGTTCCGGGTGAGGATCGACTGTGCATAATTGCGGGAACGGACGAACAAGTCACGGCTGCAGCGAATATGGTGCGTGACGAGATTGCGCAGGATGCTATTGATCACAAAGCCCAACCCAGGGGACCATCCAGGCAGCTTGCCAAGACGTCGTCCGACCTGCCAACATCAGATTTCTCGCAGCATGGTTTGGACCCGGTGGATGTGGACTGGGCTAGCTTGGCTGCACGTGTGTCGCCTTCCGCCGACAACAGCGCAAATGTGTTTGTGTCGGCAGCAAGCCATCCGCACTGCTTCTGGGCACAGGTTATATCAGAAGCAGCCAAAGACTTGGAGCGCCTCACCGAGGAGATGACGGCGTTCTACTCGGGCCTTCGAGACAATCAGTTTCTCTTGAACAAGGTGCGTGTGGGTGATGTGTGTGCTTCCACGTATGCCAATGATGGTACGTGGTACCGTGGCCGCATTATGGACATCAGTGGCGACCAGCTAGACATCTTCTTCCTCGATTATGGTGATTCGCAGTACACAACTCACGCTAAACTCAAAGCATTAAAGTAAGTGCACTATCATGCCTTGTAAGTTGTTGCCTGCGTTTTCTTAGGAATATTACAGCAGCTCTGGCACAGGCATGAGTTGATGTCTGCGAATAAAGCAAGAAAAGAAACTGGCGTGTTCTCGTCTTGTCTCGTTTAGTTTCATCACGCTCTTTGAACAGTGGTTTTCTACTTAGCCGGGTAAGCCAAGTACGAAAGTAGAAGTGTGTATCAGAGGCAAAGGTGGGATAGGAACCATAGGACGCCACACAGGCTACCTGGATCGATTTATGGCCAGTAGGATCGTGTAGCCTCGTAGGAGGAGAACATGGTTGTGGGAATTGGGCAGCATGGATTTACCTTCTCATCGCCATTGCTATAGTTGGTGCATTGCCACAGTGGCTACTAGTGTACCAGTACAGAACTGTCGGGCACCGAAGAACTGGGAGATCAGGGTTGTAGCCTAGCCCGTTCTTATTTTTAGCGAACACAGCAGTTTCGTTCTTATTCGATGGTACAGTCTTAAGCGGGATTCACAGAAGCTTTTTCGCGATGCGACAGATGCGAAACCTGGAAAACCCCAAATCGCAGCCATGTCGCACCCCATGCAACTGGGCCATCGCAGGCCATCGCAGAAGTTGAGCTTGGCTCAACTTTTGCGATGCGATGTGATGCGACAAGCGATTTGGCGTACGATTTTGACCTTTTCTACAGCAAAGTTGTACAACGGTTCAAGAGTTGCCTATAAATTTGTACAAGTTGTATCAAACCGCGCGAATATCATGGTGACGTACCCAAATCAGCAAGACTTTGTCGCATCGCTGACTTCTTCTGTGAATGGTCTTTCGCGAGTTCGCATCGCACGCATCCATCGCAGATCGCGTCGCATCGCAAAAAAAGCTTCTGTGAATCCCGCTTTACATGTACATTTATGCAGAGTTAAACATCTGACTGTACATTATAGTGTATATCACGATTTCCGTTCTTATCTGCAAAACATACAGCTTACGCTGTTCTTAAAAATTGGTGAAATTCTAGCCTGGCCGTTCTTCGGCGGTCCGTTCTTCGGCGGTCCGTTCTTCGCGGTCCGTACTTCGGCCCCCGACAGTACTGTACATGATTGTGTAGCCTGCAGAAGCAGAATGGTAGTGTGTGGGCTGTCCAGTGTACATGGATCTGCGATTGGCTATGGCCTTTTCCATCTCGACCTGTCTTGATGTTGATTCCGTTACGCGTATATGGTCTTTTTTCCTGCAGGCCCGAGTTCTTGACGGTACCGTTCCAAGCAGTAGTGTGCTGCCTGGAAGATGTAGCTCCATTAGACGGCAGCTCCGAGTGGCCGGGAGCCGCCTGCGACGACTTCCAGCGACTCGCCGCAGTCAGCGAATGGAAGCCACTGGTCATGCAGTATGACACGCTAGCGCAGCACGCTAACCCGGCCGCACTGCACCCAGAGCCATTGGTCGTACGCCTCATCGACACAAGCAGCAAAGAAGTAAGGGCCCGCAGTCAGTTGAAGCTTCTTAGTAGGGATGTTGGTTCCGATTTTCCGAAAACAAGTTTCGCGGAATCACCCGCAATTGATGATCGAGCTTTCGTGATGCTTAATAAGTTAACATCCCTGCTATGCACAGCACACCCCGGCCTACTAGTAGGCAAGAATGAAAACGAGCTTGGCAAGCACAGTACATGTATTCGTAAATCCCTTCTCCGTATCTTTTTAACGGCATTTCTACTTGTAAATCAGTGTACTGACTTGTGCACGATGCTGTCGTCTTCTGGGTATTGTCATGGCATGCTTCCTGTCACTCTTATCCTTCATGTTGTGATGTGGGTGTGTTTCTGTGTGCCTGTGCGTTAGTCTGAGGACGTGCACGTAGGAAGGAGCCTGGTGGCGGCTGGACTAGCGGCTCCCTGTGGCAGTGCAGTGACTGGGGGATGCAGTAGCACTGGTAGTAACACGGCTGGTGAGTTCTCTTTTTGGCATTTGATTATTGATGTGTGGATAGATGGGTGTGGGTGTGCCTGGTGGTGGGGGGGGGGGGGGGGGGGGTTGTAGAACTGTTCACGTACTTCAGTATTCACATCTATTGACAATGAAGGTTGGATGGGTGTGTACAGGTGTGCATTTTAGAAGATCCTTTTGTCTAAAAAACATGGATCCAGTGAGCAAGCATTGTTATCCCTCTGCCAGCAGGTTCTACTGTGAATGTACTTGTACTGGTGTTTGGAAATCAGTTGAAAGATGCTATGTTGCCTTGCTGTGCCTCCAGACTCTGCACACGCTATGGACGCAATAGGAGAGGAAGACGACAATGCATTTTCGCTTGATGGATCGTCAACTCAAGGCCAGTCTAGTGCTGCTTCTTTTTCGCCGTCCGGCGAATTATCGACGGGACGTCAGGAGTGTGCCGTCGGTGTTGATGGACAGACCGCGCATCACCGTAAGAAGAGCGTCTCTTGATTTCCGATTCCCTCGTATTTGTGCCTGTGTGCTGCACGGCACGCACGCTTGCATGTATAGCAGACGGCGCAGCGCGTGAATAGCGGGCTGTGTGTCACCGTGCACTATCGGGTGTAGTTAAGCGCGGGCTCTGTGTTCCGCAGGTGTGCTGTGAAAATTAGCTCCGTGGTGTGAGTGTTTGGTGTTTTCTTTTTTCGGATAGTACTCTCACAATGTCCTGCTCACCGTTGGATTCAGTTAAGTGCCGCGTAATGGCGTAGGGTTATGCTGGCATCCATAGCCATCAGTGATGGTGTTGTGAACGGTGTGCAGAGGAAGTGCGCAGTGCGGAAACGCTGGGCTTGACAAGTGGCGGCAGCTTGTGCAGGTGTGTGTTTTTCAGCTACGTGTAGGTCTCAAGCTCTCGCTATAGTGTACTAGAAAACCTTTTTCCAACTTTCCTTTCTAAATCATGCTCAAGCAGTTTTGTTTTCATCATGGGAAATCATTTCTTTAACTCTCCCACATTGCTAACTAATGTCTGCTGAATATCAGATCCGGTCAGATTCGGCAGTTGTCTCTAAGTCCAGCAGACTCTTTGTGTTTTAATGCTTTTTAAATAATTCCAAAAAAGATATTTTGCGTTCTGTGTCCTGCAGTGAATAAACTGTTTTCAACCTCCATGTACGGACGTGGTGTTTGTGTGTGTGTGTGTGTGTGTGTTTGGGTGCATGTGTGTGTTTGGGTGCATGTGTGTGTTTGGGTGCATGTGTGTGTTTGGGTGCATGTGTGTGTTTGGGTGTGCGTGTGTGTGTTTGGGTGTGCGTGTGTGTGTGTGTTTGGGTGCATGTGTGTGTTTGGGTGCATGTGTGTGTGTGTGTGTGTGTGTTTGGGTGCATGTGTGTATGCAGTTGTTACTGTCCTGGACGGTGCCAACCATGCCTCACTGCCTAACGCAGCATTTGGCAGTCTGATCCAGGTGCGCGTTACAGCAGTCCGTGACCCGAACTACTTCTGGGTACAGGTGAGGTGGTAGAGTGAGCTGCTTGTATCCGCCTTCGTTATGCTATTTGCTGCCTTTGCGCCCAATTTACCTGCGACACAAAGCCACGTGGACGTAAAAGTCAGGCATATCGGGGTTCTGGTAATTGATGGAAGCATCCTTCTATGCAAGCCTGGCTTTGTGTGAGGCGCCGCCAGTATTGCCTTCAAAGGCAAGACGAAAACCGGCTTGATCTTCCATGTCTGGCCTTTAGTTATGACTGGCTGTTTGCCATCCAGACATATCGGTGCATGTGCCAGCCGTTCAGATGATACGCTTTTCAGGTGCATTGGCCATGCGTGCTGTGCTCAGTTGACTAAGTTTGTGCACTGCCTTTAATAGCAGGCCTGAATAATGTATGTATCAACATGGCTTCTGATTTGTGTCGCATCTGCTCTTCAGCTCGGTGCCAAGTTGGACAGCATTGAGCAGATGAACGACGAGCTAACAGAGTTTTATTCAGAGCTCAGTTCCGACAGCATGCACTTGACCGATGTTAAACCGGCAAAGGTATGTGCGAGTGTCGTTTGTGTACGGGCGTGTACTCCAGACTTGCGTGCTTTTGCCAACAACTCTCACTGCTTATTTGGCCATGAGATTCTGTTCCTTTTTGCATGTTGACGTTATTTTCTTGGAATTTCTGGAAATGTACATCTCGCAGTTGCACGAAGGGATTTTTGCCAGGTTGCTCTACACGCACACACGCGTGTGCACGCACACCACACACATACACACACACACCACACACATACACACACACACCACACACACACACACACACACACACACACACACACACACACACGCACACACACACACACACCTGCACACACACACACACACACACACACACACACACACACACACACACCTGCACACACACACACACACACCTGCACACACACCTGCACACATCTGCCCAGTGAGTGTAATTCCGAGGGTGAATCTCGCATCTCCAGTGCAACTTTGAACTGGACTTCGTTGTCATGGTCGTCCTGTGTGTCGTGGTCTCCATGTGTTTACTATGTAGGTCTGTTGCACCATGTTTGGTCATGATGAGACCTGGCATCGTGCTGTCATCACCAAGGTAGTGGACAGCGAGTACGTCACTGTACAGTACCTGGACTACGGCGACACTTGTAACGTGCGCGTCGACAATCTCAAGGAGCTCAGGTAAGTCCGTGGGTGGGTACGGGTGGGTGTTTGTGTATGTGTATGTGTGTGTGTGTGTGGGGGGGGGGGGGGGGCTAGCTCGAATACATACATTGTATGCATGTGCAAGCACGCACACATGCATAACACTTTGCCTTTTTAGTGGCCATTACTGGCATTAGTTGATTGCTCCCTTCTAATTGAGACTGAACTTGGGGCCGGTTATGGGCTATGAACGGTTGTATCATAATTGTGTGCTTTGTGTACTTGGTTTGTGCAGGGAAGATTTCCTCACTATGCCATTTCAAGCCATCCCGTGTCAAATGGCCAACATCGTGCCGTTCGTGGAACGTATGTGTTGCTAACTTAGTGCGCCCACACGCAGTGTGTGCATGCTTCTCTTGTGGCGGGCATGCATGATGTTGGTGGTGGTGGTGGTGGTGGTGTGTGTGTGTGTGTGTGTGTGTGTGTGTGTGTGTGTGTGTGTGTGTGTGTGTGTGTGTGTGTGCGCAGTACAGTGCAGTGCATCCAGTGCATCCAGTGCATGCGTGCGTGGTGTGTGTGTGTACGTCCATTGTCTGTGACTATAGATAGTTAATTTACATACTATAGATAGTCAGATAGTCCTCAAGGTTCTAGCAAGGGGGGGGGGGGCAGCGCAGCCCCCTTTCCGATTTTCGTGTTTTTCATGCAATCCAACGAAAAATGCAGTTGAAAGTCACTATTAGATGGTTCATAAAGGCACATTTGTCTGGGGCGAAGTCGAGGATTCGCCCCATGCATTGCATTTAGCGTGGCAAGACAATATTGGAAAGTGGAAAAATGGGATACGGTGGTACCGGTAACTGTTTCCTATGCCCTCCCCCTACTGTTTTGACCTGGCTAGAACCCCGGTCCTGGATTTTTTGAATTTTTTCAGCTAACTACATGTACTGTCACATTGCTATGCACTGTACCGGTATGGTGTTAGGTAAAGCACTGTACTAGTTGTACTAGTTTTACATGTATAATGTGTATGTGTGTGCGCTGTGGTAAGTGTGCATCAGAGTTCACTTTGTCACAGCTGTGCGTATGCCCGCGTGAGACTGTCTGCATTTCTGTATGCGATCGCTGTACAATCATGTTGTCTGCGATGCTGACCTGCTACAGGAACGTGGTGTCGAGAAGCAGTGGACCGGTTTGAGCAGCTGACACATGCTGGCAGTTGGCAGTGTAACCTGCTAAACTTGGTGTTGCCATCATCATCGGGGTCCTTGCCACAGGTGGAGCTGTTTGACATGGTTGCAGAGGTCAGTAATAATGTACGCTAAAGCAGCTTGTAAAGTACAGGTTGGAAAGGCTGCATTCACACACGGTGCGAAAACTCTCGTGGAAATCCTCGTACAAGCCACTTGCAATAAGTATGCGTTCACACAGGAAATACAGTTGCATGCCATGCACGTAAAAAGTGGCCGACATGACTAGATATCCATGGTGAGGTGCGGCGAATTTGAATTTTTGCGCCAAACTAGCTGCACGTACGGCGGCACGCTTTCGCAATTGGCACACCTACCACTTGTTTCGACTTGCCTGAAAGCGAAACGCTTTCAAGTTGCCTTCAAAGCGGCACCAGGATTGCTTTGAACGTGCATGTGATTTTTCACTTTTGGCGCATGTTTCTACGGGCACTTCACAAAGAACATGACGCATGTACGTGGTTTTGGACCGTGTGTGGACCGTGTGTGGACCGTGTGTGAATGCCCGTCCCATTTTCATGATAGCTTTGGTTTCCCTTTGGTGAAACAGGCCCATCTTGGGCTTTTCGGAAAGTTTGAGCCACGAGGAGTGCTCTAGTAGCCGCTTCTAGCCTTCAAGTAACTAGTTGTAAGAGGAACAAAATGCATCTACATGTTTTGAAAAGAAGTACGGCTCATTCATGTGTAGACTATTCGTAGTCTCAAATTTGTACTTTTATGCTGATAAATTTTGATTTTGCAATTAGGCAATGCGTTAGCAGGGCAACAAAATCATTGCGAAAGTCACACCACGTGGAAAGTTGTTTTGTGCCTGGTGTGAAAACAGACCTTCTTCGGAGACTTGAAATTTTAAGCTTCTCTTTGGAGACGCCCTGGTGTTTTGGACATGAGTGATTGGTGTTCCCTGCTTCTTTCGAGGCCAAAAATGGTGCAGATTTGGTTTAAAAAAAGTAACAGAACTTCATTTCTTATTACGGAGTAAACAGATTTTCTGTTGCAGGAAAACTAACTAGCGCACAAAGCACAGAAGCCAGTGGAAATTTCGACGAGGCCTTTCGCAGCATTACTCTTCAAAGCCGGTACGTCATTGGCGATATAATCAGCAGCAAAAGCAGCAGTCCTTTCTAGGGGGTCAGATGAGTGACCAAAATGACACCTAAGGCTAAAGCGCGCTGCACAATATCACTTTTGTGACGCGATGAGGGACGAGCGATGCGATCGAGGGTTTTTTCTGCAGAATTTGGAATCGCAGGTTGCCGCAGCTCCGTCGCAGGTCTCATCGCGGGAAGTTGAGCCTAGTTCAACTTTTGCGACGAGCAACGAGCGATGCGCATCACTTTCTACACGGCGGGCGCACGTGACAGCTCGCGTGCAGTTTTGGACTGTGCATGCCCTGCAACGATGTGCCGTGCATTGTGCATCGAAGACTTTCGCTCGACGCTCATCGCATCGCAGAAGTGATATTTGAAACCATCAACACAGAGCATAACATCAAATAACACTAGGACTACGGTGCTACAATGTCGAAACATTGCTTGCATGCGCGGACGTGCGAATGTCTTTAGACCCGTGCTGCTTGCTGAGCATTGACACCGGTGTGTACTTTTCGTTGCACAGGGAGTATCGGTGTCTGAAAAAATGGTGGAGGATCGACTGGCTGTGTGGAGCTCACTAACCCCGAAGCAGAAGAACGTATCGCGGAGCAGTCTATCTGCAGAGCCAGCTTTGCTGGTACAGAAGGCACTGAGTGATGCGGAGGAAGAGGACATTCAAAAGTATGTGGATAAGCTGCCCGTCTTGGCCAGCAGCACACAGACTGGTCTGGTTGGCAGTCACCACCGCCGCCGTACCAACGGCTCGCGTACCTCTGCCAGCTCAAATGGAGTGAAGCTAGCAGCAACGTTCTCTGCCAAGCAAGCGTAGCTACGCCTTTTGTTTGCCTGATACCCGTATTCCTTCCTTGCCACATCTCTTGCTGTGTGCACGTGGGTGTGTTGCATTGTGGCAGTGTGGATACTGGAGGTTTCCAATGTTATTCTGCCAGTCGCCTAGCTCTACCAGGCCTAGCTAAAACTAAGGGAACAGATCGCAGATGAGTATGTCTCTGTACCGACAATACTCCCAGCTTTATTTTAGAAAAGGTGACTTGAGAAATGTGCGAAGTTTTACCAGTGTCGCTTGCTCTTCCTTCTCGTCACTGGGTAAAGTGGCACCCACCGAGCGCAATGATGATTGCTATTGATTAGTTAAGATGAATGCATTACAAGGGTGTTGATTCTAGCGTTTTGAATTTTTTTTGAAAGTATTTGTTTGAGTATTCTAGACTGTGTGGTGTTGTGTATTTAGCTGCGTGTCCACTGTCTACACCCCCTCATTGCCATGTCTTCACAGACACACTGCCTGCCTTTCACCTTAGCCAGCTAGGATTTGCTACCACTTGTAGAATTCTCACCGCGCTGATATTTCTCAGAGCTCTCTCTCCCTTCTCTCTCTCTCTCTCTCTCTCTCTCTCTCTCTCTCTCTCTCTCTCTCTCTCTCTCTCTCTCTCTCTCTCTCTCTCTCTCTCTCTCTCTCTCTCTCTCTCTCTCTCTCTCTCTCTCTCTCTCTCTCTCTCTCTCTCTCTCTCTCTCTCTCTCTCTCTCTTCTCTCTCTCTCTCTTCTCTCTCTCTCTCTCTCTCTCTCTCTCTCTCTCTCTCTCTCTCTCTCCATCCACGCTACCAGCTGTTCCAGTTCCTCTTCATTCAGCATTTAGTATTGGATAGTACTCCGGTGCTGGCACCGATTACCACTAGTTCTGTTTTCTACCCACATCGCCGCGTTCATTTACTCGTTGGCGGTTCTGCAACAGTAAATTATGTTGCACTGCTGTTTTTACGTGAAATGGCGCCAAAACCTGTTAGTTTGTGGCCTTCTTTTAACAGTGTTGATGCTCAGGCTCTCGCCTGTTACTGTCTTTATTGGCTTCACAATAGGCTTCTCATCAGTTCCGGGCGGGCACTGTCAGATTGCGGTGTGTGTGTGTGTGTGTGTGTGTGTGTGTGTGTGTGTGTGTGTCACGGTGTGCGGCGTTCATGTGAGTGTATGGGGAAAGAATATACCGGTATCATGTAGTGTGCCGGTATACCCGCCGAATATGTTCAGCCTCTCTGCTAGAGTGTTGAGCTCTTCTTGCACGTTATAACTGTGAAAGCTTCCAGTGCAGCAACACACCTGTAGAATGATGTACCACACCCAGCAGGGAGTACTGTAGTACAATACCATTGTGAATTCGATTTCGACAGCATGTTACCATGGTTTCGAGGCGGGGTCTATATGCCATTGTACTACTCCCTGGCACCCAGTAACTTCACTTTGCTTGTGTTGTACTGGAGAACGGGTTTACTCACGAAACGTGAGGCCATGAAGTAGGAACCAAAGCAAAAAGGCAACCCAAGTTCGGCAATACATTTTTTTTGCCAGAACAGAAGTGTCGACTGTTGTACTAACGTGTGCAACGAATTTTTGAGTACATCTGCATTCAGATCCTGTACACATGTGCTAGCATGCTGTAGTCTCAGCCTGTCACCATGGTCACCAGGATACATGTAGCGTGATTCCGCGGATGTGGAATTCTCCGTGTCTTCGAGAAATTTTGCACAAAACCGGCGTTCTCCATGGGAATGCACGAGAAAATACCAGTAGTACATGATGGTGGAAATGTACTCCAAAGTCGCACCCTCCCATGAGTTTGTACGACAATGTTATCAGTTTTAATATACATTATTCAAAAAGTTTTCGTTTTGTTTCTACGGTACCTGACATCTACAGGTACACACAGTCCGATGAAATAATTATGTTGTACCCATGTCAGATAACACTTGTCATGAAAGCATGTTGCACTCCAGCTTACTGGCGATGCGTATTTCAGCGACCACCACAACAGCAAACGGATCTTGTCCGTATGAAATTGTCATGTGAGATTACACGCTAGCAACTTCCTTTTGACCCCATTTCCTTATCCAACATATTTTTTAATCTTTACCCTTCTGCAGTGGATGTGTGGGTCCTAATAATCTGTCCCCGGGGAAAATTGCAGAAAAAAATCGCAAAAAACGCGGGGGAAAAACGCGGCATAATATGGCATAATTTGTGGTGAATTTGCGGTAAATATGCGGTGAATAATATTGATGTGCGGCAATTTTCAGTATGACTGTAGTGAAATCAATTAGTTACAAGTCTCTGGTGTACGCACTCGTCATATTTGAGTAAAAAGCCGCCATGATGAGACGTTGCTGACCGAACAGTGCACTGTGTGTACGTACGTACGTGTAGTGCAACAAAAAAGTTCAAAAACGCGGGGAAAATCGCGGAAAACGCGGTCTTTAAAAAAATCGCAAAACGCGGAAAAAAATGCGGCCGCGGAATCGCAATTTTCCCCGGGGACGGAATAATGGGCACAGCACTCTCTCTTATGTCCTTCTCTATTTTTCTTGGCGCGCTTTGTCTGTGCAGACGCCGAGACCACCAAGGTCGGCTGAGCAGCAGGGCTCCGCCACCACTTTCCACCAGGGAGTCGTAAAATACCGGTATTTACGACTCCCTGCTTTCCACATTCATTCGGGAGCATAGTGGACTTCGTAAAAAACCAAAATAAAAAAATAAATAAACAGCTACTGAATTACAATCACATACTATTCTGCTCTCCCCAGCCCATACTGTTATTGTAGTATAGTGCCAACCAGGGAGTACTAAAAACTGGGTTTTTTTAGTACTCCCTGGTGTCAACCCTCCATGCATTCACAATTCAACCATCAAAGTGAGCACGCTGAGCTCAGATAAAAAAGGAGCCGCACAAACTAAAATTTAAACTGCCTCGACATAAGGACAACACCACCTAACAACAGACGCTCAACACATTGTCATGGCTGAGAGTGAACTTCGGCTCAAACTGGAGGAGCTATCCACTCATGCCGTCGGCAAACGACTCTGTACAGTCCTGCGGTGTAACGCCAGCTGCTGCACAGCATACTACTTGGAAACTACAGAATGTCTAATATATTACAAGTACAAGTATGCTTCTCGTTCAACGGGTAGCAGGATTTCTCTCTCTCGCAATCTAGCAGAAAAAGGAAAATACAAATCGTTTTTTTATCAATCTCTCTCTCTCTCTCTCTCTCTCTCTCTCTCTCTCTCTCTCTGTGCATCATAGGATAATTACACGTAGTCATGTTAATCATATGGACTGGTGTACTCTTGCTAATAACAGTTGTACATGTACATGTACCACAGTGCTGCATTCAGAAACGCATAGTGGTCACGTGTCACTAGGTGAATTGTAGTGGTGCCGCTAATACTACTACTGCCACACAAGTGGAGGGCTTTCCTCAATTGCCAACACTAGTTGAGAAATTGTTCTCAAGGGTGAAAAAGTTGTCCCGGGTCAAACCCAGTGAGAATGTGGTACAGCACCTGGCCTGCTCCCATATCAAACCTGGCTGCATGGAGGCAACACATGCTCTCTTCTCTGGCTTCTTCTTGCCGGACTTTGACAGGTGACTCAGTAGTAACCGCATGATGCTACAGCTGCCAGCTGTTTGGTTGCAGTTGAGTTGTGGAGGAAGTGCTCAAGATGAGGCGATGGCAGCCGAAAGCTTAGCAGAGAGATCTGCTCCGAGTCCCTGGACATCTCTGTGAAGAGAGGAGGGAAATAATCACAGGTTAGCTGAACTACCTAGGTATAATGAAAGAGTAACAGCATAAGCTAAAGTCCAATGGCCTTTTCGTCAGTTTGTGAGCAAGAGACCTCCTGGAAGTAAGTCGAGTAAATACTTGTAAATGTTTCAGACGCAGTATTCCGCTTTCTTCCAAACATTGCAGTCACTTGCAGAGAACACTGATAGCTACTATTGGGGTGATACATATAGCTAATATTATGATGATAGCTAATATTGGAGTGATAGCTCACTTGACTATCGGAGTGATAGCTCACGTGACTATTGGAGTGATAGCTGACGTGACTATTGGAGTGATTGCATACTACAGTACACGACGATGGGCCTCATGCCAGTGAAATATGAAACGGCTTGGGTTACCGAAAACCAGACTACAAAATAGGAAGTTGTGCACCTTATACTTCCGAAGTATTACAAACAGGCACGACTAGTCAGCATTACTTTTGTATCATCAGCTGGGTACGAGGATTCTTCCGGTAGCTTGTTTCAGTGAATGATGATGATGCCAGGCAAAACTCTCGAACGTAACTATAACACTGTATATGATTGGGGTATTCCCCGAATTGTGCGCAAAACAATTTTCAGCTTCAATTCTAATTTTGCCTAAACCCGATGATGCAATGATGCAATGCAGCAAACTGGGACATACGCAGTCAATGCCAGCTCCTTACAAGTTATCAGTCTGATTCTTTGTGGGATCTCTCAGTTGGGTGTGACGCGTCCTATGAGAGAATGATGATCTGTCCGCTTGTCCACTGCCAAAACACAAAAGAAAAGAAGAGAACTTAGCGCAAACTCGGCCAGTGTGTTGATAGCAGGTCGGCCGACAGGCATTATGCAGTGACTAAAACAAACTCAAGTTGTACAAGAACGGTATGATCGTAGCAGCAGTAACCAGTATTATTGTGTAGTGTAGCACTTATACTTTCCCCTAGAACGTTGTGCTCTGAGTAACAACTGAGAAGCAAGAGTGGACCGTCCGAGGCTCTTCAGATGTATGCACCTCAGTTTACTTTTAGACTGCACAGTGTTGACTGGTGGACTGTGTAGTCTCCGAGCCAGCCTAACTTAGTGCAGCCATCGAGTACTCCTCACAGTACAGCCATCGAGTACTGGTGCTGAAAGACTTCTTTCCCGGCAGACTTGCATGGTAAATAAGGACCAGCACAGGACGCAACGTGCAAGTCAAGCTACATTGTAAGAAGAGTACATAATAAATTATGTACTCTTGATTGTAACAACAGGAGTAGCCAGCAGAAGCAGCCTTGTCACGGTGCACAACATGATACATCACGCTCACCGAAGGGGAATAGTCGCTTGTGACGTTCCCGTAGAATGGGACGACTGCTCTCCGAGAAAGTGTCCCAGCTTAGACAGATCCACTTCGCCATAGAAACCATCCTGCGCAATGGAAAGAATCAGCATGCACAGGATAATAATGACGCTCTCAAGCCATCAACCGTCCGTGCTCCGCAAACAGATCCCCAATTATTAGTAAAGGACAAGAACACCAATACAGTGGAACTCACTTCAAGTACGTACTCTGATGTACTCTTGTGTGTTCGATCATTAATCATATGAGGGTGGTGGCGTTCCTACGCATGCGGAATGCTCAGTCTAACCGAGTATAACATGACCCATGATTTTTCCTAAGGAAAAGTAAGTCCAAAGTGCAGGTGACAAAATGAAGTATCTTAGGATAAGAAGTACCTCGGATAGCAAGTACACAGTTTCCCGTTGCCCATGCCGGGTAGGGTAGGTAGGGTACATCTTAGCAGAGTACCACTGTACTAGAACTTCTGGTTTTCTTCTGCATGACTCAGTACATTTTATAACATTCCAAGGGACACCGTAGGCACACTGCAGCAATGGCACACTTTGTTATTGTACTGTTTGCTTCGTTCACCGGACATTGAGCACTCTAGTACGTAGCCCGATTATACAAACTGATACCTCAGTGCCGTTCAGAGACCAAACTCTACTGTGTAGATTAATGTAGCTCTTCTATTGGGTACATGTGTATAACAACTAGTGTGTACAGGTGGAAATACTGTTAGTCAAATTGGATTACTCTAATTTCAGAAATTTTCGGTGCTCAATATTTTCGGTATGAGGGCAAAAGGCCAGGTTAGGTCAACAGAAAATTTAGGTACAGAGGAGCAATTCCCTATTGGACTATGTGTGTTGGTGTTTGTTCGGTGCATTGAAATCTTAGGTATGAAACAGACGCACCGAAAGTACCGAAAATAAAAGTACAGTCAACTTCGCTAATAACGACTGCGGATATAACGACAATTCGCGAATAACGACCGAATTTCCATGCCCAGAGCAAAGTCCCATCTAACTGTATACATTTAACTTCGGATATAACGACTATCTGAATAACGACAATTCGCGTATAGCGACATGCTTTTAGTGCCCCGTGGTCATATTCACTGCTTGAATAACGACTTTCTGGGCTTTTGACAGCTATTTCAAGTACCTGTCAGTCAAGTACAATACCTGTCATGCAGAAGTACCAGAACCTATGGTGCACTGGTGATGGATATTATTGCACACATGCAAGAAAATGCAGCCAAGGGGGGGGGGCTTTTTCTTCCTTTTTTTATGTTGGCTTCAAAATTGTTGGATTTACCAGCACACCTATATGTATACAATGTACATGTAGTTGTACATGATTGTACAGTAATCATCATACATGTACATGTCCCTGGCCCTGTAGATGGCTCAAAAAGGCATATTTTTCAATTGATTTCCCTTGCATATTGAATTTTTAGTTCCTTTCAACTGCAATATGAAAATAAAGTACACATTGACATAGAGCAAGAAAAGAGCTTCATTTTGATATGCATATCATACTATACAAAATATGGGTTCCCATACATTCAAATGGGACTTCGGTTATAAGGACACTTCGCGAATAAGGACACTTTTCTGATGCCCCGCCGAATGTTATTGGCGAAGTTGACTGTACACCGAAAATTTGAGAAATTTCAGTACTCATTGCTTTTGAGGAAATCCGAAGGTCATCATTGCCTGGTGAAGAAATTGTGCCTAGTCTCACCTCGTCATCGGCCACGACGGACTTGGCCAGCTGCACTGTGGCCTCACTCAGCTGCCGGCGGCAAGCGGAGCTAAGTTCTCGGCGCAGCGTCTTGATGTGCGTTGCGCTCAGAGCCAAGTCGCGCTCACGTGCATCCAGCTTGCTAGCCAAACTTAACAAGACCTCCACCATGCTAGCTAAAGTCATCTGTAGAAGAACCAGCATATTACCTGCATGAGGATAATAACTGAAGGATAGTTCAACCGGGGAAGATAATGGAATGTTCCATCTACGCGTGTTGAAGGCTGCTGGCCAGCAGCCCAACGTATGGGCATTACATGCATTGCCATTGACTACCGGACTGTAACCGCCTCCAGACAAAGGTGATTGCTGCCGAGCCACAAACCCCATGGAGCTTAGAGGATGTTCCGATGGTAAGGATAAGGGTTTGTAACTCTAGTGGCAGAGTATCACCAGGCACGGACTAGGATTGACAGTAACCACAACTTAAGTTGCAGTGACGCGTGTACACTTTTAAGTGCGCCAACTGGTGGATGGATATATTTGGACGGCAGTGAGCGTAGCCCATGTCTTCCTATATTCACATCGTGACAGTCGTGTTGCTTCAATTCCATTCCTATCCATATTTACTTTTGGCAGCAGGTCCCCATTACCGCCGGCACATTCCCTTCCAACCAATCACAGGTATTCTCAAAGCAAGGTAAACTGTCTGTGCGTGCATCATGCTAATGGTGTGGACATACTTGTAGCTGAAAGACTGGACTAAAGAAAAGTGCAATGTAAAGGGCATTATAGGAAGAATGAATGGCTGAACTGGCACACTCAAATGTGTGCCGTGATGCATGCTGGACACACCTTGCATTGTGTGAAGTCACCGCCATCCTGCAGCTTGTCACGAGCTGAACTCAAGGCCTGGAGCAAAGAACCACATTGTATAAACATACAGGACACGTTATTCAATATTAGCAAAAGGTATAGCCTCGTTCAAATTGTAAATAGTCAGGGAAATGAACTGCCAGAAAAGCGAGAGAAAAATGCCAACCCAGTTTGAGGTTCTCCCACTCAGGCCCATGAAATTTGATCTGGGCATTACATATGGATTATAGCTATTGCTGCTGTGTAAATACGACTTGAAGTATTCTCCTTTTTAGTCGATATCATGTAATAAGGCAAATTTGCCTGTTTGTTCTTCGACTCTAATAAACAAACAACAACAACAAGTATGTTTCAAGATTCACAGGAACCGTACATAGGGACTAGAAGCATCACTTATGCACTACACGCGTAGGTTTCACAGCAAACCCGGCTGCTCAATCCTTTCTAAAAGCATGCTTCAACACTCGTGAAGTGTCACGTACCGACTTCAGAATTTTAGCAGCGTCTTCTCCAGACAGGTCAGAGTCCTGGATCTAAACAGGTAGAACATGGCACAGAACCGGCAACAATAGATGCTGAGAGGCAATACATTAATAGATGCTGAGAGACAACACATCAATAGATGCTGAGCGACAACACATTAATAGATGCTGAGAGACAACACATCAATAGATACTGAGAGACAACACATCAATAGATGCTCTGAGCGGACAATACATCAACGATGTCGAGAGGTGGCTATAGAGCAATTAAATAATCGGATTGTGCGCACACTGGCCTTTGTTGTATGTAGCACATATTGTACTTGGAACTCGTGACGTGAGCTTTCACCACCGAAGACCCCATATACAGAGTTGCACGCTCTTGGGAGCTTATTTACTCTCGGTATAATGAAGACCATTGCATTACCAGATCCAGCGCTGGTGCTCAATGAAGGTGTGAAATACACCCTCAGAGATTGGGAGATTCCTGGCAAGGAGATATGAGGAACTGCACATGGATGCTGCCGGCGTCAACAAAGCAGTTCATGGGTTACCAGCTAGCAGCTATAGATTCTTGCGGCAAAGTGCAGCGTCCTTACGTCAACAAAGCAGTTCATGGGTTACCAGCTAGCAGCTATAGATTCTTGCGGCAAAGTGCAGCGTCCTTACGGTTTCCATGGCCGAATTCACTGCTTGCAAATAGGCTAGCAAAGATGTCTTCTCCCTGGAGAAGTCATAGCAGAGGAACATGTTCATGCCTGACCAATACAGCAGAGCTTAGGACCATGATAGCAAAACACAAAAAATGTCCTTTTCTATGGAGCTGTTTAAGGAAACAACGTACAAGCATGCATGCTGATTTTTATGGCAATGACAACCAAAGATCATTGCAAATAGAAGAAGTCCTCAACATGATTCAATCGGCATACAGTGCCACCACCAAGACGAGTGTTGGATCAAAAAAACAACAACATTCAAGCAGCTGCATTGCTTGAGCTATGCATTGTTGCATACCCCCTCTCCCAATGCCGCCGTGCCGGTAGCAGTCCTATATCACAGGAGATATATAATCATAACACTAAGAAGAAGATATGCAATCATATCCCATTGCAGTAGGTCAGCTCAGTCTACCTACCGATTGGTAACCACCAAGGAGTTCTGAAGCTCAGAAAGTCTTGCACGCAGGACTGCCTCCTGTTGCTGTAGGCCATTGCACTGTTGGCGTGCCAGCGAAAGGCTTCCTTCGGTGCTGTGAACTGCTTGATGCCCATCTTTCAAGTCCTACAAACAGGTAGAGATCAAACAGAGTTGCATGTCCTGATGACTCGGTATGCACAGTATCGTCTTGAATAATAACTTAGCATCTCTGCAGCAAGATTGAAACCTCCAGGACAGTTTACGTCACAGTGATGGGCAGTGACCTTATAACAAGGAAGCTCAAGACTTTTTGAACCCTACCTCTGCCCATACCCCAGGTCCTCCACCTCCAACCCCCCCCCCCCCTCTATTCCCATCTTAGAGCAAAGTACACGGGTACCTACACCTCCGAGTGAACGGCAATACAGGAAACTCAGGATGCCTCTGATGATACCATAAGAGAACTAGTGTATCAGAAGTACGTGTACCTTCCTGCATATCATCTCTCTCTCTCCCTCTCTCTCTCTCTCTCTCTCTCTCTCTCTCTCTCTCTCTCTCTCTCTCTCTCTCTCTCTCTCTCTCTCTCTCTCTCTCTCTCTCTCTCTCTCTCTCTCTCTCTCTCTCTCTCTGTGTGTGTGTGTGTGTGTGTGTGTGTGTGTGTGTGTGTGTGTGTGTGTATGTGTGTGTGTGTCCCATATGGTGCAGTGGTATGTGCAGCGATTTCCAATCGATAGGTTGCGGGTTCGACGATTATGGTCACACACGTCTTTCTTCTCTTTCTCAGCCTCCTCCTGACTTTTCTTTCATTCTCCTGGGTGGTTACCAACCGCCAGTGCATGCCGGAGTATGTGGTGTGATGTGTGTGCGTGAAAAAATGAAAAAAATGAAAAAGACCAAAAGTAGGGATTCACTGGCCAGAAAAAGCCACTTCATAGCTGTGTGGTGTAGACCAGGCTGAATAGTGGCGGTCAATTCTTCAGCCTTGCAAGCTGTTGAATGGTGCAATCCCAGCACAAGCTGCTATGGCTTCTGCTGTAGCATCGCTATCATCGCCTCCGGCGATGGGCGTCCAATGGTCCAATGGTCCAATGGTGTATGTATGTGTGTGTGTGTGTGTGTGTGTGTGTGTGTGTGTGTGTGTGTGTGTGTGTGTGTGTGCCCAGCACATGGCCCACGCCGCAGATGGAAGGACTGTGCTGTCCGAGATCTACGTGCCCGTGGCGTGGAGGCATCATGGTATGATGTTGCATGTGAGTCTCGCGCGGAGTGGCGCAGCACCTACCAAGAGCCTGACAATGTGCCTGAGCCTCCGCCCCGAGTGGTATGTACGGTATGCGGACGGGATTTTGCACGGAAAGGAGACATGGCTCGGCATAAGTGTCTGGAGGAGCGTGCGCGGCCTGTGTCTGAGCAGCGGGGCGCCAGTCAGTGCGGGCGGTGTGGGCGGTGGCTGAGAAGCCGCGGTGGCTTGGTCCGGCATGTGTGTGCCTCAACGGTGGATGCCGCAGTGCCACCTGGAACTACCGGAGCGTCGGCACCGGCGGAGGGATGTTGTGCCGCGCATTGTGACAGGTGTGGTCGCTGCTTTCGCGGTGTCCGGGGACGGGGAAGGCATCGCTGTTCAATGGTGGCTCATAGACCAACAGCAGAGGAGCGCTCAGCCTTCCAGCACGTGTGCATATGCGGCAAGCGGATGCGACTACCCGTGCACCTGGAGCGTCATCGAGCGTCGTGTCCTCTCTCTCTCTCTCTTCTCAAGTTTCCCAGTGATGGGATCACGTGACCCTTTTGCGGCAGTGACTCTACAGGACAGGACAGGACAGGTGTGTGTGTGTGTGTGTGTGTGTGTGTGTCTATAATTATATAATTATTGCTTGTTTCACATGTGCGTCTCATGGTACTATCTCCAAGAGAAGTTCTGTTTTCCGAGACTCAGTCTGGCAGAACCTAACCTGTATCGCTTGCTGAAGTGCAGTGTCCAGCCTCCGCCTCTCTGCTTGCACTGAGTCAAGCCTGAAGAACAGAAATAGAAGAAAAGCAAAGAACTTTGACGCTGTCCATGGAAACTGACAAAGCTGATATTATCAGCCTCCAGGATGCAAATATGGGTTGATTCAGTGCAAGTTTTCTTAAAATCTTTTCTTCTAATCTAACTGGATGGACTTCAGAAACAGAAGTACATGTACGAGTCAACCTTTGCAAATAATAATAATGACCCTCGATCATGCATGAGAAAACTTAAAGTGTCGTTATTCGTGAGGTAGGCAGTCAAATGGTCACTAGGCCGGATGATTGTGTCGTTATTCACGAGTTGTTGTTGTACCCGAGGTCGTTATTCACGGCGAGGTTGACTCACTGTATGCAATCACTGCAATCATACATTTGAAGGTGAAAAGGGAAAACGTCTGAAGAAAACATTGACTGTCACCACTAGCATTCGCATTAGAGCCTTGACCAGAGGCCAGTGATGCTCTATTACTAAGTTATGAAGTAGTTGTCATCCCAGCAGAGATGGTTCAACATGTCGTCGGATTTCAAAAGTCCCACTGCCTGTGAAGCTTCACCGGTGGCTTTGGTGTATCATTCTGTTTGAACTTCAGTCTAGGGGATGTACATGTATGCAGCAGCAAGGCGATCTGCCTGGAAAACACTGGCTATGACTATGCAGAACAAAGGCAGTTACCATATTTTCCGGAGAATACGCTGCACTGGAGTATAAGCTGCACTCAGAATTTGTTTTCCACGAAGTACAGACATCTACCCTATTTATCATGGTCAATTTGACCGTCGTAGTATAAGCCACACCGACCTTGTTCGGGTGAATTGCTGCCTGGTGTTTAAAGTGCAACGTATACTCTGGAAAATACCGCAGGTTCATCTTGGTCAACCCCACCTGTGTTTGCTTTGCAGCAGTTCATCTCTCTGACGAGCCAGCTCCACCTGCTGCTGCCTCTCGCGTTCCAGGCCAGCGTTCATCTCAGTGCACACGCTGTCAAATCTCTCCACTGGCACCAGGTTGGATGCCTGCACATACATTGAGATGTGGTGAGAGCATAGCATTATGGACAAAAACAACTTGTTAAAACGTAGAAGCACTGACTGAAATGCCGGTACGCATGGTTTAAGGGCAAATACTGTAGTGTCTTGTATAGAAGCCTGTCTCATATAGAAGCCTGTTTTTAATACAAGCCTGATACCCTGTATACGCCTGGATCTAGTAGTGACATACATAGATATATGTGCTTCGAATAGAAGCCAGACGTGAATAGAAGCCTAGCACTGACATCGACTTCTACAGGAATAAGCACGGCTTTAATCATGCGATATTACGGTATACAAATGCGGTCAATGCGGAAAACTGAGCACACTGTGAAAAGAAATTGCAAGTTCGGCTTCACACGTTGACATGGTTGACTCTAGGCAGCATTCTCAAGCCTTGCTTTCGTTTCTATTGTAAAGAACCGTGCCAGTGAGGGAACTGGATAAGCAAAATATGCTACACAGCACTCCACATGTTGAATCTGTTTAAGTTGACGGATATTCCACTGGCTGGCAAGTGAACTGGATGAAAGAGGAACGGATACAAGCGAGATCTGCATGGCTGTCATGAGTCATAGAAATTCAACAGCCCAAACATACACATGTATAAGTACACTGGATATCATTGTGGGAGAATGCCAGATTGTGTGATTGAACAACACATTGTCAGTCACTACAATCATACCTTCCTTTCAGCAGATAAGAGGTGCTTGTTCGTCAGGCTGAACTGTTGGTTGGCATTTTTCAGTGCCTGCTGCAGCTCCAGCACTTTCTGCTGATGACGGTGGCTCTGGATCTCGGCTTTCTGCAACTGGTTGGCAAGGTTAATGACATGCTGCTGGATGGTTGACATAGCACTTACATGCTACAGCAGAAAGGAAACAGAGGGGAGAGGCAGATAACGTTCGACCTGAAGCAAGCAACAGTATATTCACCCATGATATAAACGTGAATAGCATGGAAGAAGAAACTAAGCAAAGCCGCAAGCACCTTCGTTATGAAACTACTGAAGTATGAATACATATGCACATTGAAAATGTGCTTTGATCCATGCATAGCGCAGCTGCATGATCTACTTGATACACTACAATTGATCTCAATTTCTATCTGCTGCACTCACCTGTTGGTAAACTGTAAAGTTGGCATGTGAAGATGATGCCTTGGCAATACGAGCTAAGCCATGATGAAGGCCATCACGTAACGCATGCAGAAGAGACCAGTGACCCTGGTCGTCAAACGACCACAGCGAGGTCGCCTGAAAGTGAGCGCTGACGTTGCGGAGAACGCTTGATAACTGATTGCGAGCACAGAGCTGCAGTGTTGCTGACGGTTTACGACCGCGCTGCATGCCTGTCAAGTCCTGCAGCAGGGCGGAGAGCTGCTCACTGGATGCCATCATCTTCGCCAGGAACTCTGGACTCCGGACAAAGGATATCCAGTCGCTGAGCTTCTGCTGTCTGTTCTGCTGATAAGCACGCCCGTCATCGGCAGGAGCACGTGATGAAGGCATGGTATCATGTGTGTCAAGGCTAGCTTTCGCTCCACACACCCAAACAGGAAGCCTCTGACCCAGGCCCCCAGGACAATCTCGCACAATGCACAGGACACTGGTATGGTGCAGGACACGCCGGAAGCGGTTGAACGCCAGGACAGCAATGGCCGACTTACGAAAGCGTAGCAGTGGATGCAGTCGTACAGATGCTGTCCTTCTTGTCGCCGAAGCATGCCGATGAACACCAGCACCACTGTCCAGACTAGCACTGCTGCCAGCCGACGACGATGTTGCTGCCAGCTCCTCTGACACCGCATCAGCAAGCTGTGTTGCTAGTGACGCTGCCATTTCCAAGCGCTGTGAGTGAGCCACGGTGATAGCCAATGCTTGTGTCATGCAGCGCAGACGAACACAGAGCGGCCACACACAGCCCGTCAGCAAGGCAGAAGTACCCTGAAGAAAACGGTCAAACATACACACACACACACACACGCGCGCACACACACCCACACACACGCACACACACACACACACATGATACATGTGATGTTATCATGAACTCAGCACTAAGGCAGGCACTAAGAGTGGTGCAGGTGCAGGTGTTCATCCACTCATTAGAAAGCAAACGCGAACACAAACATGCCGTCTTGCAATTACATGTATAACATAAAGCCTGAACAGAAAGAAATAAAGAACATGATATGCAATGGCATAGAGATTGCCCAGGCTTGCCTGAGAAGTGCCGAGCTAGCCTCTGTTTGACGCTCGTATTGGTAATACAAAGAACTAGCTAAAACTGTGCAGATTCTTGCTGCCGAGCGGCTCTATTTGATATGAAAGAACTGGACACAATGATGTGGACTGTGCAATCCGGCATCAGCCCCTTTCTCACAAGCACACCGTTAATCATGGCCCACTGGATACATGTGCGTTGCAGCCACTTTACACCTCTCGGTCCAGGCCATCCACGCAGTGCTTCTCACCCGCAAAGCCAGGCAACAGGTATTGAGCTCTCCCACAGTCTGCTGTGATGTGGCCAGCTCATGCCTGTACTTGTCCCTCTCCTGGCTAACTGACTGCAGCTCTGCTTCAGTGTTGGACAGCATCAGGTGAGCATCCTACGCATTGAACGATACAAGAATGGAGATTGAAGAGTAATCATTGTATGCTCTGGATACCAATACTGAACTCAATTTGCTGCAGTACTGTAGATGTGCATTGCACCGCCACCAACTCTCTACTACATTATAAGATGGTGTATTGAAGTCTACGCATCATTCAGTTGTAGATGTGTTACAAACTAGAACCTGAAATAGGATTCTTATCCCATACATACATACATCAGTATCAGTTACCAAGCACCATTATGATATTAACGGAAACGTGCCTGGATTTTAGCTTGCACCTCCTTCATCAGCTCGGACATGTGCTTCTCCTGCTTGTCACGCTGCTGCTGCCAGGCTTGTTCTCGACTTGACGTGGCAGCGGATACCTGCCGGCATGCACAACAGATTGACAGGGTTCGTAGCACAACATATACACAAAATTTCAGGGCATTTCCAGGGGCATTTCAAGGGTATTCACAGATGTCATACAGTCGCTAGACACCACATATCCGTAGTCACTCAGAGGTTCACTGATTCAGAATGTCAACAATCGAAGATTTGATCATCAATACTGCAAGTAGTAGAGCCACCGTCACCATCACGCTTCTCCATCGCTAAGTTCTTAGCGAACTAGCCAGTCTTTGTACGGGTCCAAAGACAACCAGCGAGCGTTGAAAACACACTTGCCTTTCGGCATGGAGAACAAGTACAACTCTGTAAAGCTTCTTCGGCATTCCGAAAAAACTGAAGACACTTTGTCTTGTTGAAGGCCAAAACAAACAAATAAAACGGAAAAGCAGTTGCAGTGGCGGATTCCAGTTTCGCTACAGTCAGGAACCGTCGTACCGCAGTCGATAGTCATGGCGATCAAGGCTCAAATGTAAAAAATACCGTAAGGATCTACGCGAGCTGCGCTGGCCGCTGAGGCCGTAGACTCACATGACCAGTAGAGGTGACCGGACTGGCACTCGAGATCTATGCATATCATGTACAGTCAGTCGCTGAGTACAGGTCGCGTGATCTGGAAAACAAATTTCAGGGGATTCAAGGAACATTTTCTACAAAATACAAAATTTGAGGGGATTTCAGGGAATTCCCGGGGGAAGAAAAACTTTCAGGGTTTTCAAGAGTTTTCAAGGGTGCTACGCACCCTGGATTGATAAACACGGCTTGCTGCACATACACCGGCACCGTAAGGCGAGCCAAAGGCAATGGGAACCATTGCAGTCACTGATGATCTCTTTCACCGGCAGTGCAAGGATATGGTGCAATGGTTTTACGCGTGTGTCATAGTGTCACAGTGATATCGGCATGAGACTGTCTTACCTTTGCCAGGCTCTCCTCGTGCAGTTGATGCAGTCTCTTGATGTCCACATCACGTTCCTGCAGTGTAGCCTCCAATCTCTTCACCTAAACATGAAAAAAATGTTTTTACATCGAGTGAAATGAAAACAGCACCTTTGTACTAAAGCCATCAAGCTACATGGACTGAATGAGAAACTAAAACCTGTGCATGGAGAAAAAAAACTGGCTTCGCTCCTTCAACGAGAGACTTTACGGTTTACAAGCTTAGCATGCGTTCCCTATATTCCTTTCCAAAGGTAAAGCTATGGCTTCCTCCCTGGTACTGGAGCCTAATATCACCTACTGTATTCATGCGGCCGTGAACTCATCCACTGTGTAACAGTTGACAACTTCCTCGGGAAACTAATACTTGGCTTACTGTGAGCCGGTGATGATCAAACAGAACTTTGAACTTTGAACTTTGAACCAAGTCTAAGTAAGTCTAAGTTTATAGCAGAAGTAGATTGAAGTGATTGAAGTGATCCTCATCAAACAATGTACCTTCTCATCGGAGGACTTGATCCTGCCGAGAGTGGAGCCAATATCCGATTCCAAGCGGTGCACCAGCTTCTTCCAGGACAGCGCTCCATCCTTCGTCTTGCTAGACGCCACACTTGACCGAGCAGCTAACGAAAGCTGCAAACACAATCCATGGAGCTGCTGACTCCTTGCCTGTACCACACACAAGCAAACAGGGGGCATATTCCAGTCACAGACAGGATACCTTTAATAAAGGTTTCAAGTACACAACACACGTGACTTGATGCTGTGCGGGACAATCAGCTTTGTTTGCCATTTCCTTCTGCAATACCACATACCACTAGGGTAGTTATTACCTAGGACAAAGGAGTTGATTAAATAGGAGCTGTAGGCAATACTACATCAAGGAATGTCTAAATGTGTAGTGGACTGAAACATGGTTAGAAGCAATGCGGGCTGTTACGGCAGCTAGGAGGTAGTGGGACATCAAAAGCGCAGAAGCAAAGCAGTTAACATGATGGCTAAAAGGGAAAGTTGTGTGTGGCGTTGCCTGATGATGCTCCTACCTCCTCGGCATCTACCATTTGCTGGGCGTGTAGCCTTTCCACCTGTGCATTGGCCTGTTCAGTAGTCATGATGAAGAAGTAACCACACATGGAACAAAAAGAATATCATTTCTACGGAGCAGCTGCCAACACCAATCTACCCGCGTCACCTCCAACACATGACAATGCCGCTTTTGAAGGAAAGTCAGCCCCATGATACACCGTCACACAGGTTCTAGTCCAGGAGAGTCACTGCTAAGCAGGGAAAGGGTGACAGGATTCTGGACAACAGATTGCTATTCATGTACATGTACATTGCATACAGGCAAAAAGAGTACGTTCAACGTGCTACATTAGTTCTAACATGGCACATGATTGTAGTAAACCAATAGGAACACAACAATAACTAAGCACACCCATCTCAACCACTATTACGAAATACGAATGGTAACAGTCAATGATCCTATCCGGTCAGGTACAAGCATGTACTCGAAGTAGCAGCATGTCCAACATTTACTCACCAGCTCGGCAGCGTGGAGTTTGCCTCTCTCCTCCTGCAGCAGGCGCTGTAAGTCGTCCGCCATACTCTGGGTCTGCCGCAACTGCAAGTCTTTGTCAGCCAGAGTGCTGCTTTTGTTACGTAGTGAACCTTCCAGATCCTTCAGTCTGACCTGCGCTTTCTGCAAACAATGCCCGTGGACAAAACAACTCATTAGAAGTACGAGCTCGTAAGCTACTGCAAAAGCCAATGGAAATAGTTCAAAGTCCTAATGGGTCTTGTCATTGGTTTTGCAAAGTGAAAACAATTGCCGGGGCTCTCTGAAGCTTGAATAATGCTCATGGCATGTCAGCATTATCAAACCAGTCAGTTCAAAATCAGAGACAAACAAGTTACCTTTAGTGCAACGTCAGCTTCAGTGGCCATGTGTTGGTGACTGTCAAACTGTTCCGATGTAGTCTTTAGCTTGGCGTCAAGAGATGAAACCTAGAGTTCCGTAGACACAACAAAGAGAGAGAGAGAGAGAGAGAGAGAGAGACGTTCATGACTACAGTGGCAGTGATATCATCACAGAAACACACGGCATTTTAAACATGCCCTATGGGTAAGATTTGACCTACAGTGCTGGCGGACAGTGAAAATCGCCCAATGCATAAGGTTGTGCTGGGCGCAGCACATTCATCCCCGGCACTACTGTAGCATGGCTACTTCATCACACGTAATTTGTATACACATGAATAGTACACCGTAGGAATGCATGAATAGCAGTGCGCATACTCGCACTGCCTTGGTCTTCTTCTTCTCCTTGTGAGACAATGAACGAAAGATAACTACTTACGTAACTACACGTAAGTGCTTTGAGTGCTGAGAGTATACGTGTTATATATGCACTCTGATGTAATATATTATGTACTCTGTATGCATTTGTATATACTCATTGCGCATGCTCTGAATCATGGTCTTACTCTACATGTATCCATGCCGGCTGGTTGACTCTGGTGAGCTGCGTGTGAGACTGCATGTAGGGTGTACGTGGATACACAACAAATGGCGACGAAGATGAAAATTTTGTTTTGAGATAATTTGTTTAGTTGAGTGCTTGCGAGAATTTGGTAAACCATGGCCTCTTCAGGGAAGGCCACCCTGGAGCAGTTTTCTGGCGGGGACTTTGCGGAGTACCGGGAACGGCTTGAGTTTTATTTTCTCGCAAATGACATCGGTGTTGTTTCAGCCAGTGCAAACTCATCGGAGAAAGAACGCGTACGTAAGAAGATGATTGCACATCTAATCTCTTCACTGTCGAAAGACGTCTACTCCACTTTGCGGAACCTCTGTCTGCCGGAGTCAATATCGGACAAGACCTTCGAGCAGATTTGTGACCTACTGAATGGATATTACAGAGTGGAGCGTTCCACGATGACTTCTTCTTTTCAATTTCGCGATTGCAACCAGAGACCAGCGGAAAAGCTGGTAGATTACGCAAATCGTTTGAAACGTGCGGCAGTAGCCTGCGACTTTGGGTCGCATTTAGACAGATCCCTAAAAGATCAATTTATGGCAGGAGTCTACAGTCAGGAGATCAAGCGGACGATTCTGACTAGTCCTGACAGCAAGACGAAGAAGTTTCAGGATGTGCTGGATATCGCTTTACGGGAGGAGCGCGCCATCATGTTTGCTGAGCAGCTTACTCCAGGTACTACTACTAGTACTAGATCAACATCTACGCCGTCCGAGTCAGTCAACAAGATGAGAGCTACCACTACCAGTAAATCCAAGTCAGCAAGTGCATCTAGAAAGCCAAATCACTCGCAGGACCAGAAAGGGTCAAAGTCGACGAAGGGCAAGGTTTGTTATCGTTGTACATCTGATTTGCATATGGCTGACAAGTGTCCTCATCGATCTACTACTTGTCGATACTGCAAGAAACGAGGACATCTCGAAAGAGCCTGCATCACCAAGCAGAAACGAGGTGAAATTCACCACGTGGATGACGAACCTGATGATCGAGGTGAGATCGTTTCTGATTGTGATGTTGATGATATGCCTATCTACAAGATTCGATCGGGTAGTGGAAAACACCCTCCGTATACTGTAATGGCGGAAATCAATGATGTTTGTTCACCAATTTGCATGGAAATCGATACAGGTAGTGCTGTATCCATCATCACCAAATCTGATTACGAGAAATTGGGTGCACCAGTGTCGTCTCTTGTAACTCAATCAGTCCAGCTCATTGGGTTTTCCGGTTCCATCATCCCCTGTTTAGGTGAAGGGAAATTTCCAGTGTCAATAAATGGGCAAAAGCACACTGTTCTCTTGCGCATTGTCGATACAAATGGTCCATCTCTGTTGGGCAGAGATCTTCTCTCACTTTTCAAACTAGAATGGAGGGAAATATTCTCGGTGAAGTCTGAAATTGATAATGCTCTTATACGCGCAAAGCTGCAGGAGGAAATGCTTCAGAAATTTGAGAGTTTGTTTGACACGTCAACTGTCGGCAAATTAAATTCAACTCAGGTCACTTTGCGTGTAAATGATTCAAAACCTGTGTACATGAAGGCTCGTTCAGTACCATTTGCAATCCGGGAGAAATACGAGCAAGGCCTCTCTAAACTGGAGGAGGAAGGTGTAATACGCAAAGTTGAATTTTCGAAATGGGCTTCACCTACGGTTCCGGTTCAAAAACCAGACGGAAATGTACGTATCTGTGCTGATTACTCGCGCACCATCAATGCTAATTCGGATTTAGAAAAATATCCGTTACCTACCATAGACGAAATTCGTGCCAAGTTGAATGGTGGGCAGAAGTTTACGAAGCTTGATTTATCTCAGGCGTACCACCAGCTAGAGCTTGATCCTAAGTCGAGGGGGTATACTACAATCAATACCCACCGTGGTCTGTTTGAATATGTACGTCTACCGTTTGGCATTCATTCAGCAGTCTCCATATTTCAGCGTACTATGGAGACTCTCCTGGCGGGTATCGATGGCTGCATTGTGTATGTAGATGATATTCTAGTCACAGGTCGAAATGATGCAGAGCACAAAAGAAATCTGGAAATGGTTTTGCAGCGGCTACAAGATGCGGGAATGCGTTTGAAAGCCACGAAAACCGAGTTCATGCTACCGCAAGTCTCGTACCTTGGTCATACTTTGAGTGCGAGTGGTATGGCGCCTTCGCCAGGAAGAATCGATGCTATGGTTAATGCCAATGCTCCTACGTCCGTCAGTGAGCTTCAATCGTTTATTGGGTCTGCGAATTATGTTCGCAAATTCATACCCAATTTTGCTCGGATTATGGCGCCACTTTACGCTCTGCTAAAGAAAGATACTGTTTGGAGATGGTCAGATTCTGAACAGACAGCGTTCCTTACGATAAAGAATGCTTTATGTTCCACGGAGGTTTTGGCGCACTATTCGGCGGGTCTGGAGCATGTCTTGCAATGCGACGCATCAGGAACGGGTCTTGGTGCGGTTCTTTTACAGAAAAACGAAAATGGTGATTACCAACCCATTTCGTATGCGTCTCGTCTGTTGAATAAAGCGGAGAGAAACTATTCAAATATTGAACGGGAGTCACTCGCTCTTGTGTTTGGTGCAACCAAATTTCGCCAATATCTCCTGGGAAAGAAATTTGTCCTTGAAACTGATCACAAACCTCTGGTGAAATTGTTCGGCATGCAGGAAGGTGTTCCGTTCCTGGTTTCTTCCAGATTAAAGAAATGGAAGTTATTACTTTCAGCGTATGACTACACCATCCAACACATTGCGGGAAAGGCAAATGTTCTGGCAGATTTCATGTCTAGAAAACCAATTTCTGGAAATCCTTCTACCCCGGAACTAGGTGAAACACGTGTACTTTTCATTGAGGACGAGCTCATTGATGCTCAAGTTGTATTGAATGCCACTGGAGATGATCCAGTTCTAGAGCGTGTTCGTCACTACACTTTGAATGGTTGGCCAGAGCATGTGAAAGAGGTGGAGTTACAGCCGTACTTTGTAAAGCGCTGGGAACTATCTATTGTAAATGATGTATTACTCTGGAATGAACGAGTGGTAATCCCCATGGCTTTGCGCGCGATGCTCTTGAGTGAATTGCACTCGGAACACACAGGCGCTGTACGAATGAAACGTATGGCACGTCGATATTTCTGGTGGCCAAAGATGGATGACGAAATTGAAGATACCACCAAAATGTGCGCTACGTGTCAAGAACAGGCACGCAAACCTAGTAAATCCTATGCTACCTGGTCATGGCCGTCGGGTCCATGGCGTCGTCTGCACATAGACTTTGCGGGTCCATTCATGGGCAAAATGTTTCTGGTGATTGTCGATGCGTATACGAAATATCTGGAAATTGTCCCGATGACACATGCCACATCAACGGGTACTATCAAAGCTTTGAGACGTTTGTTTGCCACATTCGGTCTACCCACTCACATCGTTAGTGATAATGGGACCCAGTTCACTAGTGCTGAATTTACCTCGTTTCTCCAGAAAAATGGAATCGCACACACTCGTTCAGCTCCCGGCCATCCGGAGACAAACGGTCTCGCTGAGCGATATGTCGGTCATTTTAAAGCTAAAATGAAAGCAATGGGAACAGAAGGTGACGACCTAGATACACGACTACAACGATTTCTAATGACATTTCGGTCAACTCCTACGGCGAATGGTAAATCACCGGCAGAAATGCTATTTAATCGCCAACCACGACTACGTTATGATGCTTTGAAAACAACACGGAATGCGGAGGCACAATCTTTCAATCAAAACCAGCATTTGCTACCAGAATACAAACCGGGTGATGCTGTGTTTGCGTTACGTTTTCAAAACCATGGTACAACCTGGGTCCCTGGTGTTGTTCTCTCTATCTGCAGTGCTATGAATTACTCTGTCCAGGTAAATGATGTGGTCTGGAAACGACACCGTAACCAACTCCGGCCACGTTCAATACCACTTTCTCAGTTAGCAGAACAGACACGTTCTGCACCACAGCAGCAACAACTCCAGCCGCAGCAGCAACAACTCCAGCCGCAGCAGCAGCAGCAACAACAACTGTCACCTCAACAGCCGACGACTTCACAGCAGAAAGAGCAGCCCATGCAACAGTCGCAGGATGAGCAGGCTCAACAGTCGTTAGCTTCTACAGCCCCAGCTGATGCTGTACCTGTTGACCGGCAGGTGACTCGATCTGGTCGGTCAGTCGTAAGACCAGCTCGGTATAACGGATGAGACATTTTATACATGTAGGATATGTAAATATTATATTATTTGCATGGATTGATTGAGATGATCGTGAATGCATGTACGTGGTTCTCTTGTTGCATTTGTATATATCAGTATAATGCTCTGTATAGTACATACCACACATAGAACATTGAACTTTGATAATTGGCACGTCAGACGATGGTACATTATTACATTGTCTGTTCTATGCTATTGTTCCTTGTCATGAAAATGTTTTGTTTTCGGTGTTACCTCTTTTTGCGAGGGGGATATTGTTATATATGCACTCTGATGTAATATATTATGTACTCTGTATGCATTTGTATATACTCATTGCGCATGCTCTGAATCATGGTCTTACTCTACATGTATCCATGCCGGCTGGTTGACTCTGGTGAGCTGCGTGTGAGACTGCATGTAGGGTGTACGTGGATACACAACAATACGGGTTACACTACCAACACCAGACGGTACACTCTAATGCAACAGTGCTGCCCTCATAATTGCGAAGTTCATTGCCCAGCACACCTTATTATATCTGTAATATCATCATACAATACTGTATGATCTGGAAAGCAGTGCCGCAGCAACATAAGCAAGCAGCATTGCTCAAGAGATAAATTATTCCTTTTGCGTTTAAAGTGGAACTAGTTGAACTTACAGTTGTGGACAACTTGGATATCTTCTCCTCGTAACCACCCACAACAGTGGCAAGTGATCTGACCAGCTCATCAATGTCAGCATCTGTCACTGTGCTGGAATCAGTGAAGCGACTCGGCTGCTTCTTCAAGCCAACTCTCCTGGTTTTGCCTGCAGTGGAGCAAGGTTGACAAGAGCAGTGCTTTCGCAGTGTAGGTAATCAACTTTTGTCTCAGTGTAGATAACCAACTTTTGTCTCAGTGTAGATAACCAACTTTTGTCTCAGTGTAGATAACCAACTTTTGTCTCAGTGTAGATAACCAACTTTTGTCTCAGTGTAGATAATCAACTTTTGTCTCAGTGTAGATAATCAACTTTTGTCTCAGTGTAGGTAATCAACTTTTGTCTCAGTGTAGATAATCAACTTTTGTCTCAGTGTAGATAATCAACTTTTGTCTCAGTGTAGATAATCAACTTTTGTCTCAGTGTAGATAACCAACTTTTGTCTCAGTGTAGATAACCAACTTTTGTCTCAGTGTAGATAACCAACTTTTGTCTCAGTGTAGATAATCAACTTTTGTCTCAGTGTAGGTAATCAACTTTTGTCTCAGTGTAGATAATCAACTTTTGTCTCAGTGTAGATAATCAACTTTTGTCTCAGTGTAGATAATCAACTTTTGTCTCAGTGTAGATAACCAACTTTTGTCTCAGTGTAGATAATCAACTTTTGTCTCAGTGTAGGTAATCAACTTTTGTCTCAGTGTAGATAACCAACTTTTGTCTCAGTGTAGGTAATCAACTTTTGCCTCAGTGTAGGTAATCAACTTTTGTCTCAGTGTAGATAACCAACTTTTGTCTCAGTGTAGGTAATCGGCAACTTTTGTCTCAGTGTAGGTAATCAACTTTTGTCTCAGTGTAGATAATCAACTTTTGTCTCAGTGTAGATAATCAACTTTTGTCTCAGTGTAGATAACCAACGTTTGTCTCAGTGTAGATAACCAACTTTTGTCTCAGTGTAGATAACCAACTTTTGTCTCAGTGTAGATAATCAACTTTTGTCTCAGTGTAGGTAATCAACTTTTGTCTCAGTGTAGATAATCAACTTTTGTCTCAGTGTAGGTAATCAACTTTTGTCTCAGTGTAGATAACCAACTTTTGTCTCAGTGTAGGTAATCAACTTTTGTCTCAGTGTAGGTAATCAACTTTTGTCTCAGTGTAGGTAACCAACTTTTGTCTCAGTGTAGGTAATCAACTTTTGTCTCAGTGTAGGTAATCAACTTTTGTCTCAGTGTAGATAACCAACTTTTGTCTCAGTGTAGGTAATCAACTTTTGTCTCAGTGTAGGTAACCAACTTTTGTCTCAGTGTAGGTAATCAACTTTTGTCTCAGTGTAGGTAACCAACTTTTGTCTCAGTGTAGGTAATCAACTTTTGTCTCAGTGTAGGTAATCAACTTTTGTCTCAGTGTAGATAACCAACCGTTGTCACGGACATGTTGCAAATCATTGTAACAAGTAAACCATGTCAGCTGATATAGGTGCTTCGGCAAAGTCTCCCCCGCATGCCAGCTCGTACATTTCTGTGACCTAAAAGGCCGCGGAAGGAGTGAATATCGGCCCGGCTCTATGTCTCACTGTGGAGCTAAATACGAGACAACTACTGAGTCGGCTTTTGTCTTCTAAAAAAAATGGCAAAGTTATCAAGAAGTACGGTACTTGGTTATACGGGTGATATCACCCCCGTACCCCGTGAATATACGGCTGATATTGCCTAGGCTCCAGCTGATATCAAACACATAGCTAATAAGTATTATCTATGGATACATGGCTAAGCATGCATGTGCACCTGCACGGGCCTACACTGCAGCACGGCGCGGGAACGTACTGAGTGTGGAATGACTGCGCTGTACGGACTTCTCCACGTGTTGGATCAGCGTCAGTAGTTGTTGATGGAGCTGTGTAATACTGGACTCCAGCTGGAGGACACACACACACACACACACACACACACACACACACATATATTCACACCCAAACAGTCAAACATGCCATTCGATTGCATGCAGTGAATGTAGTCATAGGACAGGAAGTGGCATGTTTTATCTAGTCGTGGTGTTCGTAGCCGAAATGTAGGACTTCAACTACATACCGGGGATCCGGCGACTCCCTATAGACACCTAGGAGCACACCATCCGACTGTTTACAGGATTCGGACTGCATACTGGACTCCCAACTGCCTATAGTGACGCGACTGTCTACTGAGTCCAACATAATATTCTACATCAAACTACACCAATACTGTGCAGTTGTGAGTCAGCACTTAAGATCCACTGCACTTCCTTCAGGGTTGTCGGGTGACGAAGGGTGGTCGGGTTAATCCTGGCAAGATCTAAAACGGTTTCTTTCAAAATTCCAGCGAAAGTTTTCTTAGAATCAAATACGCCTATCCGTACAGGCAATATCCAAATGTTTCATCTATTAATCTGGGTGTTGCCGGAGTTTGACGAAACCTGGGAATTCTAGCCTGGGCGTTCTGACAATAAGCTTTCTTAGAATCCAAAGGTTACTATGGCGATTCATTGGAAAAGGATGAGGTATAAGTGCAGCCAAAAAAAAGATTCATCACAAAAGCACTGGGAATATCTCCGAACCTTCTCCTTATCTGTCTTGGCATTGGCACACTCTGCCTTGGCACGTGACAGCTGTTTGGACAGGCTCTGCTCGGCCTGCTGCAGACGACTGAGAGTCTCCTTGTGTGTCTTCTCCGTGGTGGTGCATGTCGTTGTGCAGCTTCGGATAGTGGACAACACAAAGCCTCAGAGTATATCACCTTAATAGTTAGACATAGCTCACCATCAGTCAACAACAGTCACATGTACACGTACTAACCTACTCCACCCAACATTGGTCAGTTTGTAGATACGTACACAACATATTCCATCCGACATTCATCATGTGTCTGGAGTTCAGCGGATGCCAGGGTTGTTTTATCACCTCTCAATTTCAGATCGTGCTTTATGTTGGTAGAGCAAAACTGTGACACTAGACCATATCAGTCTGGTCTGACTAACGCTATGTCAAGATCACTGTGACCAAGCAATGACTTTGGAGATTCACAGCAAACAAATCAGTATGCAAACGTACATGCAATAGCTCCATACGGTGCCACTTTTCTCACTTAGGATGAAGTCTGATGAATGCAACAGTTTTTGAAATCTGCCCTACAAACGTTGCATTATGATAGGATCCGGGGCTGATGCAAGTTTAGTAAGTATCCAGTATTCCTACTTGAAGTACACAGAATTCAGTCACTTACTCGGCCAACTGCTGGGAAAGACTTCTCACGGTGGTCTGTTCTTCTGCTAGCCGTTCCTTTGCATCTCTACACACAGTGGAAGAAGTCAGCACAAGTTGACCCACGCCTATTGTAGTGGTGGCTACCACTGTTGGCTTTATGGGTTGCATACAGAAAAGACTGTTGTTAGTAATGACCCATGCAAAAGACACCATTTACATGCCGATATAATCATCTCAGAGTATATATATACATGCATAACTAAGACATGTAACACTCTCTATGAGGAAGAGATCAATGCGGCGGTGACGCCCTGCAGTCAGGCTGAACATACGGTCTCGACTTCTTCTGAAAAATAAGCATGCCTACTAACATGTACATGTGGTAGCATGATCTAACCGTAGCTGCTCCAGCAAGAGATTGGAGTTCACCGCTGCCTCGTTCCTAGCACTTCTCTCGGCCTTGGCAGATGTCTCGACATCTCTGAGACGCAGCTGCAGAACAGAGCAAGACAAACTCTGCTCAATACATTGCAGCCATGCCATGCAGGCAGTAAAGAGTTAGTAGTTACCAATCAGCACGGTGTACAGTAAAACTATGCAGTAACCTCACAAGAGCTCTGATTGCTTCCGTACCGGTGGCTATACTGATACTCGACGTGCACATGCAGCAGCAACGTTGAAGGGTACTCATCGGAAGTGTAGTGGACAGCAGTGAGCCAGCTCATCCACCAGAAAGCACTGTATTGATGATGGATACAATAGAGGCAGGAACCACCACATGAAATTGCACAATTTAATGCCAGGACACAAAGTACCAACAGTTGGTATGCACACACACACACACACACACACACACACACACACACACACACACACACACACACACACACACACACACACACACACACACACACACACACACACACACACACACACACACACACACAGTTAATCGCAGCAGTACCTGGACCACTTCGCAGTTGAACTTAGATTGCAGGTGAGAGGAGCGCTCCGCTTCAATCTTCTCCCTTAGTTCCACAAGCTCCTCAGCTTGCTCCTTCATGGCACAATAACAGGCGACACACACGGCACACACACAAACATGAACTCACTGACAACGTGCTTTATGCTCAGAATATACCCTTTACATCGTGTGTACACAGTAGGAACCATAGGATGATGTCATCACTAACCAACTGAGGTGAGTGCCATAAAACAAGAGGTTTCTTCTCCTGGCTATCTCAACTACATTGTACTGTTGTGGACATGGAAATCCGGTCGCACGTCTAATGGCCCCAGGGCGCTGGCCATGCGGCCGTGGGTAAGCGGGACACACATGCATTTTATGCGCTGCAGCGCGCTAGTTGCATCGGATCAACATGTGCCCTGCACGCAACGTTCTGTACGCGCTGAGGGCGCCGGCCCCGGTCAATCGACCGGATTTCCATGTCCACAACAGTAGCTACTTCAACTACTATGTTGTACGGAAAAGACCTTTGTACCAATGTTACATGACCGCACGTGTATATGATGCACAGCTACATGTTTGCAAGTTGCGTGCATATGCGGCAAGTGCTAGTGTGACTGTACACAACAGAATGCTCGGGTATGTCTAAATACAAACATGCATGCATGCACGTGCACGTACACACACACACACGCACACACGCACACACACACACACACACACACACACACACGCACACACATAGAGGCAAACAACCTGTTACCTTAGCTTGAGCAGCGAGGCCTTGATTTTGGCCTATGGCCATCTCTAGTTGCTCCATTTGCTTAGCAATAGTTTCTCGTTGAGTCATATTGTCACCTATGCACAACAGTCAGCAATTCGTGTCAGTTTCTCAATTGCACTATCGCTGTTACGGCATGGATGTGTGTCGTACAAACAACATGCCACTGCCCTTCCCTAGACAAAATGGCTATTGTAGTAGACGGTAGTTTTTTATTATTTTACTAACTGGTAATTGGAAGTCAACACACTTAGCATGTCAGAGACATACAGGACTTTCTGTTTGGCATTCTTTCTATTCAGTACACGTACAAAACAACTCTATCACCCCCACCCCCATCCCCTCCCATCTGTGTCCCTTCGATCTTCGAACTTACTAACGGTAACCTTGGGCGCAGGGACAATCACATGTTGAATGAATGCTTCCCATTACCAGGAATGTTACTTTGTTTTTAAATGTGTTTAAAAAAATAAGTGAACACAGTAAACCAGCAGAAATGGAGAATCTCCAATAACTACAAAGGCATGGGATGGGAGGGGGGGCATGCTCAATGAGTAAAGATCATGGCAGGGCAAGAACGGCTCTACTGGGCTACCAGTTTCACAGAAGGAAGATCTTCACTGAGTGTGCCATGAAATTAAGCCCAGTGTCAGTTGCCACACCAAGCCATGTCTGCAGTCACAAGACATGCCTGCAGTTACAAGCCACGCCTGCAGCTCCAAGCCATGTCTGCAGTTCCAAGCCATGTCTGCAGTTCCAAGCCATGCCTGCAGTTCCAAGCCATGTCTGCAGTTCCAAGCCATGTCTGCAGGTTCAAGCCATGCCTGCAGTTCCAAGCCATGTCTGCAGTTCCAAGCCATGTCTGCAGTTCCAAGCCATGTCTGCAGTTCCAAGCCATGTCTGCAGGTTCAAGCCATGCCTGCAGTTCCAAGCCATGCCTGCAGTTCCAAGCCATGTCTGCAGTTCCAAGCCATGTCTGCAGTTCCAAGCCATGTCTGCAGGTTCAAGCCATGCCTGCAGTTCCAAGCCATGTCTGCAGTTCCAAGCCATGTCTGCAGTTCCAAGCCATGCCTGCAGTTCCAAGCCATGCCTGCAGTTCCAAGACATGCCTGCAGTTCCAAGCCATGCCTGCAGTTCCAAGCCATGCCTGCAGTTCCAAGCCATACCTGCAGTTCCAAGACATCATACTGCCTGCAGTTCCAAGCCATGCCTGCAGTTCCAAGCCATGCCTGCAGTTCCAAGCCATGTCTGCAGTTCCAAGCCATGCCTGCAGTTCCAAGCCATGTCTGCAGTTCCAAGCCATGTCTGCAGTTCCAAGCCATGCCTGCAGTTCCAAGCCATGCCTGCAGTTCCAAGCCATGTCTGCAGTTCCAAGCCATGTCTGCAGTTCCAAGCCATACCTGCAGGTCCAAGCCATACCTGCAGTTCCAAGCCATGGCTGCAGTTCCAAACCATGTCTGCAGTACCAAGCCATATCTGCAGTTACAAGTCATGTTAGCGCTAAGAAGCAACTCACTGGAAAAACGGTCCACTCTTGCCTGGAGTGTTGAAGCCAAACTGGGTTGACATGCAAGCACGCACAAACACAGGCAGGGCATGAAGCATGGCAACTCCAGCATAAAGAGGAAGCAAAGTCTATCGACATACATGTAGATGCCTTTACAGAAGACGTATTGCTCACACACTTGTTAAATGGGCCTAGCCACCATATGGATGTGTCCTTTTTGAAAAGAAGATTACTGCCTTCACTCTATATTCGTGTTTGCACAGAACAACACAGGACAAGGGTAGTTTGTTGTAGCCGCTATTTGTGTTTGCATATGTGGACTCAGTCCATATTTGTGTTTGCATATCGGGGGACTCAGAGTCCATAGCACCTTAGCTTTCTCGCCTCCTGATCGCTGAATCTCACACTAGTATTGGTCATGTTGCTACAGAGAAAGCTGCCGGGACTGCACGCAACAACCTGGCGGGAAAGCAACCGTACATTCATCACCAACAGTACATTCATATCCCACTTTTATGTTGATGTATATTGTCATTCGAATCTTCCCAAGTTGTACATTGTAGTGTTGAGATACCGAATTGAAATAAATCAATACAGTACAGGTCGTCCCTCGTTAATACATAATCTCTGGGACTTGACAAATGTTATGTATTAACGGGGTTAAGTACTAAACGAAAGTGTACATAACTTGCTTGTGTACCAGAATTTTTCACTTTTTTCTACTTTTCTGAGTGTTTCTTGCTACCATGACTAGACAGCGAGATATTCTTGATTCCCTCGATAACAGTTATAACATAAAAATTATGTTATACCGGTCCCCGTGTGCGAAGATTCTACAGTTTGCATGATACATGCCCAACCGCGCCTGTATAGTCACTCGAAAAAAAACAGAGCTTTGTCGGTTTGTGATGTGCGCTCTGATTTCTGAGCTAATTGCGTCCACAAGTAGAAACTAGAACACGATGTGCCTCCACTGGAAGGCCAAAAGACCAACAAATTATGTACTATTGAGGCAGGTGGCATGCGGGTACGGAGAAATGTTATGTACTAACGGGGTTTATGTACTAACGAATTATGTACTAACCGACAAAATTTGTATGGAAGTGACCACGTTTCGTCCGGGACTTGAGATTTCTTATGTACTAACGGGGTTTATGTACTAACCGGACTCGTATTAACGGGGGACGACCTGTACAATACAACCGATAGCATGTCGTCGTCTCGCATTCATCTAGGTTCACGTTTGTGCATTTGTCCACCTTGCCCATCAGACATTGACTAATACGGCACACATGACCAAAAGACCCGTGTATCCGATGTTGATGTATGTGCAGGGCTCTAGGCATACATCTACCCACGAGATCACCTGGTCTGCTCCGCCAGCTTGCTTTCCAGTGAAGATGTTTCGGACGTGGCCACGGTGCATCGCTCGCGAGCAGCAGTGAGCTCTGCTTCCTGCACAGAACACACAAATACACAGAAAATCATGATGTCCCCCACTACTACATGCCCTTAGCCCAGACAACACTGGAACATCGGTAACGGGCAGCGGAAAATGCTACAGAAACATGACAAGACTCACACGCTGTTGCAGAACGGTAGCAAAGTGTGCGGTGCGCTCTTCATGCTCGGCACGGAGTCTTGTCAGGCCCACTTCAAACTCTTTAGCGCGGTCGGATTCAAATGTGAGGTGAGCTGCACAGCATAGCATGTACAAAAGCAAAATAGGTGTACATCATGAGTTGAGTTGCAGCAATGTGTGACAAGATGAAGGAGAAGACACGGACAGTGGTTCACATCGAGAAGGTGGATGGACAGTTCCAAGTACAATATGCAGGCGCTGCTGCCCAAGTTAACCCAGACACACACGCACATAGTGCTGGCATAGTGCTGTGAGTATTAATTTTGTTAGCTTTGTCCCTAGCATGCACTGTTCAGGAGCCGGAGAAATCTATGGACAATCTTTCATTATGGTGTCAGATCAGAAGGTGTGTCTTCTTGAGCTGTCTGGGTGTGAACATACATTCCTCTGCAGATGCTCTCTGGATTGTCGAGATATACTTTTGCATGAAGAATAATGGTGGTGTATGTATGTATGTACATTTTAGTACACTTATAACTCAATTGAGTTAGAAAGATGCCCGGCGGAAAGTGGCATCCTGATATCGGAGCTAGGTTTGGATACGGGAGGGTTGAATAGGATATACCATGAATATTGACATCCTCAGGCCTGCAGTTTGTACTGAGTGCACATACATGTATATTATGCATACCTTCGGCATCTTGCTTGCTACGAAGCAAGGCAGCAAACTCGTTAGCATGTGCCATTGCCTGGTTCTCGGCATCACCCTTGACAGTGGCCGCTTGCAGGTCAGACTGTCGACGGGCCACTTCATTTTGCTCGAGAAGCATGCGCAAGTGGGCCACTTGAGTTTCCAGTTCTGAGCACTGTACCATGCCAGTAGTAGCGGCGGACGAAAGTGATGCACGCGTGCATGTGCAAACAGACACACAAACACACATACACACACACCATGTACCATGTACCATGTACCATGTAAGCAGCCTAGAGACTTTAGACAACTTTCTACCATGTGCCATGTATACGCCCTTCGCAAGAGAAGCACGCAGATCTGAAAATGCACTGGATGTGCACCCACAGATTTTCTCTTATAGCAACGATAGCGAACAAGATCTGAATGAGACAGATCGAGACTTGCGCCAGATAACTGTCTAATCCACACAACTGGCGAAGCCATGTGACTCGACCACCAATGCACACCTGGTCCACACCACACGAAGTACATCGGCATAAAACGGCCCAAGACACACACACACACACACGCACACACATACACACAGACACAGACACACACACACACACACACACACACACACACACGCACATACAGACACAGACTCACATGCACACACGCACGCACGCACACACACACACACACACACACACACACACACACACACACACACACATACACACACCGGTTTATACCCATACCCATACAAACCATGTACATGGTCACAAAATTAATGAACAAACTGTAGATGACGGCTGAACGTACCCGCTTATTCCCATCTTGTAGAGTGCGGACGTTCTGGTGCTCCAAATTGACAACACGTTGTTTCAGGTCAGAAGAACTGGTCTCGCTTTCCGATGCCATCCTGGGGAGACAGATGCATCAGATTTCTAGTGATCAAGTCTAAAATAGCGCACACCTATCAACACGGTGACAGATACAGGATATTATGCAACAGACTCATACAATAATAGTTTTTTTGGGGGGGGGGGGTGTTTCATTTACAGTTGCAGGCCTGCCGGAACCGGTCCGGTTGGTCAGGTTATTACTGGACCAACTTTTTGGCCACCAACCCTTGTTTCCTACATGTGCGGGCATGTGTACCCACCATATCATACACGGAGTATGAAAGGCCATCATACTACCGGATCAACCAAAAACTGCTTCTGGCGGTCCCGAGTCATATGTGGAACATCCATACGTCACCATATCCGAACATGTTTTAAATCAACTGAACCACTAGCCGCAGTGTAGTGCTAGTGTTCTAGCATATTTACAACTAAAGCTGTTACTTTGTCCAAGCTTGGCAATCGCTACATCATGACAATGTATTACTGGAGCTGTGGCACGGTGCTATTGTCCTGCACTTGTTAGAGAAATTGGACTACTAGTATACATCTCCAATCTGCAAGGACATTGATTACTAGTATACTCAGCAAAGCTATCACGTCAAAGGTTTCTATTCATAATAATAGTATTGCTCTCACGTGCATGTGATCCTTCACCGCTAGCGCGCTGGGCTTGTGGAGCTGGTGTGCGGCTCCTGTAGCGAGCTGAAACGCTACGCCTATGAAGTGTCCACTGCTGCGCCAAATGACGGCATTTTACTTACAATAATTTACAAATTGTTCATGTCCAATGTCATCTTCCTCCGGCCTGGTGCACAGAGGAAAGACTTCATTTCAGATACGTAGTAACACAAAGTAACCTGAGGATTTCAGGACCGAGATCATTCTCCAAAATAATAATTTCAAAGCCTTTCCCGCCACTTCAAAAGGCGTGTTGCAACTGATTTGAGATGCTCACAGCACACTCGCCATCAAAAAATAGATCTACTCACAGTCGCTAGTCATGTAAACACTACGAAGTACGAGACTCGTGGTCACTGGCGGTATGCAGGTATGGTACCGGTCATGTCTACCTAGTACGTCTGCTGATCTGGCGAGTCCCTGTCAACTTACTTCAAACAAATCATGTCTTTCCAAAAATGCCAAAACATCGTCACGCAGAAGTAAGTTAGTTCTGGCTTTGCGGAGTCTCCCTCATCTTTGTCGACTTCGACGATCAGCTCGGGAAAGAAGAGACGGTAAATCACCATAGCCATAAGACATTATCCGTCCTTAGTCTTAGTAAGAGCTCGAGCAAATCTCGACGCCATCAGTGTCGCGATGCTGTCGCTATCGCCTAGCAGCTGGGCTGGGCTTGCTTGGCTAACCGCGGTGTGCGCTGTGTTTTTGGGCAGAGGAGCTGACAGTTTAGTGAGCGAGCCCATGCTTTTCATGGATCTTACGGACGTGACTAAAGTTGAAGGACGCGTTCGGGCCGTGGCCAACTCAGCCGTGCACCTCTCTGCCTACAGCGTTCCTGCAGAAAACTACACGGCCGGTGCAACAGTGTTTGCAGCATTTCCAATCTTGAAGAACTCCAGCATGCAGGATCGCGGTGGTGGTGATGATGGAGTCAGCGCATATGAATTAGGTACTGGTTATGAAGTGTTCGTGGCTGTCGGTAGGCCAGGAGAGCCGTGGCAACAACAGGAAGGTGATCGTCATGACGCGGACAGGGTGCGCCAGGCGCCTGGAGGCGGCGACTTTGCAGCTGACAAGAACGCCACTGCACCGTTCGTTGATGGTGTTCAGGTGAAGAGGTACACAACGGAAGATTTCTTGAAGTATTCCGACCCAGTGGTGGTACTCTTCTTACCCAACGGTGAGCTAAACGATGGCAAGGTCTGGACGGTGAAAAGCATGGATCGCAACATGGCCTCCGGTGAATATGTACTGTTTGCAGCGTATGGCTCCAGTGCCCACACATTCTCGAACGGCCCTGGCAACCCACCACCAACCAGCGAGAACTCGTTGAAACCGACCACGGGCAGCCTCTCAGAGGGCAACTTCAAGGATCATGACGATACCAACATCATCTACTCGAGCTTCTCACAAGGAACATCAGGAGCGCAGTGGGTGGATATGCAGATCATGTACGAAAACATCACGGTTACCATGGCCAGTACGTATCCACGCAAGAAGTACTGCGATAACATATCCAACAGCACCCGTCGTGTGGTGACATACCGCACATCCAAAGATGGCATCACGTGGAGCCAGGACGCAGGCTGCGCCGACAAGCCCCAGAAAGACGAGCACTGCAAGACGTTCGATACAGAGAACATGATTCGGCCGGACACAAAGACAGATCCACCGGAGCTGGAGTTCTATCGCATTCGTCCTTTCTACCTGGGCGACTCAAAGAGATTGGTAGCCCATACATTGCTCTACGTGCCTTCTCCACCAGAGGTTGTTGCGGTTCCTGGATACGGCCGACAGCCGCTATGGTACTGCAAGTCTGGCTGCTGTCACGGCCCGCACATGCATGAGGAGTGGTGGATTGGCCCAAATGACGGGGATCCGACCAACTTACTTGAATGGAGATTTCCGTTCTATGACACGCACGCCTTCCCGCACGATATTTGGGCCTTGTCGCAGCCAGTAGTTTATAACGACTCTCACATCTGGGTGGACAACGGCGCTGTGTGGGGCTTGCCTCTCTACCGACTGGCGGGACTCTATACTGCCTCAAATGGTGAGGTAATCACGACCGCATTTCAAATGCCAGGCACCCCGGTGTGGATAAACGCACAGGCTCTCTGGGAAGGTGGCAATCATGTGGGTGGCTGTGATGAAGGATGTGCTGCTTACATCATGGTGGAGCTTATCGATGCCAAGTCTGGTAGCATCATACCGGGGTATGACAAGGACAAGTCGATAATGGTGAATGTTGATGGATTGAGACTGCCTATAGTCTGGAAAAAAGAAACTGCAGGAGAGCCCGGCTCTGTTGTGGAGGAGCTCAATGGCAGTGAGCTGCAAGGACAGGAAATTAAAATGAAGATTTACTTTAGAGATGCGACCATCTATGCAATTGGAACCACTGGACAATAGAAGTGCACATACCGGTAGTCTAACTGCATACTGGATATTACTCATTACTGTAGCTCAGACTGCACCAATACTAGTAACTACAGCTCACTGCAGTCGTGGCCATCATTGCACTTCAGGCAACAAATTTTAAAACATTGCGTGATGCATTGTACGTTGAAGTATGATGACTTATGTCCTCACTGCATCCGTCGTGTAAGCCGTTCATGTCATTTGCCAAACGATTCCCCCGGTGTGCTGTGTATTGGTCTGGGTCTTGCCATGGAGCGCCCACAGCCTAACAGAAGGTGTTGTGCTTTTGGTAAGCCGGAGAAAGGGTGGCCACAAAACATGTTTTCAAGTTGCAATGATCACAGTCACTGCCGGGCTGCACTGGTGAAACATGTGTGTTAGCGTATCCTACAATCATAGTGCATGCTCATGGAGTACACTGTAGCCAACCTCAGAACTTCCTTACGTGTGCTCACGATCTGTTCACTTCTTTTCTATCTCCTTCTAGAACTCTCCAGAATCTCTTCAATCAGCATGTGCCATAAGAATATCTCTTCTACACACGTTCTCATGGCACATGCTGATTCCTTATATGTACCTTCTAGAACATTACCGTATGCGATCATGTCCCTTCGCCACTATACATGAGAGTACCTCCTTCCTGATCTTCACTCTATTCAGTCAGTTAGTCAGCTTTTGATTTCTTTCTCCCTTTCCTCTTGGATCAGCTCTATCGCCTCAATCTAGATTAGGCAGTTCCTTCAATTATCTCGGTTTTCAATAACAAACCTTCTGAAGACAACATTGCCGTTCGTGTACGTGATCATGTGTGGTAACGTGGACGTACATCACGACCCCGTTACACATAGTTATTATATGTACTCGTACACATCACTGACATCTAGATCTACACGTAACGATTATCGCAGAGACGTTGTCAAGATCTCCATCATGTCGTTCCTTCAATACTAAGTCGTATTACTACTTCATGTATCATTGATGATTGTATGTTGCACCTGAACAGGACATGACTGATTGTTATGCAGCAGCAGTTGTCAGATAACACTACACGTAGATATACACATGCATGACGTACCGTGTGTACACTTGCAGACTGATGCCGGTGTAAGAGACACACCCGGTACCCCTTACCACAGTTCAAACCAGCATACTACCGGTACATGATTTCTCCCCACAACACTAGCCACATGTAGATCATAGGCTACATCCATGATAACATTGTCATTCAAGTAGATCTGCATGACATTGTACTTCAATCATGTTTACTAGTGATCAGTTGAATGATGTGATTCAGCTAAGTTACTTACCGGTACTGTAGTTGCCGCAAGTGTAATAATAATTTTGAGACAACTTGGGGCCGCTACAGGTCCTCCACCTTCGGCCATTGCACCTTCAGGAATCACCACAATCCACAATCTCTTACAAGCATTTTCAATTTTCGGATCGGTGAGGCAAAGGTAGATGTTCGCCTTCCACTGCCGAGATCTGATCAGCCGTTGAAGATGCTAGCGAATTTCCTTCTCTTCCAGTTTGTCCTGTCTGTACTAGCGGTGCTGGGAAGGCTGCCCATCGCCAGCTATGCCCTCACGGATACAATGCTCTTCATGGATACCAAGGACGTGGAGAGCGTCTGGGGCAGGGTGAGACCGGTAGCCAATCCCGCGCAGCCGATTCCCATGCTGGCTTGTCCACCGGAAAACTACTCGTCCGGCGCGACCGTGACGGCAAGCTTCGTGGTGCTCGACAACGCGATGGAGTCGCCATCCCAGGATTGGCAAACGGGGAATGCGATCTATGAAATCTACGTAGTGGTCGGGCGAGGCGGAGAACCGTTTGTGGCGGGTGACGACCAACCAATTGACCGGGAGGAAGGCTCTTTGGTGGAGGTGAAAAGGTACACGACCAGCGATTTCAAAACATATTCATCGCCTGTTGTTGTAATTTCGCTAGCCAAAGTGAAAGACAAGGGCTGGACGGTGAAAAGCATTGATCGGGACAGCGCTACTGGACAGTACATCATGCTGGCTTCTGGCGAAGGTGGAACGCATGCCTTCTCCACAGACGAACCTCCAACCAAGCCGAACTCATTCAAACCTACCACGGGCAGCCTTGACAAGGCAAACTTCAATGACCATGACGACACAAATCTCATCTTCTCTCTAGCTCCCGGTGTTGATGAGCCGTGGGTTGATATGCAGATCATGTACGAAGACGTGAGCATCACAATGCCAAAGACCTACTCGAAAAAGAAGTACTGTGACAATCTGGGCGATACGTACCGCCGTGTGGTGTCCGTACGCACATCCAAGACGGGTGAGAAGTGGACACAGGATGCAGGCTGCAAAGACCAGCCACAAGTAGACGAGCACTGCAAGCATTTCGACCTGTCCAAGATGATTCGGCCCGTGGTCGACTCTGATCCACCTGAGCTGGAGTTCTACCGTGTGCGACCGTTCTACCTGTCTGGTACGCGGAGACTTGCCGCACACGCTCTACTCTACTCACCAGCACCGACACAACTTGCCACGGTCAAAGGATATGGTCGCCAGCCGCCAAGCTGCAAATCAGATGGCTGCTGCCATGGCCCACACATGTACGAGGAGTGGTGGATTGGCCCGAATGACGGCGATCCGACCAACATATCGGAGTGGAGAAGGCCGTTCTATGACACGCATGCCTTCCCACACGACATCTGGGCTATGTCGCAGCCATTGGTTTACAACAACTCTCACATCTGGGTGGATAACGGTGAAGTGTGGGGGCTGCCACTCTACCGACTTGCAGGACTCTACACTGATTCCAATGGTGAAATTGTCACGTCCGCATTTGCAATGCCAGGAGAGGCACTATGGCTGAATGCTCAGGCGCTCTGGGAAGGCGGCAATCATGTGGGTGGTTGCGACGAAGGATGTGCTGCTTACATCATGGTCGAGCTGTTGAATGCAACCAGTTCCAAGCGGCAGATTCCCATACCTGGCTATGAACGCCGAAATTGCATCATGGTCAACGTCGACAGCTTGCAGATACCCTTAGTTTGGAAGAAGGGAGGTCTAATGCACAACACGCCGCAAAATGGGCAGCTCAACACTGAGGAGAGCCGCACTGGGGAAGAACTGGTCGGGCAACCAGTCAAAGTTAAGATCTACTTCCGGCACGCTACCATATACGCCATTGGCACCAAGAGTACACTGGATAAGGCTGTGAGGCCTGCCAGTTGAGAAGCAGCAGCAGCCTGTGCAGATACACTAGTATAGTAGTACAGACACGGTAACTACTTAGTCACGGTACACTGTATGTGCCGCTACACTGTAACACTGTGACTAGCAGCGATGATGCTGTGATGAGTGGCATCACTTGCCTAGCAGCCACACCCAGGAGTGCTCTGCCTTGGAAACGACCCGCAGCCAGATTTACCGCCAAGTACCAGTGTCCCCGGCGCTCCCTCTCAAAATCCACCCTCTGCTTGGTCTCTGTCTACTAAGGTCTGAATGACAATACAAGTCATACTTCTGCTCAGTATCTCCTGGTTTAGTTGTCCTATTAGAGAGCAATGTCTGAGTGCTGCGTTGCTAATACTATTATAGTAATAGAGTTTTACAAGGTTTGGCAATGCTTGTAGAAAATACTTTAAAACTTGCCATGAGCTTCAGTACTCGAGTGCCGATTTGCGTTGTCATGGAGACATGTTTAGCCACTATCGCCACTTACAGAAGTATGTTTACCAATACACTTGCCATGCAAGTAGTAGCTTCATACTTACCTTGTACAGGGGACGCCGTGATCAAGCAGGCGGCTCCCTCAGGTCGAGGCCCCTCCATTGCACTCCGTTGGGGCTGAAGCCTGCGATTTCCCCAAACGTGGGAAAGTCGGGTGCGCAATTTCTGGTAGAGGGGGTTTGCGTTCGCGCAGCCCCTAATAAAAATAATGATAATTGGACTTTCATCATTGTACATGCATGCAAGAGTAAACCCAGCATGCATTGTGGGTGTCATACTGTGATAGGGCACGTACCGTAGACAGTATTCGTATGTTCTGTAGAGCCTGCACAGAACATTGCAAACGTGCCCAATTGCCTTACATGAAGAATTGAAGATCTGTAGCAGCACTGTTGTAGGGGTATATTTCATGTCAACACATTGACAATGCTGCACGCACTGCCAACACTACAACATGCCTTCAAAGTATGAATAGTACGGGAGCAAGCTGTTGTGTTTTGCCAGACATGATCCTGCGCAGCGTGACACGATTCTCCTTCATCTAGCAAGCATGCAATACGTAACATGTCAAATATAGAGGAAGCATTATTCTGCATGATTCTGCACTAGCCATGAAAGCTGCTTCGTTCTATGCGCAACTGGTGCAAAGCAATCAGGAACAAGTTGATCTTTTTTCATTGCGGACATGAGCGGCCCACTCTATGGAGGTGCACAACCAGGGAGTAGTACAATACAGTGTACTGAATGAAGTATGTATAATTATTATTGTACTACTCCCTATGCACAACTGCGGATAGGCATCTTAGCCTTACAAAATTGACATGAAGACACAAATTCCAACACCTTTTTTAAAATTGACCCAGGATTGTACTCTCATGGTCTTGACAAAACAAAACCCTCGCCAAACAGAGTGACAGAGTGTCGTCCCAGAGAAAGAACTAAGCAGAGAAAAATTAATGCCGAGCAAAATCGCACAGTATAAATAGAAAATACAAAAGAGGTGGCAACGATTGTACGCATGATCGGCATTATGCAGAGCAATAAAACCAAATGACGTCATGACGTCAGCAGCATCCATGGCAAGAAACATTCCTACTTCAAAGTAGAAGCGTGTGAAGCGCGGAGATAAAATATGTTCATTGTTAAAACTGGGTAAAGCAAAAATAATTCAGGCAGTGTCATGGCCGAGTAAAGTAATACTAAATACAACAGGAAAGTCAGAATAGAAATATGAAAAGCAAGACTTAGTAGATGTATCTTACATGAGAGAGAGCCCGAGTAAACAAGCAATACTACTTTTTAAGAGCTAGCTATGTACACAGCGATCAGCGCACGCAGGAGACAAAGACAAACACACCTCAGCCATTCCTGTGATGAGCAACAGACAGGAAAGCAAGCGGAGATGTGCGCACCATGATGCCAGAGGACGAGGAGCGAGTACTCCGCTGGCAACGCAGACCAATCAATCAATCAAGGATGATGCCACTTATCCATCAATGTTGATGGCATATATCCATCAGGGATGATGCCACATTTCCATCAATGATGATGCCACATATCCATCAGGGATGATGCCACATATCCATCAAGGACTCACCAAGGTCAGGTAGACCTTCCAGAGCATTCAAATACTCTGCCAGATAGCTGAGCTCTGCACTGACGATTCTACACAAGCAAAAACAAAACAAAAACAACAACAAGACTAAACATAACAACTACGACAAAATACAATGGGTGTGCTGCACTCTAGGATTTTGTGTATAAACACGAGACCTCCATTTGCTGCCGGCTAAACAGTAGGGCGTTGACAAGCAATGCACTGAGTGGGCGGTAGAGAAGGATGGCAAGGGTTGCTATTCAACTTGCTAAGGGCCAAATTACAGGCTCGCTTTCTGGTCCTTCCTTGATTGACAAGCTACGGCGTAATGGACATTCCTTACCCATGTTGCGGTCCACCGGGGGTAATCGCCAAGCGCCGGATGCGATCCAAGAAGTGAGTGCGAAACGACAGCTGGACGTTGTTGAAAACAAGCTACGCAAGACAAAAGCACAAACGGAACACAAGCACAAGAATGGTGGCAGCTCAAGCCAAGCCAAAACAAAGGGCTCAAAAAAATCCTCACAAAGGAAAGAATGACAGCTATCCAAGTCAAACCAAATTGGTTCCATCTTCCAACGAACGTCAAGATACGACCCCATTGAGATGACGCTAGTAAGCTGGGCATCATAAATGAATGAATGAATGCATGAATGCTAGTAACATGAGAAAGAGACAAAAGTTAGCTACATATACTGACAAGAGTACATAAACCAGAGTGTGCAACTCGGGATGGTTCCTGTGGGAGCGTAATTCGTGCACTACGTCATTTCTGACGGCATGGTAAGCCACAGGTATGGTGAAAAGTTGCGTAACCAGTCGCGGTGGTGCAGTTCACTGAGTTTGTCCTGATTTCGGTTTTTTGAGACGGATAGCCTGGTGACTTTACTTGTCGGTGGATGTACGCAGCGTACACAGTCACACAAAACACCGAAATCCTGAAACAGGACGTCTAAAATCAAGCAAACTTGGCTGATTTCCGGGCTATGAAACATGAAAATTTGAGCTGTACGCAAGTCGCGGCTTGGCTGATCTCATCAGGGTGACGTAGTGCACGAACTGCGCTGTTTCAGATCTGATATGCACAGTTGCACACTCTGGTTTATGTACTCTTGATACGGAGTATTACACGTCCTTTCTCTGTGCTGCGCTGATGAGTCCACAAAGGACGAAACAGTCCTGTCCGCAGATTGAGTATTTCGCTCCTGCTCTTGTAGCAGTTGAGCACTCTCGTGTGGGGTAGTGCCTTTGCTGTTTACGTTATGCAGAGCTCACTGACTTGTCAGTTTGAGCACTCTGGCAAGGTACGTTCGGGCCTGGTTTAAATCTGGCTTTGGAAAAAAATATTTTTCATTGCTATCAGGTTCGGCCTCATTTTCTCTGTGCTGCGCTGATGAGTCCACAAAAGAACAGTTCTGTCCGCAGATTGAGCATGTACTCAATATGAAGCAAGGACGGACCATGGACTTACCTCCAACTGGTCAGGAGACAGAACAGGAGCCAATGCTCCGTGAAGCTTTCCCGTTTGCTTGTTGATGGCTTGGAAGTTGGGGCTGGGAATAGGTGCCTTGGCTTCCCACTGCAGCACCACCCATACAAACACACACACACGCACACGTGCACACACACGCGCGCGCACACACCTTTTGACGCCCGTCGCCTGAGACAATGATAGCGATGCTACGGCAGAAGCCATAGCAACGTGCTGGGATTGCACCATTCAACAGCTTACGAGGCTGAAGAATTGACCACCCGTGACTATTCAGCCTGGTCTACACCACACGGCTATGAAGTGGCTTTTTCTGGCCAGTGAATCCCTACTTTTTGGTCTTTTTCATTTTTTCCCGCACACACACCACACCACATACTCCGGCATGCACTGGCTGTTGGTAACCACCCAGGAGAATGAAAGAAAAGTCAGGAGTCTGAGAAAGGGAAGAAAGGCGTGTGTGACCATAATCGTCGGGAATCGAACCCGCAACCTCTCGATTGGAAATCGCTGCACATACCGCTGCACCACACACATGCGCGCACGCACACACACACACACACACACACACACACACACACACACACACACACACACACACACACACACACATGCACACACACACACACACACGCATAAGCATGCATGTACACAAGCCCCTACAGTCATGTAACATTGTTGCTTGTGTAAGCCATACAAACAAAAAACTGCCTTAGGCCCAAAAGTCTTTCTAGGAAATCAAGGCACAGACACCACCATGTAATCCACTGCCAGGTCCCTGAGGCTACCATGATAACCAAGCCTACTATGCGCATTTAAGTTTCTCTCTCGATCTCACAGCCACTGTGTCTCTCTTTAGGCCCATTATGCCGTCCAAGTCGAGCCCCACCAGACTTCCAGTAGATCCAGGTGGTCGGTGCCTGACACTATGAAAGTACACGTCTACATGTGTACATCCATGAAGTCAAACGTGTTCAGTGAGAAAGTATTTACTCAAAGACTCTTTGTCCAGGAACAGTACCGTTGTTGTTACTAACCTGCTAGATAGTTGTTAGCCATAACTCGTGTAACATGTTGGTCTTTCCTCTATTCCATGAACAGCAGGTGCGTCAACGTTTGTTCTGAGGTGGCTTTCGATCGAGCCACACCATTCTATGTTCCCACGTGTTGGCTTCAAGTTACAATACTCCCCTTGTTGAAATGTGTTCTAATGCCCAGGCACCTTTGCAACAATTGGCTTTCGGCTAGAATAAGCACTGCATCGGAACTCTAGTTTGAATTGCAATTGTGTAAGTTCTTCATCCTATGTGCGCCTCGACACATTGGTGGTGAGGAAGGCTGGATTTCGGGAGAGAGATGCTCATGTGAATAAAGTGCTCTCAGGGGTGCAACTCCAAGAAAGACAGTGGCATAAATAAGCATTTCCAACTTCTATACCATGCTGCTTCTCGTAAATTATTTCTTCTCCATGTAGGAGAGATCTCCAAGTAAAACAGATGACAGTGAACTAAGGACAGGACTTGGAACAGGGCATCGACTGTCCGTGGCATGCGTAATGCACACCAACCTGCATGCAGCCTGTGTGAGTACACATGGGTCAATGTAATGCCTGCATGTTTGACACGGGCCGCACCACCTTTGCTCTGGCATGTCCTGCACCCCTTTCGTTTGGTTGTTCTTGTCTGGCCACTGCATCATTGCACCACTCACTGAGCTGTGTGAACTCCTATTTGAAACACTTCTCGCCCGGTCACAGCCGAGGCGGGTTTCTCTTAATTATTTCCCTACCTTTGCCAGCTGTCTTGATATTGTATCCTCCATCATGGAGACTAGCTTGTTCAGGATCTCAGATCGATGTGTGCGGTAATCCTGCCAAAGGCCACACAAGACAAAGGACATGAAAGTACGTCAGTCCAAAAACAAAAAAAAAGGCTCAGGGGAGAGCTGCAATACTGGCAAAGTCCCCTTGGCAGGTTCTAATCAACAGGCTCCGTCATCAAGTAAAGGAAGGAAAGTTATCATCCTGGCCCAGAAAATCTTGCTAAGTATGCATGCTGTTGATGCAGGAAGCTGGGCATATCTGATGAAAAGGGCAGTGATGTTGCTTTAGTGGCATCTTGAAGACATCACGTACAGAATGAGACAAACAAGTATCAGAAGACGCAAGATACAAACTGACCTGAAACACGGGGTCAAATTCTGTCAGCAGAATGCGCTGTCGCACAGGTAGGTAGTGTTGAAAGTGTGCCTTTGCTAATGGCAAGTAGCTAAGCACAGCGTCCAAGCAGCGAGATGCCAAGGCTATTACACAGGCATGCATGCATACGCGCACACACACACACACACACACAGAATAAAAACATAGACGGATATACTAAATACCCAATACTACAGATATTACACAGCAATGAATCAAACAAGTCTCTTTCCGCTGTTACTCCGAGTTTCGAGTGAAAACACTTAATCAGACAGCATATAGAAATACCCAATACTAAATATACGCACGCTACAAGACAAATAACAGAGATTTGTTTTCCCATTCGACAGATGAAGCGGTGCAGTGTTCCATACAATTTTGAAGAACGAGCAGCTGTATGTCAGTAGCTCTGTTGGACTTGGGAGCTCAAGAGTTGTCCTTTTTAGACTCCGTTATCTCAACAGGAGCAGAGCCACCAAGTGGATAGCACCATCATAATAACAAAGCACAGAGGGAAGAATGGTAGCACAATATTCCACAATTGTGCAGTAGAATGTGATGAGGCTCACACAGAAGAACAAGAACTGATCGTACGTATTTGTCTGACAGTGACAACTAGGCCACTAGGGCCATTCTGATCCTGTTTTTTTCTTTCTTTCCTTCACACATGTTGACATTGGTTGATCCAGAATGATGATGATGTTGTTGGCCATCACAGGCTTTGGAAAGATTGCTCACGGGTCTCCACTGATGATGAGGGACATGGGGAGGTTGCAGATAAAGAAGGACAAGGAACAGATTGAAACAAGCAACTCAGTACTGGTGTCACATTTCTTGGACGGTGACAAGTAGGTTTAATAAGTCCATTGTACCTCAGTTCAATATGTTTCCAAGCAACATGTTTGCAAAATCCATACCTAAGTGTTTTGCTGTGATGGTCTTCAAGCCTGTGGACCTTCTGGCTTCTGCTCCCAGGACTAAGCTGCCAGTACGCCTGTTGAAAAGCTGATCCACAACAAAGGAGACAAGCAAGGTAGAAATTAAGGAGTGTAACGCGCACAGGAAAGATCAGTCTGCTCTAACATGTGGTACTGCCCCCACCTGACCCCTTGAAACTGGCTGCTACGACTCTGAACTGCTACATTTATTAGAGGTGATCGTTGAAAGGGTAAAGATGACCTACAGTCCATTCTGACTGCAATGAGAGTAGACGAAAGAAATGGATCAGAAAGAATGAATTACTACCTCGGAGACCCACAGCACGTGTGAACGCTTGGAAAGAAAACAATTTGTAACATCAAGAACAAGCGAGACAAGGCATGCATTGTGCTGCACAAGCAGTAAAGTTACCCGAAGCAGGTCAAGCAGGCGATTCAAGATGTCCGACACCAACACAGGCATGTCATTAACACACTGGCAGTACTCTGAAACCATCTTGAGCAAGAACAGCGGAGCTCTGCACAGTAGTAGAGAGAAGAGCATAGACGTGAAAGAACACAGCAGTCAGCACGGCAAAAACGATTCTTCGCACTCCACCGGCCAGGTCTACATTTAACAAAATGAGAATCGAATAAAGTTGGGAAATGGGCGGAAGAGCCATGCTGAACATTGTGCAACATTGCGCAACACCGAACTACACTATAACAGTTACTGGTGAGCAGGACTAGCAGTGGAATGAAGACAAGAACTTGATCATATTCCATGCACTGCTGCACTATGTATGGGTCATAATACAACTTACCCAGCCACAGCGAACTGCTCTCCACGAACCAACAGGTGAGATTTATTGCCGGCTACTGCAGATACGAGGATAGACAAAAGCGAAACAAGCTGCCCAGAATCATACACATGTGCAGTGACCAGCTCGTAAACAATGCCTTCAGCTATATCCTGAAATATTAATAATTGCAGTGTATGAAGTAAACATAGAGAGTAGTTGGGTGGACACACCCATTCCCACAGCACTGCAAACCGAACCAATTCCGTTTACGTACGTTTCGGCAAAATTGCCTCCGTCAGGTAGGAAATGAAACAATGATGCCATGCAGGCCAAAAAGTAGCAAACACGATAGGGATATTACCAATTGAGAGCTATTCAAGGAAAAATGCTGTTGGTGCCCGTGGAAGCTTGCACTGATGCCTGCCGGTACGTATACATACCTGGAGAGCGACGGGAGTGCGATGGACTAGATGACTGCTGGAGACCTGCGGAGCACGGGAGCACATGTAAACACCAAGTTGTCAAGCAGCAGCCCACTCAGGAGAATGTAACTGCAATGCACAGCGCCAAACGAAGACATGGGCGTGAGTCATACTGCACGGTATTGAAACCATAGTGTGTGCGCCAAGGTGACACGAACACAGACAGAGATTATAATATTATTACTACATCTCTGCTAAAACGGGTTACTACAAAAGCAAACCTACACTATGCATATGACTTCTGCTTGGAAGACATCAACACTAATGCCATCATGAGATAAAGAATGTGAACAAGTGAGCAGCAAGACATGCTGTGATGGCCCGGCCTCGTCTAAAGCACCATGTAATTTTCGGCAGCTATTTAATTTCGGCTATATTCGGCACCAACCCAAAACGCCTAAATTAAAACGTCGATGAAATTTTTCACAGCATCTGTCGCACTATACCATGCCCTCTACCCCACGCCGAAAATAAATCGCCGCCGAAATGTCAAAAATCGTGAAGTGCCGAAATTTTGCGCTGCCGACATTTTGTATATTTACAGTAGACTCCATATGGCAATGGTGATAACGGATTATAGTGACGCATGAATGCTGGGCACATCCCCTGTCATCGTAAACACAATGGAATTCTAGACCACGAAAAAGTCTTCACCTGCAGCCTCCATATTGCGACCTGACGTGGACAAGCAGTGATGACAACGGTGGCAGTTGAGAGATGGCATACGTGCAACATAAAGCACACAAGAAAGCCCATGGCAGAGACATGATACAATGTATGAGGTGACTGTGATATAGCAGAGACAAGTGCTCATGACCAAAAATGTGTACGACAAATGTGCAGCGACTAAAAAGGTGAAGAAAGAAAGAAGATGACGAGAGACGGCACAAATGACTCACTTGATTCCAGCTGAGATATCAGCGACTGCAACTCGACCGGGACTTCTGCTTGCTGCCATCTTTCTCCTTCCAAGATCAAGCTGCCCAGGATCACAACGGCAAAATAACAAACTCAAGTTACAGTGTCGGACTTCACTTCCATCACCCGGAGAGTCAGATCTATCTGGACACAGCGGAATGCATAACAGAGTTTACGATCCTACAAACTAACAGGAAAAGAAGACACTAACCTAAGCTGAGATCGATGCTCCTCGTGGAACCGATCCACAACTTTCTTGCACTGTGCAAAATATAGTACAAAACACCGAAGAAGAGTCGCAATCATGGTGGAGGACGATAGAACAAAAGCAGAAAACTCAACAACTGAGACAAAAAGCAGTGGATGACAACACAGCTGTAACTCCAATGCCTACACACACATGTGACGGCAAGGAGCGATAAGAAAGAGGTTAGGGGTGAGACAGAAACGAGACAGACAAACACACACACACACACACACACACAGACAGGCAGACTCCTTTGCGCGAACAAGATAGTTGTACGAGGAGCATACTTGACTCATGAGACTGGCGCGAAGGTTCGTATGACACTGTCGACCCGTAATTTTTTCCGTGACCGCAATGAAGTCTTCTACCTGCCTTGACAGCTGAACAATCTCACCAATGCGTAGCTTGCTGAACGAAACATCCTGCAACACACAACCATGACCAACACCAGTATCAGGACAAAGTGTACAAGCACTGTAGACAAATCTGCAAAAATTAATCCAAGCTTTAAGTATGATACAATCATCAACAGCTATAGAGACAAAGAAGGTAATTTAAAAAAATGTATAGGTGCACTCTCATCAAAGGACCACTTGGTTTCAGCAACCACCTGGTCTGTATGACTTCTCTATGCCATTAAATGTGCTGAATATGTCAGGGTCAACCTGGTTTCAAAGACCATGGCCGGCAGGTCCCACGAGTGGTTGCTGAAATCAGGTTTCAACTGCACATGAATTTAATTTTAAATGGAAGGTAAACAGAAAAAATCTAAGTACAATATCTGCCACATCTTTTTCACTTTATGAGTGGTTTCTGGTGAGCATTTTTGTAGTGAATTTTGTTCGAGTTGGAAATGCAAAACAGTGTGCATTAGACCGCTAATTTGCAATATTTGCAGCTGTTTCTTCACAGAAAGGGTACACGACTCAATCGCCAGCAATTTCCAAGAGATGCAGCATGCATCAAAAGCATCGTTCAACAAAGCACAGAGAGGATGCAACCTGCTAAAGCTTACCCGCGTCCTCACTCCAAGCAGCTTTGCACAACGCACATGTGCCAAGTCGCATGCCGCCACTAGCAGCTCATAGCTGCTGCCTGCCACCTGTGCATACTCTGCCCGGGTTATGTAGCCGTCTGGTGCTTGGCTGATGTGCAAACAGAGCAAAGAACAAAGAGAATACCACAATTGCGAATTTAACTCAACTAGTTGACGCGTTCTTTCTGCAGACAGGACATTGTGACTGGATCCCGGCAGCTGTGAACATGATCAATGTCAAGTTAAGAGAGAGATCGACTGCTATTGAACTGTCTTTTTAAAAGGCATCATCATGCTTGAAAATAGGACGTACTGCTCGTGTTCAGGAGATTGTGAAGTCGCAGCAGCAGCGCCAGTAGGTTGCGCAGCGTCAAGTTCTTGCAGCAGAGCTTGGCCAGACTTCGGCGGAACAAGTCGCGTATCATCCAGTGTGTCCAACATATCGTCTTCCAGATCCCCTGTCACTGACTCCAGGGAAGATAGCGAATGTGGGGCATCGGTGGAAGACATGCCAGCTGGGTCAAAGAAAGCAACACCAGCTGTACTTGTCTCGCGCTGTTGAATAGAAGACGGCCTTGGATCCGGCAACGGCTCAGTTTCTCCAGCCTCAAGACACGCAGCTAACATTCGCAATATGATCTTGTGATTGTCCTACAGCCACAGCAGCAAAATCAAGAACAGCAGCACCACCAACAGCCGGAGTACCGCCCACATCAACGTCAATGACAGACAAGGCAAGAGCGAGGACAAAAGGCTGGAAGCAATGAAGAAAAATAGCCAGCTAGGTTTGACACAATAATAATCATGGATTTACCGGTAGATGACATGATGGACTGCTAAGCCTAAATGTACATGTACATGCGGGGCTCAGGAGATTGAGCACAACCAGATGTCAGGGTATTCTTTTATAAAACTTTGTTGGATCAGAATGTTTCGTGCCATACCTCCATAGCTTGTAGCACAGCCAGCACTGAAACGAACACATTGTCGAGCATGGCTCTCCAGCGAGGATATTCCAGCTGACGCATCTGCTCAGCAATGCTGTATGGACACACAAAACAAGGTAGACAGGGTGGACTGGTGTGAAACCTATGGTTAACGCAATCCCGTCCTGCCATTGAAAATAGTATTTTCGAGGTTTAATACCGGTATTGGAGATTTTGTTCAAAGGTGACCAAAAAACAAAAGGAAGTAGAAAGCTATTACCAAGAAATCTACAGAGACAACTTTTCAAAATGATCTCCATTTTGCCAGTAACTAAAAAAGATGGAAGAAAAACGCTACTGATGAACCTAGCCATTGTATCCTTAGATAATTCAATCAACGCAGTAGTGTCTGAAACCATGAACACCTGACCACCGCAGTACCATGGCAACTGGTTCACAATGTCTTACCTCATCTGCTCGTCTTGAGTGTCCAGGTGATCACCCATGAACTGCAAAACAGTCTGCAAAATAGAAAGAAAAACAAAGTTCACTTGAGGATCTTGTAAAAACACGTACAAAAAAAGGCTAGAAAACCAGTGGCTAGTCATGCAACTACTTCAGAATATCTGCAGTAAAGTACAGCACTGACAACTCAGCCATTCAGTGAAGCACCCCCTTTTGGAAAGCCATTGGAAGGCGCAAAAGAACATCGAAAAAAGTTAACACCAACAACAAACTACTTGGAGCGGTACCTTTCGAATCTGTGACTTGAGGGAGGAGAAGCAGAGGTCCCGATAGTGAGTGAGAAATAGCAGGTTGCGCTGTCTAATCAAGCCGATGATCACAGCAGACAGCTGATCCTGCAAAGAAAGTTATAAGTGAAAGAAGTTGAAATACCGGTAGCAATTTCATGCCTATAAGGTGGAGACCGAATTTACATAACAACATTTCAAGAAATCAGCAATCGTCTTCACTGATGTCCGATAGGCACTGGTACGTTAAACGGTAGTTTTAAAGTGATGCCAGACAATGCAGTTTTAAACACGCAACATGGTTGCGCCACACACCTCTTCATCAGCTGCCGCAGCATCAGCGCCATCCCCTGTGGGCATATCCAAACGGGCGGTCGCCAGCTGAACAAACTCGGCCTCCATCATCCTGTTGATCATCTTCTCTAGTTCCGACAGCTGCGAGCCAAGGTGCCTACAAGTCATATGCACACACACACACACACACACACACACACACACACACACGCACACACACACACACACACACACACACACACACACACACACACACACATACACACACACACACACACACACACACACCATACGATGTGACACCAAAACACATTTAGCTGCATGCGTGAAACTTTCAAAGGCACAGTGGGCTGGGCCAAGATCATGATTGAGAAGCTGTGGTGATGAAGCTTGTTCGCCATTACTCTTCAGAATTGGTACAATGAGATCATGTCAGCAAGTCAACATGCAAAGTTATTAATACAGTATCAATACAGTATTTCAGCTGCGAAGAGTAGCGACAAGACAACGCTGCACAAAACATCACTATAACAATAGGGAAATCAGCAGAAGGTGGTCACAGCAGTAACAACTTTCTCACATATTTCTTATGTTACACGTGTATACACAGTTCTGGTTCACGCGCAGCTATGCAAACAGCCTCTATCACTGATAGGTGCGGCTTGTTGCACACCTGCACCTATACCTATATAGGCCGGATCTTTATCACTTCAATCAATAAGCTGCTCCATAGCGGGCACAACTCACACCTTCACCTGTGAAACCATTGATACCGCCACTGCACTGATTTAGAAAAGTCCATGGCTTCATTGTTATGAATATGATTGGCACAGTCCCTAAGGGCCTGGTCAGACTGCGGCAAATTTTGGTTGCCTGACGAAAAAAGAACAGCGTCCAGAATTTGAATCGCGATCACACTACACATGTGGGGAGAGTGAAAATTCAAACTTCATTTCGAGCGTCAAGTGGTAATCTCCACGAACGACGTCAAATTCCTTCACCTTGGGGATCGCCAACACCTTCAGTGCAATCCTTGCAACGATCCTTATGAGTTTTGTTGTTGTCCGTGGCCAATTAGCTCCTCGATATCGAGATGAAAAAATCAGTGATTATCAGCGTCAATGGCGTATCAGCGTCAAATCCTGTTTGGAGCGGAAAAGCGTGGTCCGTTCTTGCTTTTTTTTTGGAGCGTCAACTCTCGCTTTTGCCGCTCTGGCGGCAAGTTACTATGGAGATTCGGATTATAATCCTAGGATTATTTCGATTTTGCCGCAGTCTGACCAGGCCCTAACACTTGGAAGTGAATTATGTTGAAGAATAGTACAAGAAATTCAAGAATAATGTTCGCCAAAGGACCATCATCTACACTAGACAACTTGAACAGTTGCTCACCTAGTGGTCAGCCGCAAGATAACCATAATTTTCAGACGATATTTTTGAGTTTTTCTGGGGGAGGGGGTGAAATGCTGCTATTTACATAATCAGTTAGTAGAACAAATATATATACAAACTCTGGAAACTGATCAACACAATGGTACGGTAAGTGAGTTTTCCTCTTCGTGGGTTGAGCACTTTCACAAGTCAAAAGTAACTCCGCTTTGTGGATTTATTACAAAGAGGAGCAGGAGGGGTATGTGGAGATATTACAAATTTTGTTTTGAAAAATGATTTTTGCATGTGCGCAAAAAATATGTTAACACAGAAGGCGCATGCTCTGTTCCCACCAAACTCTCACGCGCTCATAGTTTTCCAAAGTCCACTGTTCCTGATTTCAGTTCTTGCTGTGTCTGCATTGGCAGTGGATTTCTTTCTCAACCCACCCACCCACTCCACTATTGTCATCATCCTGTTTTCTGTGCTGTTGCTCTCCAGTCCGTATCCACTATCATACCGGCTTACAGTAACTATACCAATGCCGTTCACCAGCGAAATTCTGTAAATACACGGAGGGGAGTCAACCTTGCTTACCAGGCTCCTCACGTGGCTTATTCAGCCTCTCACACTCAGGCGGCTCACTCAGCCTCTCAATACGGCTCACTCTGCCTCAGCAGCAGGGCCCTGCCTAGCTGCCATACAAACATTCACACAGCTCTAAGCTGCCACTCACCCGGAGCCTGACAAAGCAATTGACAAACCCTCCTATTCTCCAAACTGGTTGCTCATTGTGTGAGTGCGGCATGCAGATGCTTGTGTTAAATAATGGCTTTTAGGGACGGTTTCTTACCGAAAACATTGCATTCCAGCCAGCTCCTGCTGCAGGACTTCCTGGGTGGTAGCGATCAGGTCCAATGCCCCTACGTAGTCATGTGTTGCCAGCAACATTTGAATTGTTGGTTGTGTCTGGTGGACTGTTGCCATCAGTTTCAACTGGACAGTACACAGCGAGGAGTACGTAATTATTGTACAATGTACTAGCACATGTACTTCAAAATAGAGTATACAATATAGAATTGTGTAAGTAACCATTTCAACACATGGAAGTGCACATGCCGGTATCTTGTATCTAGTAGATCGATGAGCGGTCAAGAACACTGCAAGCCCAAATCTGCAACCTTTTGTACAACAGCCCCCCTCCACACACAAACTCTCTCTCCCTCTCCTTTATCTAGCGCGTTATTGAGTTCTACCAGCAAAGGCCACTACAGTCGTAGTACTTGCATAGGGTGTATCTGCAAGCACTCTTTTCTTTCTTTTTCATTATCTTCTCCGTACCATTCTGTGCTCTCCTCTGCGTACTTCTGCTGCCTCTCTCCGCAGTGCATGCGTCCATGGTCACCAAGGCAACAGATAGTGCAACACAGAGAAAATCAGCGAAAATCAGCACGCAACTCACCTTCCTATAGAGGTTTGCATAGATGTCTCGTTCACGTGCTAGCTTCAACAGCCGTAGGTGCTCAGTGGACACAAGCGAGTCAGTGTGGTGTAAATCTTTCCTGTCACATGAACAGCAGCAGAACAAAGATAATGCAGCTGTGTGGTGAACAACTATACAACTCAAATCAGCTTCACATACTATGCCGCCACCCTATACAACAATATCATTGCACGCACCATACAACAATATCCTTGCACGCACCATACAACAATATCCTTGAACACACACGCATAGACGCACACGCACACACCATACGACAACATCCTTGCAAACACACACCATGCATGGAAGCACACTCCCAAGTTCAAAGCCCGCACATCCAGGATAAAACGCTTGCCAGCACTGCCGCTGCACCTACCGAACGTGACGTATCTGAGCACACACAGACGCCGCATCCTCATGCAGTTTGCTGTAGCACTGCATGGCCTCGAAGACGTCATCAGACCGAGATGACACCTGACGTGCCAGGTGCACCTCTGTCAAGTCCAGGTATTGAGACAGCTAGGAGAAGAAAACAGCAGTGCAGCCAAGACAAAACGAATCTATCATTGCTGTTACTGCAGACGGACGTGTACCATAATTGCTGCTCTTGTGGAGGACTGTAGAGTCCAATGATGGTATTTGGCATCCATTATCAGAGGTCACAAGCTGCACCTATATCCAGAAAAAAACTAATGCAGCTGAATTCTCCTTCCCTTGCCTAATACGAAATAGACAACTAGGGCAAGCTCTGATCTGTACATGTACCTGCTCTTCCAGAAGCTTGGCCGTTCCGTGTGATGGTACAAGCGACACTCGGTGACCTGTTGCAGGACCTCGGTGAGCAGCGCTTGCACTCGCCACCGCTGCCACGGCCGCTGCAGAAGATCCACCATTTTCATTTCCTGTCGAGGGTGCTGTCGCTGTGTCATTGCAGAACACCAGCTTGTTCCAGGGGATCACGGCATGGAACGTCTGCGGCTCCTCCAAGACAAAGTTTGACTGAAAGAAGATCTGAGCACAAAGTCATACGAGTGGAAGAGCAAACATGGGTTTGACATCAGCCTTGATTAACCATACTATACTAGGGGATGAGAGAAATAGGCATTTTCGGGGCGACTGACCCTGGCCAGGTACACTGGGAAAAAAAATTTATAGGCATAGCGGTGATTGACCCTGGCCAGGTACACTGGGAAAAATAGGCATTGGGGTGGTTGACCCTGGCCAGGTACACTGGGAAAAACAGGCATAGGGGTGGTTGACCCTGGCCAGGTACACTGGGAAAAATAGGCATAGGGGTGATTGACACTGGCCAGGTACACTGGGAAAAGTAGGCACTATTGAGGTGACCGACCGCGGCCAGGTACACTGGGAGAAATATACATAGGGGCGATTGACGCTGGCCAGGTACACTGGTATGAACTTGACATTCGACTGAAAGCATGAGATTCGACAGTTGTACATGTACATGTAGACTGATGATCTGCCAAGATTCAGATACCTACCTGTGGAATAGCACTCAGCTCATCTTCAGGATGCGATTCTATAGCAACCAACACAACACAAAACAGCACAGAACAGTGGGCTGTGTAGATTTCCACACAAATGAAGTAGACCGAACAGGGAAATGTTCCCTTGTAGATTACGAGCACTTCAAGGACATTGAGAAATGAGAATGAACACGATGAGTAGCACCAACAGTACATAACCCCCAAGAGTGTGCAACTGCCTGCACAACCTCTATCCAGTGCTGCGACGGCAACACTTCACATGACGTGAAATGGTTCAAAATGCTACGCTGGCAAACGGTGCAATGTGATCAGCCAAACGTTGAGCCCAACGCAGGGTGTGTGTGTGGGGGGGGGGGGGGGGCACAGGGTGCAAATAATGTGTACAGGTGACCCCACAGCTGCAGTTGCACACTCTTAGGGGATGTGTACTCTTGGTAGCACACACGCACGCACACACACACACACGCACACACAATTGCTCAAACGTGTACGGTCCCAGAGCACTCTGGTCACACTCCTTTACCCTTGCTAGCTGGTGCTTGTTGCGAAGATGTGGCTGCACCATCCTTCAAGAGCTGATTTCCCTGGATGCGGTTTGCCCGGTTCTGTGGCACATGCACAGTGCAGATTGTAGGAAAGGGGAAAACAAAATAGTCTCAGCACTTCTGTAGTACCTAACACAAGCGAATCAAATCTGACTCACTAGCAAAGCTATAGCCCACAAACGCTGTGGCCACACTTCAGCAAAACCTAACTACAAGTATGTACAACACTGTTACGCTACTCTTGATGGGTTTGGCATTTGACTTGACGTCACAGCATACATGTCTCTTGTCCATAGCTAAGCCAGTCATGCACATGGAGACACGTGATGTGTGACCAGAATGGTGGCCGCATAGTCATGCACCCAAACTAGATTCAGTTCGTCGCCAGCTACTGCTAGCCATGTGCTCTTTCCTTGGCGCGGCTCCTGATCTGAGCACACCAGTGCATGGGTGCACCCCGGTATGACCCATCGCGGCATCCATGGTTACCACGGTAGTAAAGGAAAGTGCTTGATTGTGCACATACGTGTGTGCACGTATGTGTGCACGTGCGTGACTGTGTGTGTGTTTCGTTAACTGATCACTCTAGTTTGAGATGGACAGGAGTGATGAAGTCAAGTGTAGTGACTCTGTCAACAGCGTTGCCCAGTCATATCTACAATCTGCAGCTAAGTCCCTAGCATATGCAGAGTGCTGGCCACACAGCAGTCTAGTAACTGACGATTTCGGGAATGCAAATCAATTGAGAGCCCATGAGCGCACACAGGAACCCAGCACGTAAAGCTGGCCAAAATCCATCTAAAACACTCTGCTCTTAATGTACGAAGTCCAAAGACCACGTGCACGGCGTCTTTGTGATGTCAGTCGCATACAGTTCCTGGCCGAAATGGGTGCTTTGAAGAGTAGACCCGGGTGCTTTGAAGAGTAGACCCGGGTGCTTTGAAGAGTAGACCCGGGTGCTTTGAAGAGTAGACCCGGGTGCTTTGAAGAGTAGACCCGGGTGCTTTGAAGAGTAGACCCGGGTGCTTTGAAGAGTAGACCCGGGTGCTTGACGTTCAACCACTGTGACAGTAATTTTTTTGCTGAGGTAAAAAACTCACACTAGCAACAATAGAGAGGTTAAGATGCACGTTATTTATGAGGTGACGCGAAAGCTCAGCTTGCGTTATTTGGCTCGCGCATCGAAAAACAACGCGAGTGACCTGCAGCTCAGATCGAAATTTGGAGTTTTACGCCAAATTTGACGTGAAACTGCGCGTCACGTCGGAAATAACGTGCATTTTAACCTCTCTAATCACTGGCCGGAAACCTGTTTGTGGATGGAAGCTCTATTGTCAAAGCTTGGTTTGAGCCCAAGCTCGATTGAACCAAGCCACCTTTCGATCTGAACAGTTTCTCTCAAGTGTGCTGATTTTCATGTCAAATTTGATGTCGCAGAGGGTGCTTTAAGTCCGGCCGGCTAGGAGGTGACTCGAAATATTCGCTTATCTCTCCTGCATGCCAACTTGATATCCCTTGTGTGCGACGAATGCACCGAAACGATGCATTTGGCGCGCCTCGACCAGTTTACTTTGCAAAATGGTATGTTGGCGAAAGGCAAGCTGGTTTTAGTCGGATCGGTGAAGAAGCAGCTGCGGTGTGAAAACCCCAGGGAAACAATGGTGGAGATGCCAGGAATGTCCACTTTTCTGCATTGTGGTAAAGTTGATTTTTGTATGAAATGTAATCCAATTTGTATGTTGCTACACTACTCGAAAACCCACGGGAATGATATGGGACTTCTGCTTACCGCAGGTCCCTGAGAATTGGTCTGCTAGAAGAACATGATCGTAGTGTCTTATCGGCAAAGATTGAGTCGAATACAATCACAGAACATGATTTACAGGTGGCTGGAATTACGATACGTGGACTTTGAGCACCCGGGTCTTATCTTGGTGCTTCTGAATTTATTAAAAAAAAAGAGCGCAGCACCCAAGTTCGTCCCGTATACAATTACGTGTCCGCATCTGTTTTCATCATGGTGCTCCCGGTCAATTTCTAAAATGATCACTTCAAAGCTGATCATGTGTAAGTGCCTGCGTTGGAGTTTACGGACAATTAGAAAAGCTCACTTCAAAGTTCACGATGAAAGCCTTCATGTTGTTATAGAACACATTCTGTATAATTATATTTATCCACTCTCTTCAATATTCTTGTGAATTGATTTCTTTGTGACAAAGTCCAAAATAGCGTCAGCTTACCCTGGCAACAAGTTTCAGCTGCTTCATCAACTCATGTCTACCGATGTAGGGCAGCGTCACCGAAGGACTAACTTCTGTAGATGGAATGAAGTCATCTCCCCAAGTCTGTGTGAAGATGTCAGAATTGCCACGAGGCCCTGCAGTTGGATCGTGCAGCAGTGATGGCAGGCACACTCGAGCAGAATAAACTGTCCATAGCTCGTCGTCTCCATTCTGCTTGCTCTTTCGCGGACGAGTTGATGATGGGGACATCGCTCATCACCTATAGTTTTACCTCCACAAATCCAATCGCATACCGGTATTCAGATTTCCATTCTTACTTCACCATTCAATTAATTTTCTTTTACATTGCAATGTTGAAAGAACAACGAAATCAATCACTCCAAAAAATGCTGTCTGATCAGTGATGCATGATCGATTGATCATTTTCATCAAGGGTTATGAACTCTTGTTTTCATTAATTTTGTTGTAGATCTACTGTACGGTGTTGACTGTTGTCGTACATATCAGCCGCATTCAAGACAAATTTGGCAAGTAACAGTACTACAAGCGTCCTAGCAACCAACAAATGGCGTCCCCAAGCTGTGCGTATAAATACTATAATTATGATTGTCAGATTGTATGACTGTATTCTTCCTTCACAAAATTAATCCAAGATCAAAGCGACAATTAAATTGTTTCATGCCCAGAGTAACTCAACCTCTTTCGCTACATTGTAGTTCAGCCGGCTAGCCATTGGTTTGTAGGAAGCAGGCACATTGTTGGCAATCGGGGTCGTACACACAATTTTCTGTGTGACGACGCATCTCACACATTCCGGATTTGTTCGTTGTAGAATCTTGTGCAAAGGGCCCAGTAGGGTGCCCATGCTGGGTTTGTCGAAGCCTTGACAGTCGTGCTGGTAGCAATGAGTTTCCGTGCCCTGTTCAAATCGTCCAAGAAAGATGGCGCGGAAGGCGGCCAGTCCCCAGCTCAGAGTCAGAAAGATCGTGTGCCAATAAGTGTCTCTGTTCCTCCAAAGCCAGTAAGGAGCGAGAAAGTTAATTTTGAAAAGGGTACAAAATCTGCAGATAAATTGAATGTCATCACCAGGACTCCCTCATATGTCTTGATAATTCTGTAAAGATTTCTACCAGACCAGATTATGTAGATGGCGTGCAATCCTGGATCATGGCACCAAAATGAAGTATGGGAACTTGTGTTTTCGTCTACATGTGAACATTGCGTGGCTCTAGTAGTTGCTGTGGTTGTAACGACTGCTGCCAACAACTTGTCGTCTGACACACGCATGCACACACACACACACACACACACACGAACGCACACACTATTTGGGCAGTCCTCGGTTGTGAACGTGTGTGAGCCAGGTAGTGATGATCTCCAGTGAGTCTATTTGACTTGGCCTTCTATGCGTTGTCCTTGTAGACTGCATCGATGTCCACGCATGCGACGGTCTCCTCTGATGCTGGTTCCATGTTTGATGGGATGAACTTTGGCACGGTGGCATCTGCTGTGCCAGAGCAAGGTGGGGACTGTGCTCTGACAGCATCATGCCGTTTGTTTGCAATACTGTACCTTCATCTAGCCATCCGACACCAAATTAATTATGACCAGCGGTTATGTGGGGTGCTACGGTGCTGGCCAGTCCAATGTACACTGCTGGACATTGCAGCAACCAGTCCAAGTGCACAGCCTTGTGTCAGTCGTGATAGGTCATTGTTGTGGTAGATATTCATGCAATAGTGATTGAACGTGATATTGCTGACTATCACTGTATTACAAGTACTAAGTACACTACGCAGTAAATGCAGCATTCACTGTGCTAATCAAGATACCGTAGCGTCTCCTTGTTTTGATACGGAAAGCGCCTGGGTATGGTGCTGATGTAGGGGGGGGGGGGGGGGTGGGTCCATGCAAAGCCCCAATTTTGATCAGCTTTGCATGATGGTTTTCGTCTAAATTCTATGACAGTGTACGTCCACTTTATATACCACTTTCCTTCCATCTTTTGCTCTGGTTTCTCCCTGTCTTTTTCTACCTGTCTATCTCTACCTGCTGCCAATATTGCGTGGAACAGAGAAGGCCGGCGATGCATCTGCTCCTGAAGCCGAATCGAGCAGCAACATTGACAGTCACGCTGCAGAAGGTACTGTAGCTAAGTGCCTTCACTTCGTTTATACAGTCGTCCCTCTCTAATCCGGCACTTGTTTATCCGGAACCCTTGCCAACCGGCGCACTTTCTGACGAAACCGATTTTTTTCGTTCAATTCCTACATCTTAATCCGGCACTTGAATTCCGCCTCCGGCAGTGACTTTTTGAAACGAATCGCTCAAACTGCACGTAGTTTGATTTCATAATCCGGCAGTCGTAAATCGACTGTGCGTGTGTGTGCAAGAGTACGTATACATGTGAACATGTTCTCTGTTTTACTTTATCACTGTGTATATTCCTGGAGAAAAGTTGAGAATATAAAGCCGTGCACCAAATACTGGGGTCGACACGGAAAAACCCTGTGTTTTGACGTATGATACATGCATGCAATTGGGTAGGGCCGGGTCAGAGGGCAGGATTTCTTAATCCAGCACCCTCGTTAATCCAGCAGAAAATGCCGTAGCAAAAGGTGCCGGATTAGAGAGGGACGACTGTATACTGTACTAGTATGACATACTGTCAATTATTGACGAAACAGGCTGCACTTGCTATCCGCCTTTGATGATTCTCATCGAATTACGATGTGCGTCTGTGCAGGAAGCAGCGAGGCCTCCACAGCTGAGGCATCTGCGTTCACGTTTCTCAAGCCATCTACGGCAGCAGCAGCAGCAGCAGCAACTTCGGCGGCAGCATCACAGGACGGTACGACCATGCATGCGCAATTAGTTCTACATTCTACGAAAGCATGTGACTGTGTTGATTTGCAAAGACAGTGCAGTTGCTTCTACAGTGCAGTTGCTTCTACAGTGCGGTTGCTTCTACAGTGCAGTTGCTTCTACAGTGCAGTTGCTTCTACAGTGCAGTTGCTTCTACAGTGCAGTTGCTTCTACAGTGCAGTTGCTTCTACAGTGCAGTTGCTTCTACAGTGCAGTTGCTTCTACAGTGCAGTTGCTTCTACAGTGCAGTTGCTTCTACAGTGCAGTTGCTTCTACAGTGCAGTTGCTTCTACAGTGCAGTTGCTTCTACAGTGCAGTTGCTTCTACAGTGCAGTTGCTTCTCAGTGCAGTTGCTTCTACAGTGCAGTTGCTTCTACAGTGCAGTTGCTTCTACAGTGCAGTTGCTTCTACAGTGCAGTTGCTTCTACAGTGCAGTTGCTTCTACAGTGCAGCCATGCCATGTTGTTTGGTACATTGGAAAGGCTTCCTGTCTGAAGCCTTTCCATACTGGTACTCGATGTTCCAGTTTTGTGACACGAGAAAGGCACGAGAATTAGTGTACCGCTGAGTGTACCGCTATACACGTGGTCGACACGTAGTCGACACGTTGTTGATACTTTTTTGACACGTGACCCCGTCAACGGTCTGCTTTGTAAATTTGTGCCAATGCCACTCGGTAAACGCCGATGTCGCGTACGACAAAGACGACTATCCCGTACGCGAAATAGTTGAGAATTGCATGACGTGGACCTGACGGCAAGGACAACTGCGAGGAGGCCCCTTTCGGTACCCCTGACGGGAAGGAGAACTGCAGAAGTCGACGAAGTCGAACGAGGAGGCCCCTTTTCCGTACCCCATACTGCAAAGTGCCATTGATGGATACCTTTTGCACCTGGAACGACCCCTTAAACGCTGTCGCGGCGACTATCCCGTACGCGGAATAGTTGAGAACTGCTGACGTGGACCTTTTGCACCTGGAACGGCCCCGTAAACGCTGCCGTGTCGGCGGAGTGAATGTGCAGGGTACTAGGGTGAAAAGAATTGCTGCAAAGACGTCCCCTAGGCCCTCTACTAGGCTCTAGGCCTTTGCCTTTGGAGACATGGCGAACTGAATGCGCAGGGCGAAAAGAATTGCTGCAAAGACGTCCGCTCTAGGCCTTTGGAGACATCGTGGGAACTCCTTCCGGTACTACACAAACTGCTGACGTGGCCGTGGACATGTACATGGAGAGTCATGGTGGGACTTCATGTACATGGATACATGGTGGGAATTCCTTCCGGCACCCCCGTACCGCAAAGCCAACGGTGGGGAAGGAGAAGTGCAGACGTGCAGGAAGACGAACGAGGAGGAACCAGGACGAGCGAGCAATGGCAGGACTAGCTGGACCGTAAGTAATAGCTGAATTGTGCATGACAACTTGACATCCATGCGGCACTCGCCACTTGCCACTGCATATTTCTTGTCCACTAACAATGTCTCTCCTCTGCCCCCTGTGTGTCCACGGCCCTGTTGCTGAATTGGCCCGATGAATCAAATGTCTTCCGCAACTGGAACGGCCCCGTGAACGCTGTCGCGTCGGCGACTGAATGCGCAGGAGGGAAAATATTGCTGCGAAGACGTCTCCTCTAGACGACGGTAAAGCACCCCATTGATATGTTGCCAGTGTGTGCCAGGGTATCGCGCGATGGTGAATGAGGAATGATGAAGGGTACGGTGGGACTGTAGACCTGTTACCTTCTACTAACACGTTATCAGGTGGAGGGTGTCTTGTACTCACGTTATCAGGTCGAGAGCGTATTGTAGTCACTCTCTCTATTCCTGTAGTTCATTACGTTTAAGGTGTACGTATAACTTCTCAAAAAAAATTAATGGTCTACAGTCGTGTCGGAAGGGTACGGTGGGACTGTAGACATGTTACCTTCTAACACGTTATCAGGTGGAGAGTGTCTTGTACTCACGTTATCACTATATCAGGTCGAGAGCGTATTGTAGTCACTCTCTCTATTCCTGTACTTCATTATGTTTCAGGTGTACGTATAACTTTTCCAAAAAATTTAATGGTTCACGTCTTCAGATAGAGAGCGTATTGCACCCACTGTCTAGTCTCTGTAGTGCATTGAGATTTTGTTGATCGAACATGAAATGGATACACAGACAAAGCCAGGCCAAGTACATGGCGAGATGTCGCCAGAACGTCTTCAGGTAGAGAGCGTATTGCACCCACTGTCTAGTCGATTTTGTGGATCGCACATGAAATGGATCATGTGACACAGACAAAGCAGGCCAAGTACATGAGAGAGTGGACGATGTGCAGATCGACACGGCCTGCGGGTACTTCATTAAAGTTACCCGTGACATAACTAGGATAAAAGTTAATCACTGCAAAAACATTGCCAAGTATGTGAGCACTTTGGACTTGACAGAAGAGTGCACGGGCGACGTTGACAAAACATACTGCGGTGACTGTCACTATCATGACAGCAGGGCACATCACACGCAGCATCGCAGATCGTGTCGAATTGCGCATCATAATATTGCAAAATTGCTCCTGTGCATGCAAGTGGATTTCATTGCACTTCTCAGTTTGGGAAATGCTCGATTATGACAATTCTCCGTATGAGTGCACTAGCCCTGAACAGACATGTAGGTGAACCGTTTGTGGTGTCTCATAGCCTACCTCACGACCTTCTGCTTTCTTTCTTCATCACTTGTATCTTGCAGGTATATCATCCCGTGACGACCACATTGAAGTCTGAATTTGAAGTGGGAAGATGCTTCAGCAACCACATCGTACTTTTCCATTGCTTTCATTGTGCTTCTACTGTGCATGTGTGTAACTTGTGGGGTAAACATGTGATGACATTGTATGCTGGCGACACGGTCAGATGTTCATGCGTCTAACGTACACCTGCATGTTATGCATTGAAAAGGGTTTGCCACTTGCGATCCTGGGACGAGTATCAGGTCCGCTTTGTCCTGTGTGGGCTGTATCAGATTGCTGTTCACTTCTCTATCTGTTGGATATGTGACTTTCTGCAAGTTTCTGGTGTATGATGGCCACGTTCTTGCTTGTCACTTTGTATGATATTACATTCTGTATTCGCTGCTTCCATGGCATGGTCTGCAAACTGCAATCCTTGGGCAAATGTCATGTTTGCTATGTTGTGCTTTGGCCGTCAGCTTGTCTACACGCTGTAGTTGAATTATTTTTGTTTCACAACTGACTTCCTCAAGTACGGTGGCCACTGCTTTGCATGGCATTATACATGAAGAATTTCCTGTTTGTGTCGTGTGCATGTGCGTATGTGTGCGTGGCCACGTGTGTGTGCCGTGTGCATACACATGTTTGTGTATCTGTGTGCGGGGTAGCGAGGCGGGGAGGGCTGGTATGTATCAGTGTGTTATTGCAGTCGCATGGCTACATACAGTACATCGCGCGCGTGGTCATCATGTTTACCTTCGGGGTTGGGGTGGGGAGGGAACGGAAAAAGACCTGAAATTATCCATATAAAAATCGCTCTGTGAGCGGTTCTGAAAAACCTTTACTGGTACTGCCCCGTCGTAAAAGTAAGAAATTAGAACTGGCCCATTGTCCCCCCAAATGCGAACTGATCCACCTAAATCGCGAATGACGGGACCCGAACGCACCAGTAGCACGAGGTTCCTACCTGTGGATGCAGATGGGGACGTTGGTCCGGACCATAGGCCATGTACTGTACTAGCGGTAGGCTTCCCTATCAAAATAATAAATTCTACTGCTACTACTGGTGTTACCCTATGATAATTGCCGTGATCCTGTGCCCTCCCGACCTCGTGCTACTGGTGCGTTCGGGTCCCGTCATTCGCGATTTAGGTGGATCAGTTCGCATTTGGGGGGACAATGGGCCAGTTCTAATTTCTTACTTTTACGACGGGGCAGTACCAGTAAAGGTTTTTCAGAACCGCTCACAGAGCGATTTTTATATGGATAATGTACAGTTGTGGCAAGTGAAATCCGACACTTGCCATAGGGGACAGCGCCTCAAATGGACATCAATGATGTAATGCACTGCACCTAATTTGTACTATAGAGCCGTATGCATCCCAAACAGGTCGAAAGGTCACAGCTTAGATACACACAGTTCACAAACATGGTACACATAAGGAGTATTGGTATCCAATTCCCATTCATTTTCGCCAGCACCTTTTGAACCTTGACTGTGATAAGTACGAATTCTGTCATCAGACAGATAAAGTTGTATGCAGCACATGTACTGTACGTATGCAGGGCTGCAGAGGCTGCAGGATGCACGGTGCAGTCTCTTATGCCAAGTGTCGGATTTCACTTGCCACAACTGTATGTAGTAGTGCACGGACTTGCCTGACGGCAGTTTTTTTTTTGCTTCGGGTATAAGCTACCAGGCATTCCATGCCAGATCTATACTGGCTGTGGTTGATGTGGTTGCAATGAAAAAGAGTGTTGTCAGAACCACTGGTGTGATACTTGCACTTTTGCTTTGAAACAACTGTGCCATGCAGTGTTTGTCAAATGCATCATGTGTGCCATAAGGTGGACATATTTTTTAGTAATAGCAGTCAATTAATAATATCGCAAATTGCCAATGAAGAGTTTTGGCTAATCAGTAAGAGTTCCTTTTTATCTCTGACATTCGAAGACCTCCTGTATGCAATGGAAGTGCTGCAGAACTGACATTTTCTGAAATTTAATGTGGGTCTAGATCGATCACACCGAAGGTCTTTGCCAAGTAGCCCATGTAACAGTTATGTAGCCTCCCTTGGTGTACTTTTTTAAATACTTTAAAAAAAAGTATTTTAACTTCAACTAGCACCACCATGACAGCTGCCAACTGTCTTCCACCTGTTTATTACCTCTTTCCTTTTCTAGAGGAAACATTGGGGCCCAAGTTTAGTGCACGCCAGTTATACCACATCTTCAGCAGCCAATCGTGCACAATTTAGCACAGAACTGACAGGGAGTACTGACACATTTCATAGCATGATACTGAGCTTGGGCACTGCTCCGTAGCGTTAATCAACGGCATTTTAACGTGGAAGGTCTATGGTCATGAGCGCTGATGCCAAAGGGGAAGGCAAGCACATAGCCATGAACCATAGCTCGTAGCTGTACTGATGAGGCGTTTATGGCCGAAACAGCTTGCTGTCTACAGCATTGGGGAACCATGAACCGTTCAGGTTGGAATGCCGTTGGTTAGTGCTATCAAGCCCCAGTAGTACTCTAGCTCAGTATCATGCCGTGGAATATGTCGGTACTCCCTGTCAGTTTTGTGCTAAATTGTGCACGACTGGCTGCTCAAGATCTGGTATAGCTGGTGGATGCTAACCCATAACTCGTGTCCCAGTGTTTTCTCTAAATGCATCCTCATATTTTTCTTTTTTCTTTTCTTTTCTGTTGTTACCTATTCTTGGCAACAGAAAGTGGAGAGCCTTCAACAACGGAAGGATCGGCATTCTCGTTCCTCAAAGGCGATGCGGCACCAGATAGTAAGAATAAGCCTGCTGAGAATTTTCTATGAATATAAAAAGTAGTGGTGCTGTGAATCAGGTAGCTTCTTCGTTTTCTTGAGCTGGACTTGATGGAGCTCCACTGTGATGTTGATGTAGATTGCCACTGTATAGGGTTGCATTCTACCAAGAGCACACCTAACCCCCTAGAGTGTGCAACCCCCGCATGCGGTGCTGTCTCGATAGAATTTCAAGTTGATGTCCTTTTCATGATGCAATGCTACTTGCACGACTGGTTTCCGACGTTTATACTGGGTGTTGGTGCATCACATGTGTTTCCTGGATCTAGTTTATACAGGATCAGATGGGGATTTACCCACCAATGGTCCAGGATACGCCCGATAATACGCGTGCACCTCGCATTGCATCATTTAAATAATGTGGAACTGCACACTCAGGGGAGGGTTATGCACTCCTGGTGCTATCAGTGGAAGGCCTGCTCTCCAGGGTTGGACAACTTCCATAGCTGGATGATCCTGATCAAGTACCGATTTTGTTTTTGTTTTTTCCATCCATTTCCCATTAGACACTGCAGTCACAACAGAGACTGTGGGTGTTGAGGAACCAGCTGCATCGTCAGCATTTTCCTTCCTCTCGGCAGGTATGTTGGGTGCGTTAAATACAGAGTAAAGTTTACTCTGTGAACCTGGTGTTTAGATCTGTGCCTTCGTTATGACTGTTACAGTCGTCCCTCTCTAATCCGGCACTTTATAATCCAGCACCCTCGATAAACCAGCACAATTTTCAGTAGCCAAATGTCCTCTTCATGCACATTGCAGCAGTAGATCAGATTTACTAATCCAGCACCCTCCCTAATCCAGCACATTTCCGTGGCACAAATGGTGCTGGATTATAGAGGGACCACTGTATTACTGCTGCTAGGGGTGGCAGGGGCCGGTGGGAGTTGTGGCATGGCGTCATGTAAGGTGCAGTCTTTTCGTTTCTGTACTTCTGTTCCTAGTTGCTGCTGTTTCTTTGCCGACGTGGCACGGTGACTGCATCTGGGTGGGGGCTCTATTGCATCTTGCATAGCTTTTTGAAATTGCCCAATACCACCACTTCTCATATTTTGTGCTTGACTGGTCGCCAGGTTCAGCAACACAGACCTCCACTGAGGTGTCCATCATCGCACCATCGAATCCCACTGATAGTGACATGATGTCAGCTGCACATCACACCGAAGAGACTGCTGTTGACAGTGGCAGCAGTCCCGCTGCGCTGCGCGCAACTGCAGCCAAAGCAACGCCAGTCCAGGCATCGCCTACCCTGCGACAGCCCAGGTCTGTTCAGCGAGAAACACCAAGCAGCACCACGGGAACCCCGTCGAATCCACAGCGAAAAAAGAAGAGGAAGGCACGTGTTCCCGGTGGAGCCCGGCTTGATGACGAATCAACCTCCGTGTAAGCACTTGTTACATAGTATTTGTACTACACTTGTACATGTATATACTTTTGAGTCGGGCTCGCTCGTTCACACACTGTTAGACAACAACTGGACGTGTTCTGGGGTGTCTCTTACTTAGAATATCATGATCTCAGACAATACCGTATTTCCCCGAATATTAGTCGCAACTTTTTACACTAAAATGCAAGGGTAAAAAGGGGGATGCGACTTACAATCGAGCATGACTTACTACGAACTGACGTGAATATATCCGAACTGGCTCAAACCTGAAAATGGGGGTGCAACTTACGATCGGGGAAATACGGTACTATAAGACAAAAACAAAAGGGAAAACCACTCTCTCTCTCTCTCTCTCTCCAGAACTCCCTCAGCACAAACTCCCCACTCATTCACAGTAGGAAAAAGCCCACGCAAAGCGATAAGCACGTGACACGCAGATACCGCGCGGCACTAAAACGCAGCTAACAGGGCACTACACGTAGGGTAGTGAGGACAATACAAAGTCAGATGCGTTGTAACTGATATGCAGATCAGTAGCAGTTCAGTTAGTTGAGGACGAACCTCAACATACCTCCCTTTCTTTGAAAGCAGGATGGACTGTCAGTTTACAGATTGAGCCCATCATGCTGCTTCTTGGATCGGTCGGATCGACGAGTCTTGACATTGGTCAATTCCTGGACCGGTATGGGGACTTCGGTGTCCGCTGAGGTTGGCGTAGCGCCACGGCTCCACCAGATCGAGATGACGGCGCTGGACGGCACCACCATCGGTCTCGACGGTGGCTTCATGGACATTAGCTTCTAATATCGTTTTGGTCCAACCGACAAGGTTCACACAACTCAGTTTGGTGATATTTTCATTGCAGGAATGATACAGGTGAAAACAAGAGAGAAAGAAAACTACCTGTCCATCATGGAAGGAACAACAACAACCAGAAAAGGGTTCGCCGGAGGCTTGTTGGACAAAGACTGCATCACCTTCCGCCAAGTGACGTGGGGCGGTGTGATGCCATGAGTCGTACTTGTCCTTGACAGAAGCCTTCACTGCTGCTCCGCACACTCTAACTGCTTCATCCAGTTCGTCAACGTCCTCTTCCTCAGATTCTGAGTCGGGGCAGCGCAGAGCTTTCAACTGTGTACGAAATCCACCGAGCAGGAACAGATCTGCCGGAGCATGCCCTGTGGTGGTATTCACCTTGGACCGGAGGGTACCGAGTGACTCTTGCATAGCTCGCTTGAGAGACGTCTGCGACGACTTTCGGAGATGGCACTTGAGCGTCTGGTGCAATCGTTCCACAGGGTTTTGCCTTGGGTGTACTGGCGACCACCATGGGCCTACGAATACAATCAGCATGCGTAGCTTGTAGAGCACGCACCTGCTCCACACACTCCGATACTTTTAATTTCTTGCCAGCAGTGGCCATACACAGGGGCTGGACAAATTCTACTGGTAACCCACTAATAAACTGTTCGATCACTACAGTATCCTCGTCACCAGTCGCGCTGTGACCAGACAGGTCCAGCAACCGCTGGAGATCCGTGACGAAAGCGTCTACCGACTCGTCTGGTTTCAGCTTATGCTGCACAAACAAGCTTTTTGCCTGCAACTTCGTTGCTGCAAACGCAGATGATAGCTTGCCGAACACAACATCCGGATCTGCCTTGTTGGTGTCCGACAACTGATAGCATACCAGAAACGCGTGGCCGTCCAGAAACAGCGGAAGGTGTTTCATCTTGTCATCGTCCGACGTCCACTTTGAGATTTTGGCCAACACACCAAATTTTGACCGAAAGGCATTAAAATCGTCCCCCTTGCCCTTGAAGGGGCGAAGGAAATTGTCCATCTTGAGACTCATTCCAGACACACTACGGATTACGATACTAAACGCTAGTATAAAAGCTTGCGGGAACAAGCACGGGCACCGACCACGGCCACAAACGCACCAACACAGGTGAACGCTACGACACGACCGACCGAACGATCCTCAAATCCAAGGCGAGTTTCTGCACCACTCTGTTGTGTAACGTACGCACAACAATTATTCACCACTACATGTACTCCGCACACAGCACTCACACCGGCGGACGGGACAATGCACTCGTGCCGGATGCCCCAGTCACGAAGCTGGGCTGCAGTCTCTGTACCGAGAAACCGGGAACCGTTGTCCGAGATGATGCGTACTGGATAGCCGAACATGGTGAACATAGCTAACAGGGGGGAGAGAGTGGGGAGGAGGGCAGGTCAACCGTTTTTTAAACTGTAAGCGAAGCACTTTGTTTGATACTGTTTTACCAGTCCACATTGGAGATCGAAGTTGTTACACTGTGCTTGCAGTAAGTTTTGTTTTGTGTTTCTACCATTCACTGGCGTAGGTCAATGGAGAAGTCTCCATCAATCTCAAGAAGTGGAGCTGGGTCAAGGGAAGACCTCGGAGATACCAGCAGTAGCAGCAGTTCATTGATAGCAGGAAAGGAGAGCATAGCTGATGTTGCTGGACCCACTACTGACAGCACTGCAACACAGGTAGTTGGAGTGGGCTCCGCTTCGTCTGACAGCACTCCTGCCAGCATCAAAAAGTCATCGGCAAGCAGCAGTGTAGCTGGATCTGCAGGGACTGCTACCAGAGGTGTGGACACTGTGACAGATGTTACGCCTGCTGCTGCTGACATTCTCAAAGACGGGGATGAAACTGATGGGCAAGACCACAGTAGCCCAAAGACTATCTCCAAACTGGCGCTAGTCGACTTAGACGGATCTTCGCCAGCTGTTGGTGATCAGAATGATCACGAAGCGAAGCTGCCAGTCGATGAAAATGTGGAATCTAGTGACCAATCAGTGCCCGTTGATAGTGCAGCAAGTGCCGCTGGACAAGTCTCGAATGTCCCTGACTCGCTGCTCGAGTCGAAGCAAATATCTTCTACGGACCAAAACGAAGTGGACAGTATGAATGGTAAGACTTTGATTTGACGGCACCACTTGTGCACGTAGATGGTTTAATGGCATTCAATACTGACTCTGTGTTATTGGTGCCCGGCTCTTGTTTCCACTCGATGTTTGCTGACCTTCTTCTTCTTGCATGCGACCAAGAATACAGAATACTCCAGAGTGTACAACTCTGCAGAAACCTCCACCATGCCTTATTTTCAGTTTGTCATTTTTCATTATGTATACCACTTGACGCTACACAAAACTCCACTGCGCGCAGCTGACCTCACACATCGAATGCATTGAATCGAGCTTTTGTTTTTGGAAACATTACTGCGCGAGCTCCACTGCAGCCACTTCATAAGCCTCTTGTCTTGTGCATGCTTTCCAGGAATATTACTTGACATTCATGGCCCGGTGTTTGATTGTGTGCTTTTCTCTGTTCCAGTGTACGACATCAAGCTTAGTGTGGAAGAGCGACTGGAGCTTCGCCTGCAGTCAGAGTCATTTCCTTTGAATGACATCCTGTAAGCCCGTAGATCGTGTTGTGCTTGCAATGTTGTTTCGTGGCATGCCAGATAAAATTATGGTTCTGACATAACTATACTTACATGCACTCGTAGCAAGTTACTGTCACTGAAGTAAGATTTGCATTGTAGCTTTCACCTGATGCATTTATCTACGGAAGTGACTACCAGTACCCCTCTCACCCTTTGCTGTCTTGTTGGAGTTGTATTCTCGTGATGATGATGATGGTAATGTTCTTTTTTTTCTTTTTCTTGCCGTCCCTGTTGTAGATTAAACCTGAAACAAACAGAGAACCAGCTAGTTGGCTACTTGTCAACCCTGCATTCTAATCAAGCCCAGCGCCTCTCAGTAGGTTACACGCTCTGGTAGTATTCACCACAATCACAATCACATCTTTACCTGTAGTTAGAATGGTTATGCCTGTTTTATACATGTACGAGTCGTAGATATCAACTTGTCTGAGATTTTAAAGAGAGTATGGGAAAACTTAGAAATACAAAAATGTATGCTATTCTTCCACACGAAAAACTCAGTGCTGCTGAGCAGGGAACACACTAAACTCACATTTGGGTTTTATCGAGCACCTTATGAGCTACGGTATCGCGATTTTGGCAGTAAAATGGCAGTCGAGGGTGAGCGAAGTGTCAATCAGTCGGCGGGAGTCGCGAGCCCTCCCTTACTCATCAGGCCGCTTGTTTTTTTTTGGAGCAGGTTGCTGCGTAACTAGCACCAGTGCAGGGTGTGTGTGTGTGTGTGTGTGTGTCTGTGTTCTGGCCTGAAATGTATGTGTTTGTTCTGTCTTTTGTTTTTCTCCCCCGCATTATTCAGAAACGCCGTGAAGCCCCTGAGCTTCGGAAGCTGGAAGCAGCAGCCACTGCTCAAGAAAATTTTGAAGAAGGTAGAAACCGTTGCATAGATTTCTTCATGATGGTTGCTAGGTATTATTTATTCTTTCTTGGTCTTGACATAAAATGTGCCCATTACGAGTACTCAATATGTATGCAAGCATGACTCAACCAGGATATACTGAGGAATGTAAGAAGAAGAACGCCATTTTGATCCGAGTTGCTTCTCGAAGATTCTGGTTTTTGTTTTGTTACTGTGTGTATAGCTGAGAAGCACAACAGTCAACTGAAGGACATCACTGATACGCTTGCATCCATGTCATTCACATTGCAATCAGTGGACAATGTAAGTACCGGGTCGTTCATAGCATGGCACACATTGCTATGGTGATCTACGTGCAGTTCATCAAGCTCTTGTAACGAAGTGTGTACTCGTATTATGGTGTCATCACTTCTTCTTTTTTACTTTAATATGCGGAGCCTGGGTTCATGAGGAAGATATCTCTTGGTGCAATGATCTGGAGCTATATGCTTGTCTATTGTGTAGATGTGTATGCCTGCCAATACTTTACTTGAAATAATGGCATGAACTATGCACACTGTATCAAATTGATGTACAGTCAACTTGGCGGGGCATCAGTAAGTGTCATTATTCGCGAAGTGTCGTTATACCCGAAGTCTCATTATATGCATTACAGTTGGATGGGACTTTGCTCTGGGCATCGAAATTCTGTCGCTATTCACGAATTGTCGTTATATCCGCATTCGTTTTTAGCGAAATTGACTGTACTACCAAGTAGTATGTTGATTGGTATGCCTTGCACTACTGGTACTCCTTGAGGGGTTTCTTCCACTCATCCGGGGTAGAAAGCTACCAAGAAGCAATGTTTTTGTTCAGACTCTGGTACCACTAGCTTGAGTTTGATGTCATTTGATTTTACGATGTATTTCTGTGCTTGCTGGCAGATGGTATCGCTGAATTCTAAGCGAAATGAGCTTATCGAGTCGCAGTGTTCCGTTCAGCGTGAATCGGTGGACTGCATTCAATTGCTTCTGGTCAGTGACATTTTAGTAGTTCTTTTGACTGTTATTTCCCCACCAATATCTTTGGGCTGCTGCTGCTGCTGCAGAAGACAACAGTGGTAGACATATTGCATTACCAGTCAGTTGTGGATGGGGAGAGGAAGGATGACATGGGCATGTCATGCAATTATTAAGAACAAGGTGGCACAGAGCATTGCTACTTTCAATTTGCAAGTGAAGCAAACAGAGCACCTGCAAAATGTTCTATGTACGCTACATGTACTCGCGCGCCTCGCCCATCGAGTAACAGCACGGTTTATTGTTATGGTTCCGGTTGTTTATGCTGGTTTCATCTCTATGTTTGTTTGCTACTGTGCAGAAAGAGCAGTTGACGGAAGCAGAATCGTATCGGACACAGTCGACGGCGGACATCGCAAAGTAAGTTTTATTCCCTGGTGCTAAGATGTGTGTTTCTCCTGCTACATGCATGTACACTGCTGCTCTAGAATACTGTGTTGTGTGCATGGTGTGCAGCCATGCATGTGCGCAGGTTCGCTAAGTGGTTTTTTTTAGAGTTAGGGCCAGGCTTCTTTTCTATAATGCTGTGAATGATAGGCAAGTCGTGTGTGCATACATGCATGCTTCTTCTGTATAGGATTATGCCCAGTAACTGCAACAGAAAGACTGGCTGTATAGCAAACACTAAAAACAATGGAAACTACTACATGTAGTAGATGGTCTGAATGCATATTTTAATCTGACATTTGTACTGTATTGTATTGTACGCTTGCTTGCAAGTCTCTGAACCCCTCATTTGATGCCAGGCCTTATCTCGTACTTCAAGAGGTGGTGGTGGTTCTCAGACTTACGGCTAGCTAATTCGCGGCTCTCGTTTTGTACAGGCACCGTCAAGAGATCTCGTTACAGAGAGAGGCGATAGTGAGAGAGCAAAGGTAACCAGTATTCTATCTTGCTATCCTGTTGACAGTTCACACTCACCACCAGTGCACAGTACTGTAAAACATGTAATTGTAGGTGCATTAAAATTCCGGTGCCAGGGACCTGTCAGGTTTCAGGTGTAATGTAGAATTAGGTGACCAGCGTTCCGTTCGCATACAGTGCATACTCTAGTGCCTTTTATGTGTAATTTAAATTTAGGTGCCTGGTTTCTCCACCGAATCACCGAAATTAAACTTACACCGAAAATTACATGTTTTACAGTATATTCTTAGGTTATGGTGTATACTACCGCAACATGTGTATCGACTGCCGAGTGGATTGGACAGCACTCGCCTATGAAATTGGACCTCTGGTTTAGCTGCTCAGCTCTGCCAATCTCTTCTGTGACGCTCTTCTAATCGGCAATGCTGCTGATAGAATCTGAACAACTGATTGTTCGCATCCAATCCAAGTACCTCTCGTTGTGCATTCAATGGCACTGCGGCTGTGCAGTAGCAACAAAAACTGCACATAGTTTTCACGCATCGGCCAATCTGCTCTTGAATCGCTGAGCACTTGACTGGATGCTGGTATAGTTCTGTGCTTGCTTTCATCCAGTGCTCATGTGCATTGTGACCTTGGTCTGTGTTCTGTTTCCTAGCCATATGGACGTAGACTGGGATCTGTCACGCAAGTGTACTGAAAAGCTACAGGTAAGATTGAAACATGGGGTGACGTAAGCATTGAGTACTCCTGACTTAGGCTTTGTGCGTGATGTAGCACTGAGGTGTTTTTTTCTGCTAGGCAGTCAGCCTGGAACGGAACACAGACTGCGTGCACTCGCAGTTTCTCCTTGGGTACCTGACCTGTCGCCCATCCGTATCAGTGCATCTTATGCCTGCCTTTTTCTTTTCTTTTTGCATTGCGCGCCACTCAGCATTATCACAGCACTTACGAGAATGCAACTGCATCAAGACTGTTCTTCTCTGCAACCTGCATCCTTGTAATTGTGCATATGTAGTCCTGACTTTAGTAGTGAATTGTTACTGGAGTATGCAACTTATGACTGATGTGTCGTACTTTCCTCTTCCTTGTCGCCTTGCTTTCAGGCTGAAGAGGAGGAGAAAACCAGAGACACCATGGCAGAGCGGGGAGAGCTGTCCAAGAAACTTGACACGGTGCAGGTACACCTCTACCTCCATATCTAGTTCACTTTAGTTTCATAGCGAAAGTGCTTAACTGCCGAAATATAGGGTTGCATTCATTTTCTGAAATAAGCTGTTCGTGTTAGCTTCTATTCCCTCCTTGAGTCGTACTGGGTGAAATACTGATATGTTGCTGTTGATACCGTTCCCTATGTTACTTAGCAACCAGCACCCTGACATTGAAGTTTGGACATCAATATGATGACTTGAAGTTTGTTTTGCATGCAGGCTATTATAAGTATAATCTACTTTCCGCTCGCTATCTGAAAATGGCACACCATTCCACGTGTATGGTACTTTGAGTTCTTGAACTTGCACTCGTCCAGTCAGTGACCTGACCTGGCTTGTCGCCATGGTCACAGCGGTAACACTTCTTGCCGGATAATTCAGACAATCCAGGCTTGGGAGCTTGCTTGCTCATGTCCCGCCAGTCCCATCACTGTATGTATGGTTTGCGCTGCCGATTGCTCTGACCCCTAGTTCATAGTCTCATTCATCAATAAAGATAATAATAATAATAATAATAATAATAATTCACTGAAATTTCTTATCAGTCCTCCTCCAGAACTAAATATAGTCCTCCTCCAGGATACAAGTATTTGGAGTCGAATAATAGAGAGGTTGCGCATATCGAAGTTTTGTAGTGTTCGACGGACCAGGCAACCACGAAAAGGCTGGGGAAATTGGTCACAATTAATTTTCGTTGTTCAGCTCTTTTCTTGTCGATAGTTGACGAAAGTGCGTAGGACTTTCGAACTCCAGGCCGTTACGGCCGAATCTTACGAATTTTCGTTGTGCGCGACCTCTCTAATAAGGCCATTGCGCATTACCAGATATTGAAGGTATTAGCAATGCACATGAGTATGCTGGGATCAGCAACGCACTGTTCAACACCCCACATAGCCATGCCCAGATGGCTGTGTGGGGTGTTGGTGGTAGAAACGACGGCATTGCGTGATAGGATTATAATTATTATTGTCCACATATAATTGATTAATGAGTCTCAGAGAATCACAGTGTTCCTTCTGTCCAGAGCTCTCTGGTTTGCGTCCAAGGCACTACTAGTATATGGGATTGCCAACGTCATTAGCCTATCCTCAACCAAAACCCTGTATGCCGCGGGGAAATTGCACAGGAGGGGGGGAGAGGTGACAGGTGTCTTTTTCTGCAATGCTTTCCACGGCATAATGACGAATCTGCAGCACTTTCCACGGCGTAATGAGACTTTTGCGGCAAAACACAACTTGAAACCCTGCAGTAAACAGCAGAAATGAAAGGAAGAAATAGGAAACTAGCCTGCATTAGTATCATAGTTGTAGTATTGTGTTGATAGTTAGCTGACAGCAGACAACCTTCTGGTGGTTGACCATGCATACAGCCTTCAAACTTCAGCTCTGGGCTGGCCATGAGATGTGAGGTGCTCCTTGAGCTTCTTAGAACCTATGTAAAAACCCTGCCTTGAACGAAGTTAGCATACCTTCCTTCTCATCCTCGTCCAGTAGGTCGCTTGCATACAGGTCAGGGCTGCCTGCCACAGTCAGAAACTCGTTGACTTGGAAATCGTGACCTAGTCGCTGGAGGATATCATGCACTCACAAGGCTTGCGGCTTCGGAACTGGTCGTTCAGCTACAGCAGAGGCTTGCGGCTTTGGAACTGGTAGTTCAGCTACAGCAGAGGCTTGCGGCTTTGGAACTGGTCGTTCAGCTACAGCAGAGGCTTGCAGTTGTCCGAGAAGAAATCCATCTGCAGCTGGGAGCATGTACCTGACCTTTTGATTGGCCATGATGATAGAGAGCGCTTTCACAGATGCTGGTGGCTGCAATGACACCCTTATCTCTTCCTTTGATGAAGTCAGGATAAGATTTCACGAACGTGGTAGCAAACACAGTCGTACTAGCATCCCCACCGAGTTGCAATATAATTTGATGTCATCGTCATCATCATCGGCTTCTTGCATACCCGACTCCAGTTTGGGCAAGCCCTGCACATGAGACTTCAGGTGAACCAAGAAACGAGCCTTCCTGCCATCGGTTAGGCGAAACATTTGATTGAAGCTCTGTACGAAGTTGTTCACTTCCTCGAATTGGTTGTGGAAGCTGTCTCTAGTCAAGTTGAGGATGTGTGCAAGACATGTCGAGTGAACTGAGTTGGGAAGCAGTGATGACAGTACATCGGTATATGCCTTTGTAATACGCGACCGAGTGACAAGGCAAACTGGTTCAGTCTCTCCGACTCAAAACATAAGTAGTAGTCTCAGGGAATAATATTGCACGAAAAGACGAACGTAGGTAGCACAGAACTTATAGTATACAGTACTGAAAGACTAAGGTGAAGGTACGACTAGAAACAACGGAAGCAAAGACTCTGCAACAACTGAGCTGGGGAACTGACAGACGGATATATACGGTACCAGATTGCCAGTTACAGCTCTGAGCGCTAGCTAGCGATCTCTAAATGAAAGCAAGGGACCTGATGGTGCCAGCAATGAATAGTGCAATTCATAGTAATACATGTACATAGTGATTTGTGTAGGAGAAAGTCTGTCTACTACGGCCTTCTTCATGTAAGCTGCACTGTCTGTTTTGAATGCAATGATATTCTCACAAGCAACTCCATAAGACATTAGAGTCTTCATCATTGCCTGTGATATAGCGGCATTGTTTGTTTTCTCCAGAAACATGACATCTAATAGATCAGCCTCCAGACAGTCACGGCTGTTGACAGTGGATGTGCTTACCAGTATGTTCAGCACGTATTGCCCAACACCGTCGCTTATCTCTTCAAGTATAACACACGAATCATAACCAGCGATTATTGCTGTGATCGTACAGCTGCATTATGCCAGGTATAGCTTCGCGGCGCCATTCTGGACTCGACTGTTCAAGATCTCCCGAATCTTGAGATGATCGGACTTCCACTGAGGGATGTTTGCGGCAGTCAATGTCTTGACCCATTCCTTGACCACCGAGAGTCTCTCCTGCTTCGCCACAGTAGCAGCATCCATTGCACTGTGTATAGTGTGCTGGCGCTTTGCAGAGTTCACATTAATCATGCTCTGACTGCTGCTCCCGTTTCTGCATGTAACTCTTGCAAACCAAGCGGTCTTCAACCGTCTACTGTCCAATGTGGTCTATTCCCTATTTCTGTGTATTCAGATGGAGATTGCTGAGCTCGAGGAACGTCTACGTGGCCTGCGCCAACAGGCCAGTACCATCCAAGCATCCATTGATGTTGTGGACAGCAAGGTGGCAACCGTGCGTACAGAAATGTCAGCACAGCGCTCGCAACTGGACACTCAGGTGGAGAGCTTGCACGAGCAACAGGCGCAGCTGGACAAGCGGAAAGTATGTGAAAGCAGCATTTGTGTGTGTGTGTGTGTATTTGTTTTATTGCGGTACTGCACTTCCCAGGCAGACAGCTAGTTATTGATGTGCATGGTAGATCATATCATGTGTACAGTGTGCTTTAAAAGGTCTTTGCAGATATCCCATGCTGCCGGAAAACTACAAGTTGATGCTGTCCTATCTAGACTACGAACCCCAACCGCAGAGTGTGCAACTCCCTTATCAGTGCCGTGAGGTTGATGTCGTTTTTCGTGATGCAATGGTACGCGTGCGTTCCGATGGCCAAGTAGGAGTGGGAAGACTGAAAGTGTGCTTGCTAGCTTATTTCTACGTGTACAGTGCTGTACGAGTTTTACGGGACTGAGGCACAGGATGCACACGGGACATCTGAAAACACGCCTACATGACGTTGTGTATAGCCGATCTACATCGTACTGATTGTGTGTGTGTAGGTGCTGGTAGCCATTGTCATCTCCACGCTTGTCTTTCTGCTCCCTACTTTGTGCACTTCAGGCTAAACTGGAAGCAGATGAGGGCGTCACAGAGAAGCTTCAAGAGGAGATAGACACCAGTCAAAAGAGGTCAGAATATTATATGCTGTGTACTGGCTTTAAACAAGAAGCAAGGACAGTGAATCTCCCATGGGGTGTTTAGCACTGTTTGAAAGAGTATTCATGCTACTGTCCCCTTCATGCATACGTACAATATACTCACAATTTGTTATGTGTGTAATAGGGTCCACGTAACCGTGTTGAGCACTCCCTGCTGGCGAAGGAGAACCTCTTCGTACGTACAGCGTACAGTACATCTAGTTGTATTCATTGGACAGCCGGCTGCTTCAGCCGTGCTATTCTATCTTCACAGCGGAGGCCAGAATGAATGGCTTCAATGATCGCATGGAAGTCTGGAGAACGACAAAGAGTCAGATTGCACGATTATGAACTGCGAGAAATACGGCGGGCTTTGCAATAGTTCATAGCTTCTCTCAGTTCATCAGGCTGGCCAGGTTCCAGATTTTGTCATGTGTACCATTCCTCCACTGTCTCTCTCTCTCTCTCTCTCTCTCTCTCTCTCCCTGTCATTGTGCAGGCATGCGGACATTGAAACGAAGATGCAGTCACTGATTGAGAGCCGCAGTCATTCCCTGGAAGTGGGCAGAAATGACACCGAGTGTGTCGAATCGTTTCTATGTCTGGCGGAGCAGTCCCGGCAGACATTGGCATGTAGCATATCCTTATCTGAGTAAGTCCATGTTTATACCTCTTGTTCCGCAGTTTCTGCATGCTATCTCACTAGATGAAGCAAATACAATGTAACTTACAATCTACATATACTGTGTGGCTAGGGTTAATGTCTTCTGACGCTTACAGCCACCTCTTTGTCGGGGAAACATCGTGAGGTAAGATCTATGCCTCCTTGTTTCAATGCAGGCAAAAGGGCGCCCTTACAGAAAAAGAAGATGAAGCTCAAGGTATCACTCACAAGGTATGTTGTTTTAGATGTCTTAATGCGATGTAGACCCAGTCACATTCCCTTCTCTTTTGGTATGGTATGTTGGCTGCCTGTTGTTGTGTGGCATCACCTGACTTTACTTTTTCTTTCATCTCTTTCACTCCATGTACCTTTTCTACTGTCTTTTTAGTTGGTTATTGCTCAGAAGGACACGGCTAGTTTACGTGGAAAGCTCGACAGTATTACCACGCAATTGCCCAGTGTCGAAACAGCCAAAAAGCTGGCCGTCAGCGGTGAGTTTCCGTATGAGGGAGCATTACAATCATATTCCCTTGTTCTAGTTCTGCCTGAAGGGCCCGGCTGTAGGAGGTGTTGGGATGTGGAAGTACCGGATAAGAGAGGCTCTATTGTACATGTGTTCGTTGACCATGACGCTGAGGTTGTTGATATGACTTCTTTCTCTTGTTTGGTTTTCAGTGAACCATAGTCTATCTATCCTTTCACCTCACAAATGTCCCGACTGAAAGAATTGCATCTGTATTGGGTCGTATTCTCTTCCAGGAAGGAACTTCAAGGAGGCTCAGCGGCTCAAACTTGAGCAGGAGAAACTTTTGGTAGAGAAAGCATCTGTTGAGAAAGCGTTAGAAGAAGAGCACGAGAAGTCTGGTCAGCTGAATGCACTCCTCAAGGATTGCCAAGAACAACTTGATGCGCTGAGGCAGGACTACCTGCGCATTGAGGAAGAGAGTGGTGAGTCCGGGGGAATCATAATGTCCACGTGTGTGTGTGTGTGTGTGTGTGTGTGTCTGTGTGTGTCTGTCTGTCTGTGTCTGTGTGTCTGTGTCTGTGTTATGTGTGCAACTACAGGTACAGATGTTCCTGTGTGGTTGTGTGTACATGTGCATGCATGAACATAATTACATGTACAGTGCTGCTCAATGAATCCAATTGCATGAATCAAGTTTGCGCCCTGCACGCGGGTCACATTCCAGTATTTGCACAGCACCCAATGTGTACTTGACTCATGCGATCTGATTTTCATTGAGCAGCACTGCAGTATGCTGTGGTCCTGTGGTCCTGGAGTGTTCTGAATCTCACATATCTACTAGTGATATCACTACTACTGTCATTGAGTGAAGAAAATAATTACAATTAAAAAAGAGGACCATAAGTTTACAAGTTATCCGTTTTGTCCAACACTAACGGTTATAAGCAGAATACTGTTGAGTCAAAAATGTGCAACAATTAGCACAAAAACTGACTGATGAGATCATGACATTCAACGACCTGATCTCATCAGTCAGTTTTTGTGCTAATTGTTGCACATTTTGACTCAACAGTATTCTGCTTTAATATAACCTTTAGTGTTGGACAAAACGGATAACTTGTAAACTTTTGGTCCTCTTTTTTAATTTAATCCTTGGCTCTCCATCCGAGTTTAATCTGCACAAATAATTACGCTTCATTCTTCTTGCTTGAATTGCTATTGTTTACTCTTGCAGATATGGAAATTGTATCCAATTGCACTAAGTACAGTGACAAACTGCAAGAGCTCCTCAGCAGTGGTTCGGCATCCGCTTTCCTGCAACGCCTTGTGAAAATCGAGCTTTCGTTCTGCAAGGTTAGTCGTGAAAGCCGGGAGAATGTGCACTGGCATGTAACTTTTAAACAGACTCTAGGCACACACTGTGAACGGAATGGAACGAGTTATTTGTCGTTACTCCGAGTTTCACACTGTCTGAGGATCTCCTTTGGGCATGGAACTCAGAATAACAACCTATACTTTGCAGCTTGTATTTTGTCCACTGTGTGTGTATATGTGTGTGTGTGTGTGCGTGCGTGCGTGTGTGTGTGTGTGTGTGTGACCAGTTCTGCATGCTGTGCACTGCGCACTATTGCAGTAACAGTGCCTGCCTGTGTGTAGCATACTCTAGATGCATGCACTCTTGTTGAAAAGTGACAGGGATTTACTTTTTTCTGTATACACGTTATGAAATAGTGGCACATTGTAGCTGGTTTCCGGCAAAGATCAGCTGCTTTGCTGCTCGGGGAAATGTAACACAGTCGATGTACCCTCTAGTAACTTGGTTTGCGTCTTGATTCTTCGACACAACGCTCTGTTCCTGCCGCTATTGCTGCTGCTGCTGCTGCTACTGCCATCGCTGCTTACTGCTGCCTCTTCCAATCCAGTTGGTTAGTGCAGAGTTATTGGTGAAGCATGGAAAGCCAGTGGACTTGACCGAGGCACTGGACTTTGAAGACAGTGATGATTTCAACCATGCCGGTGCCGGTAAGCTGGAGAATTTCCGTGGGGTTTGAGTGAAACTCCGCAGTCACTGAATGTTTGTACATGCCATGAAGTAATGCTGGCTTTCAGTTACAATGTCCATACATCCACGCTATGCGTTGCTCTTTGCATTTTTACTTCAAAGTTTGTAGGAGGCAAGAGAGTCAGACTTTTGTTAACTTCCAGCACCAGGAATTCTTCTTGGTGGCATCATACACGCTGGTCTACACGTTAAAATGCCTGAAACCTTGTCTATGAATGATGTGATTCTTGTCTTGATGCCACGTTTACATGTACAGTAGGTATCGGTTATAGCGTGGGTGTTTTGAAAAACGACATTTGATTCTTATTGCCGATATTTCTTACACACGATAAATCACGTGTGACATATCATATGCACGTGTGACAGTCATAATACATGTGTGGCATGTGGACACGTACAATCATGTAGGTCTACACAATCATGATACACACGGATCAGACTCGCGGTCGTGCCAGGCGACTGCGGAGCAGCAGATAGGAGAGAAGTCGGAAGAAAGAGTCCGACTGGACAGAAAAAGTGATTCTCCAATGCTCAGTTGGACATAACTCTCTTTTTGTGTTGAATATTATTGTATTGAGCATGCACAGAGCACAGATGTTATTACTACAGGCGATACATTTTGCACTAATCTGGCATATTTTGCTACACAAAATCCATTCTTAGGACCGATATATTCTACTATGCGATAATACTGCTTGTAAGAATAAATATACACATAAAATAGGTGTTATGATTATGAAAAAATGAGTGTTCATTCTTGTAGGCAGTATATTCTTGTATACGACCACACTATAACCGATACGCACTGTACATGGGATTCTTCTTCTTCATCTTGTTCTCGCAGGAGATTTAGATACATGTGCAAGAGACGATCAGCCGGCTGCCACCCAGCTGACTGCAGGCGAAGACACCGAAGAGGTATGTACATTGTATGTGCCAAGGTCACATCGCGATCTCAGCCGTCTCATGACAGTTAACTTGTGCAGTGACGTGTGGAAAAGAAAAGAAAAACACGCGCAGGCATGACCACTTTGACCAGTGTATAGTCATGTGTAGTACTGGTGAGGTCTGCATTCGCCACTGAGGTGAAAAGGCATAGTGGCGAGGTCTGCATTCGCCACTGAGGTGAAAAGGCATAGTGGCGAGGTCTGCATTCGCTACTGAGGTGAAAAGGCATAGTGGCGAGGTCTGCATTCGCCACTGAGGTGAAAAGGCATAGTGGCGAGGTCTGCATTCGCCACTGAGGTGAAAAGGCATAGTGGCGAGGTCTGCATTCGCCACTGAGGTGAAAAGGCATAGTGGCGAGGTCTGCATTCGCCACTGAGGTGAAAAGGCATAGTGGCGAGGTCTGCATTCGCCACTGAAGTGAAAAGGCATAGTGGCGAGGTCTGCATTCGCCACTGAGGTGAAAAGGCATAGTGGCGAGGTCTGCATTCGCCACTGAGGTGAAAAGGCATAGTGGCGAGGTCTGCATTCGCCACTGAGGTGAAAAGGCATAGTGGCGAGGTCTGCATTCGCCACTGAGGTGAAAAGGCATAGTGGCGAGGTCTGCATTCGCCACTGAGGTGAAAAGGCATAGTGGCGAGGTCTGCATTCGCCACTGAGGTGAAAAGGCATAGTGGCGAGGTCTGCATTCGCCACTAAGGTGAAAAGGCATAGTGGCGAGGTCTGCATTCGCCACTAAGGTGAAAAGGCATAGTGGCGAGGTCTGCATTCGCCACTAAGGTGAGAAGGCATAGTGGCGAGGTCTGCATTCGCCACTAAGGTGAAAAGGCATAGTGGCGAGGTCTGCATTCGCCACTAAGGTGAAAAGGCATAGTGGCGAGGTCTGCATTCGCCACTAAGGTGAAAAGGCATAGTGGCGAGGTCTGCATTCGCCACTGAGGTGAAAAGGCATAGTGGCGAGGTCTGCATTCGCCACTGAGGTGAAAAGGCATAGTGGTGGCCTGCGGAAGCGAAGGCTATAGCTTGTGTGTTTCTGAACATTCAAGTGATGCTAACGCGGATCCCGCGAATATTATAATTATTATTATTAGTACATAGTATCAGGACCTCCCCATGACAAGTACAGCACTGCAGTAGTAAAGCCATTGTCATTGGTACTTGGACTGGCACTCTTCTTTGCTGACCTTTCATGCGCGGGGATAACTTAGGTAGTAATGACCAGTAGCATTAACGTATCATGCAATGCATTGTAGCCGCTAAAAGTTAAGAATCTGCGTTTTCTTGTTGTCAAGTGCAAATTTACAAACTACGTATGTGTATAGTCCATTCAGAAAAAGATGATTATGGAATGTTCTTCCAGTTTATTATGTTTCTGAAGTTCATTTCTCCGAAAGGCAAGCCATAACAAGAATAGGATATCGGCCAGGATGTCTTCATACAGAGCTTGACTCGGGAGAATGAAGTTGAAGACACCACTGCAGCTGTACTTATGGTTGATTAAAATATGGTGGTGAAGACACACCTGCCCACACACGCTCTCTACGCTGCAAAGTTCTGGCACAGAGCTCTCCTTCTCACCACCACCACCACCATCAGTTCGCGCCTGGCGTCTAGTCGATGTATGGTTGGCGGTATCCGACATAGCAGGCTGGTACATCAGGTAGCGCATGGCACATAGAAGATGACATAGCAACGACACAGCTCAAGATTGCCTGATGAGTCCAGCGGGCACGAAACGTACATCGCAATCGAGCTATGTCGTTGCTGTGTCTTGCGCCAAATACATATGCTAGCTCCTGTTCCATTCGGCCCATGCGTAGGCTGTACACACTTACGGTCCTAGTACAGAACTTCGTACATCTGTACAACGTGCATAAAGTCTATTGGGAAAGGCCATGAAAATCCATTCCGTTTCATTCCACTTACATCACTGCATTGTGCATTTCTAACCCCAGTTGAGGTACCTTTTTTGGTCCTTTTTTCTCAAATTTCGCGGCACTGTGTACGATAAAATCACGAAAAATCGCCAAAATACGGGAGCTCGCCAGGCCAGAGCCAGCGCTCATCTTTTTATGAATGGGCTGTAGTGTATTTTAACAGCCTGTCAGGTGTGTTTTGCGTATGTTGCTGACCTGCAGAAGAAGACGCTGCGAGCACGAATAGAAGCTTTGAAAGACGAATTAGACGACGCCATTGCTGCAGAGGACTATGACAAAGCGGGTACAGTTTTATTTATGCAGTGTGTACGTGTGTGTGTGTGTGTGTACGTGTGTACGTGTGTACGTGTGTGTATGCATGCGTGTGTGTGTGGGGGGGGGGGGGGCAATATGAACCACTTTAACCTTTCTTAAGTGGGGAATTGTATAATTGATCACTGTATGACTTTTTTGCAAAATGTTTCCGTATCAGGCCGGTACCGGTAGGCATTTTACAGGAATACTGTTAGTGATTATTCTTGTTGTTGTTTCAAGATGGAAACTCGAGTGGCACAAACGAGCATGACCTTCTGGGATGGTGTACGTGACTAATATGCTTATATTATTATACACGTGAATTAAAGGCTGGGGACAGAGTATGATTTCTATTTTGTACACAGTAGCTGTCATGGCATGCACATGTGCAACATCAACGTCGCTTCTGTGATACTGGTGTTATGTGAGAGGGAGGGAGGGCGGGAGCGGGAGGGAGGGCGGGAGCGACGAGCGAGCGAGAGAGAGACAGACAGACAGAGAGGGAGGGAGGGAGGGAGGGAGGGAGGGAGGGCACTGTGTGAACTACCGGTCAACATGAGTACTGTTCCAAGAAATGTTGAAGATATAATCAATTCACTCTCCGAGTCTCCAATGAGCAAACCTGTCGTGGTATTTTGGCATATTTTGTGATGTACTGACGTATAATGCACATGGCCTTCGGCTGGCACAGTTTGGCATTGAACAGAGTCAGCTGAGCTACTGCTGGTGCCTCGTATTTCAATACCACTTCAAGTAGTGTGTGCATGGGTGAGTTTACGCATGCAGCACCGGTGCAGTAGGCAAAGGATCCATTTTGCAAGTATTTACAAGTAGCTGCAGGAAAGAAGCGTCTATGTGCAGCAGCCACATGACAACGAAACTGAAAATGCTCATGTGAATTGAAATGGGCTTAGCTAAGTTAGCTTCTGGTTTGAAGAGTCTCGCCATGGTTACGGACTCTTGGTGGTCTACTCACAACTGCTCACACACTCATGATAAGCTGCAACCAGGACAGCATGTACTTATTATAACTATAGTGTGTGCATGTTACTGTGAAAGCCTTATATATATAACGAAGTAAAGAAAAAGGACCAAGGAACTACAAGTTATGCTATGATGTCCCCTAACACCCCCCCCCCCCCCCCCAGTTACTCCATCCGAGTCCATATAACGAAGTGCTAAATCTAACGAGTTCACGAGGAGAAATCTGTCGCTTAATTAGAAAAGTGTAGTAGTCACACACACTCACTCTCTCTCTCTCTCAACTACCTCCGCACACAACCTCGTGGCAGACCAGCCAACACACACGGCTCTGGGTTGTAATGAATAGTTACGATAAAGGCTTAGAGTAAAGAGCAACAAAACGCCAACCGGCAACACCTCAATCAAACCATCAAGAACCTCATGTCTCTCCCAACTGCAACTACTAGAACTACTTGTCTCGCATGCAAGCTTAGCATTGTCAACATCATTGGCGCGCGCGAGCGCGCGCACGGTAAACTGTATTTGGCGCGCAATAACGTGATGCTAGGAGGCAATGAACTAATGATCATTCATGACACAGACAAGCAGACAAGTAAACATGCATGAGAATGTCCACAATGCACACAGCAAGGAACAACAGCGCACATCACACTGAGATGTCACCTCAGGACAGTCATATTGATTATTACACCCCTCCCCCAGGTGACATTTCAGTCAGCATAACGGGATGGCATGACCAGTCGCCCACGGTCACGGAATGTGTATTGGTGGCGAGCGGAGTCATCTGCCACATCGAGCTCCTCCAGTGCTTCACCTACAGCGATCCGAGGAGCTGGCTTGATATGGTCCACATTGACGACTTTCTCCCTTTGCCCAGATGCAATGACCACAGTAGAAGGGCTGATAACTTTCTTGATCACCCAGCCAGGCTCGTACGGAGACAACAACTTCTGGCTGCGGTCGGGACGACGAAGCATGACGGCATCATCTGGGTGGTAGAGCTGAGGCTGATCATGCTCATCATCAACACCATCGTGGACAGATAGCTCCATCTCGATAAGGTCACGGATGCGAGCAGCGCTGTCACCGAGCCGACTGACCCACTGGCTCATCTCGCAGGCAGGTTGGTCCTTTGCCACAATTAGGTCATGTGGTTGCCAGGCTGTCATCGCCATCATCGGTGTCAGCCTGGTGGTTGAATGGGGTCTATTCCTGTAATAGTACAGGAGAAGGTCGAGCTCCGACCGCCAGTCGTCGGCAGTGTCCAGGACCTTCCGCATCATCGTAAGCAGTGTGCGGTTCATCCGCTCCACGGCACCCTGTGACTGTGGGTGGCGTACCGCACCAGTCTTGACCATCACGTAGAAGTGACTCCACAGGGCGTTGACCACAGTATTCTGAAATTCGGTGCCATTGTCGACGCGTACGACATCCGGAGGACCCCAGCGACAACATATCGCCAAGAATGCGTCGGCCACGGATTGGGCATCATGGCTTTGCAACGGTACAACTTCGGCCCATTTTGTGAAGTCATCAACACACACCAACACACAATGGAAGCAGCCACTCTTCTCCGGCCCAAGTTCCAGAGTGTCGAGATGCACCACGCTCCAGGGCCTCCCAGGTATGTCGCGACGGGTAGAAGCAACTGACGCACCAGCACGATGACTAGCAGCACAGCATTGAGAACAGTCACGACAATACTGGCGGCACTTGTCAGCCATGGAAATAAAGAAACAGCGGCTACGCAGTAAGGAACAACAGCACACATCACACTGAGATGTCACCTCAGGACAGTCATATTGATCATTACAAAAGCGTTTGTGTAAAAGCCATATACATATAACGAAGTGCTAATGCTAACGAGTTAACGAGGAGAAATCTGTCGTTAAAATAGAAATCGTTAATGGTTATACAGAAATCGATACATATACTGTTCTATTGAGCCTTAAGAATGAGTGAGAATCGTTACCTTTGGTACACGTAAACCAGTCAATTTTGGGAAATCGTTATAATATATGTGCCTCGTTAGAATAATGGCTTTTACAGTATACAGAAATCGATACTTATACTGTTGCTGGTGAACGTCAAGAATGAGTGGGAATCGTTACCTTTGGTATACGTAAACCGGTCAACTTTACATTAATTAATGGTTATATTTGCGGCTCGTTAAAATAATGGCTTTTACAGTAGTGTCCACAAAGCATGATTCACAATCTCACTTTTCTGCAATTCGACGTGTATGTGCGACATGCGACACTTGTGAAGAGCAATTGCCCGACATATACTGCCGCATTCAGTCGCAGGGCCACTGTCGCAGAAGTCGACTACGCGCAACATCGTACAGCTTTCTTTACTGGATGCATGTGCACTGCATGTGTACTTCGAAGTATGTACATTGCATTTAGATGTCGCAGAAACCGAACAGATTGTGAACTGTGTGCCACGGCCGCAGGTGTCGCATCGCAGAAGTTGGTATTGTGAATCATGCAATTAGTTTGCACCCAGGATTGAGTGTGTCATAAGTAGACTGATGTGCAGCTATTTACTTACATGTGTTGGCCTCATGTATCTGTATGTCTGTTTCTGTCTCTCTGTCTCTCTCCATGCAGCTAAAATTGATGAAGAGGTGCTGCAGCTGAATGCCGATCTAGAAGCCCTTGCCTGAACACAAAGTGTTGCTCCACGTCACTGCCAACATTCGTTGATGTATTACCAGACTCTTACTATCCCCATAGTAATACTAGCTACTACAAAGTACTATGCTAAAATTGACGATAATACTTGGCATCCGCATTCCTAACTAATGAGCATTGTGATCATGTAAGCTGCTCTTTACGCATCATTTTTGAAATATTTTTGTACGTGTTATTTCTCATAAGATCTCAGATGGCTCGTGCAGTCCCTCTGCCCATGAAATTAGGTGCTGTACTGAGCGAAATGCTTCTAGCCTTGTCCACATGGATTGCAACGTGTTCCTGCTACTCCTTTCTAGATTCTCATGAAAATCCAGTCAGTTGCTGATCATCACACAGTTGGCAGAATTTTTATTTATACCATGGTCAAAACCCCTATTTCAAAGTATCCCCTTTTATAATACCGTCGTCATGCATAGAACCTTAGTCCTTTTTTATTGTTCACAATTCTTACACCCATAAAAGA